CAGAGCATGAGAGGGCTTATTGAGCATGAAATGAATTCTGTATATTTATTTACTAGGATGGCTGAGTGGGTTTTATGTTCATTAAATTAATGATAAACAATAAACATGGGTTGAATATGCTGTTCTAGAATTGATTTATTGTCTATCCTATGAATATTTACTTTCACGGAGATAGAACATTACAAGAATACATCAAAATAAGTCACCTACATCTCATAACAATAAGATAATTGTAATATGTAAATATGTTTGCCTAAACATATCCCCCCCCCCACCTCCTCTCATTACCTCAACACCTTTAGTGCCGATATTTTATTTTTATTTTATCAGTTTTTCAAATATATAAATCCTAGAGGTTCAGTATGTGTTGTTTGGGAAACACTAGAGAGTAAATTACGGAGGGGAAGGTGAGGGAGTGGAGATGAGAAGGTTACGGGAAGGTAAGGGAGTGGAGATAAGAAGGTTACGGGAAGGTGAGGGAGTGGAGATGAGAAGGTTAAGGGAAGGTGAGGGAGAGGGGAGAGGAGATAGAAGGTTAAGGGAAGGTGAGGGACATGAAGTGAGATGGTTAAGGGAAGGCGTGGGAGTGGAGGTGAGATGGTTAAGAGAAGGCGAGGGAGTGGAGGTGAGAAGGTTGAGGGAAGGTGAGGTAGTGGAGATGAGAAGGTTAAGGGAAGATGAGGGAAAGGAAGGGAGAATGTTAAGGGAAGGCGAGGGAGAGGAGATGAGAAGGTTAAGGTAAGGTGAGGGACATGAGGTGAGATGGTGATGGTTAAGGGAAGGTGAGAGAGATGAAGTGAAATGGTTAAGGATAGGTGAGGGAGAGGAGGTGAGAAGGTTAAAGGATCAAAGCGAGGAAAAGAAGGTATGATGGGAAGGAGGATGGATGGATGGAAGGATTGATATGTAAAGGATGATGTAAACACAACACTCTGTCCTCTTCACTGTGAAGTGTGCATAGTGCTCACTCAACACTGTGAAATGACAAAATGAAAATTATTGCAGTAATTTATCACTCAGCACTTAGCCCATAGTGTGTTTATTGTTTATAAATCATACCACATTTACTCTGTATACACACATCTATCAACCAATATATACCAGCCATCAACCATGGTATTCATACTTACAATCAACCAATATATACCAACCATCAACCATGGTATTTATACTTACATCAACCAATATATACCAACCATCAACCATGGTATTTATACTTACAATCAACCAATATATGCCAACCATCAACCATGGTATTTATACTTACAATCAACCAATATATGCCAACCATCAACCATGGTATTTATATTTACAATCAACCAATATATGCCAACCATCAACCATGGTATTTATACTTACATCAACCAATATATGTAAAAAATCAACCATGGTATTTATACTTCCAATAAACCAATATATGCAAACCATCAACCATGGTATTTATACTTACAATCAACCAATATATGCCAACCATCAACCATGGTATTTATACTTACAATCAACCAATATATGCCAACCATCAACCATGGTATTTATACTTACATCAACCAATATATGCCAACCATCAACAATCGTATTTATATTTACAATAAACCAATATATGCCAACCATCAACCATGGTATTTATACTTACATCAACCAATATATGTAAAAAATCAACCATGGTATTTATACTTCCAATAAACCAATATATGCAAACCATCAACCATGGTATTTATACTTACATCAACCAATATATGCCAACCATCAACAATCGTATTTATATTTACAATAAACCAATATATGCCAACCATCAACCATGGTATTTATACTTACAATCAACCAATATATGTAAAAAATCAACCAATGGTATTTATACTTATAATCAACCAATATATACCTACTATTTATATCAACCATCGAGGTCCTGTAAAATCAAACATCAAAAATGATTTGAACGGTAATTTTACTATAAAAATAGGCAGATTTTTCTCTGTCAATGAATCAAACCTATAACAAAATATGCTATCTATAATTAGTCTCTTTTATGAAATGTTCTGCTATAATTTTGTAAAGGCATACACAAGGTGATTAAGCTTCTCTAGGACTCTCTCCGATGTGTTAAAACTGTTAGTCGCAAAATATATTTCAAACTTGAAACAAGGATGATTTAATTACAATGTTTCTGAAGTTACAAAATGCGAGTATTTGTTTTAATAAAAAATAGCAAATGATCAACTTTAAGAAACACAAATGGTAAAGGATACAGTTTAAGGTTGTTGAATGAGCGGATTAATCTATGAAATGGGCTAACTATGAAATGTGCTATCTATAATTTGTCTTATTTATGAAATGTGCTATCTATAATCTGTCTTATTTATGAAATGTGCTATCTATGAAATTTGCAACTATGAAATGTGCTATCTATGAAATGTGCTAATTATTGATATCTATGAAATGTGCTAACTATGAAATGTGCTAACTATGAAATGTGCTAACTATGAAATGTTCAATCTATGAAATGTGCTATCTAGAAAATATCCTATCTATGAATTTGTAAGTTATGAAATGTCCTCTTTTTGGGCATTTGCTACAAACTAAGCATGAATCCCATCTGCAGAATATGCCTTGTAATGTTAAACAATCTTATAAAAATAAATAAATGAGAATGCGTATTTTTACAGACTCATAACTTCAGCACTTAACAGTCCTTCTGAGATACAAGCATTGGTGTTCTATACATTTTCCATACTCCTCAAACAATCTGAGATACAAGCATTGGTGTTCTTTACATTTTCCATACTCCTCAAACAATCTGAGATACAAGCATTGGTGTTCTTTCCATTTTCCATACTCCTCAAACAATCATGATTTTTTAAAAGTTGTAAATGATTGAAGATGGAACGATATAAACCTTAAAGCTTTTAAATTACTGATTTGAGGTTGTTACTTGTCTTATATACAATGCACTTAAAACGAAATTTTTTTCCGCTAGGTGTCTCTGCCACGTGTAATCATTCAAAGCATCGAGTGCAGAGATATATGGTGGCCAACTATATCGGCGTTTTTAGTGCATTGTATACAAAATGAATAAACGATATTATGAAATATTAACTTTATACGAATGCGTCGAAAATAATCGATGACTATAGGTTGTAATATCTGAATGATTTGTTTGAAATTGAATTTATTATTTTACGATCCGCGTCGTTTATTGCAACTTTCTGAATTTGTATTACACTACATTCTTCAGTATAAGTTTTTTTAAAAATTTTCTCCTTATAGACGCAACAGATAGAAGTAAGATAAGTAGCGATTAAAAGCGACTGTTTTTTGGTGTAAGACTATACCCCCTTTCATTTTTCGCGAACATTACCTTTAAGTTACCTTACGTTGCTTGGTTAAAGGAATTTTTTCACTAATGAAAATAATTATAAACGTTGTCATGCCTATAAAGTCCCTACATACTTCATTCATTGAATTGTAGATTGAGTGTGGGGAAGGAAAGATGGGAGGGGGGGGGGGACACGTCACATACAAAAAATGTGTAAGCATTGTGTAAATATATATGGGCAGTAAACAATTTATGTTTAAACAATGTGAAGGATATATACTCAACAAATTCTAGTCTGTTTATTCTGTTCTCCACATTCATTAACTGCTATAAATACAAGACAACCCCCCCCCGCTCTCCGCTTCCCAGAACCACGTTATCATATTTAAAAAATACTTTTGTATGCCGAGTCCATTAGCAGCTGATCTAATCAGGGTTCGGTCATGTGTTTGTTGTCTAATCTGAACCAAATAGAAATAGTACGGCGGTAATTTCTATCTTTCTATTTATCTCATCATCCAATTACAGATAAATACTTAAATCGGCGCAATACACAAAATGGAAATATTTACTTGTAAACCATCTGTAAGAGAGTATTTACAATTCACAATCCCATGCCTGCTTTGCATATCTGGGGCTGCAGGAAGGTCTTTATCAAATTTTCTGTACAAAACCATCGGATAAATGTAAATAATTTTTACCCTCTTTCAATATATTCGATATTTGATTAGATTGAATTTGTCTATACTGATAATTTGTTCCTGTCTTAAAACTAGGTAAATATGTTTTAGCCAATGAGCACAAATGTTTTGAAAGAAAAGTCGTTTGTTAAATATTGACCTCAACTCTTAGGTTAAATACTCAAAGAGCAAAAAATAAAGTAAAAACTGCAAACGCCAATTTTGTAAGAAAAATGAAACATCCTTTCACTTATTTTAATACATAATTATTCAATCAGTAACGTCAGCAGTGCTGTATAATGTATCATGTATGTACACTTTGCAAAAGTACACTGTATTTCCACTTACGAGCCGAACTACGTCATACGTACTTCTGATTTTAAAAGGTAGTTCAACTTACTTAAAAAATAAGTACAGGATCATACTCATAGAGAATAGAATATATATTAGAGTGGAATTTAGACAATCCTTCGGTGTGAATTTTGTCAGTCCCTTTCAGCCTAAAAGGGAGTTCAAAGTGTACAAATCAAATTATATGCAGTAGAGAACATTAAGACAGTATGTTCCCGTGACTATCCATTTCAATTTCGAATTTTTTAAAGCTTTTAAATAAACTTTATAAAATGAATTAGGTGAATAAAAACATCATTTGATTTATAGTTATAACGGAAAATCATCGTTTGTAAAATGAAAGGCATAGAGTCTATGTGAAATGATCATTGGTCAATGATGAAACCAGCCTATTTCATAATTGGGTTTTCTTTTAATATTAATTTTAGATTTTTTATAAAATAATGGTCCAGGGCCCAAAAGGTTATATAGCGCAAATATGTGAAGTACACCTGCAGTATGGAAACAGTACAACAAAATGGCCGTTTTACACTTTTTTCCAGTAAATTCTACTCTAATATATATTCTATTCTCTTTGATCATACTGCATATAAAGTTATACACTGCAATTCAAATAGAATTACAGAAAAATACAGTTCTAATTTAGAAGGGTCATATGCATCTGGTTAAAACGCTACTTTATTTTTATTGACAACATGGTTAATTTAACAAAAATAATCAAACATAATTTTTCTCAAAAAAATTGTCATCGTAATTTCAAAATCCCGTAATTACTAACATTGTCATCAACAATTCAAAATTAGGTAGATATTTAAAACTTTTGCCAAATAATTTTTACATCCTGTATTTAAACTAAGGGGTTCGCGGATTTCTGTACAGAACAGGAGTAAGAAAATGACCGAAATTTGTTGTAACTTTGATAGGAATGCCGTTGGTTTGTCACCATAATGGTTTAAAGGTAGCGATATGAATAGCTGATTACATTGTAAAGGGTAATTCAATAACATGACATGATTTTAAAGGAACTGAACACTCGCACCATTAGGATTAGAAAATAAGAGTATGCAGCAAGTGTTCAGTTCCTCTGATGCAAATATGTATAAATTACAAGTTTTCAAAATTATCTATTCTCCGTTTAGTATTTCCCTTCCTAACCTCACGTAGGGTCTTGTACTTGTCCCGACCTTGCTTCAGGTTTTCCCTGAAACAGATTTAAATACAGAATTATTTTTCTAATTTCTCTCTCCTGCATGTATCCCAATTTGATCCAAACAACTATAAAAAGTTGCGTCGATTATTAAGACTGGGTCGACTTTAAGGCGCCGCAACGCGTTGACCTCTCCTTATCCCTGTCCCTGTATCTATCTTTCTTCCTGTCCCTATCCCTCTCCTTATTCTTGTCCCTATTCCTTTATGTCCTCGTCCCAGTTCCTCTCCTTGTCCATGCCAATGAACCTCTTAGTAAGATCTATCCGTCTTCCTGTCCCTGTCCCTTTTCTTGTCCCTGTCCCAGTTTCTCTTCGTCCTTCTCCTTGTATCTGTCCTTCTTCCTGTCCCTGTGTCTATCTTTCTTCCTGTCCCTGTCCATCTCCTTATACTTGTCCCTGTTCCTCTGCGTCCTCGACCCTGTCACTCTCCTTGTCCCTGTCCCTGTTTCTCTTCGTCCTCGTCCCTGACTCTATCGTTCTTTCTGTCCCTGTCCCTTACCTTGTTTCTGTTCCTGTTCCTCTTCTTATCCCTGTCCCTTTTCCTCTTCGTCCTCGTACCTGTATCTATCTATATTCCTGTCCCTGTCCCTCACCTTGTCCCTGTTCCTGTTCCTCTCCTTATCCCTGTCCCTTTTCCTCTTCGTCCTCGTCCCTGTATCTATCCATCTTCCTGTCCCTGTCCCTTTCCTTGTCCCTGTCAATGAACCTCTTCTCTCTGTACTTACCTATGTTGTTTGCTTTGAATTGTATCCTCTTCTCTCTCAGAGGCCAATGCCTTCTCCAGCTCCTCCATAGTATTCTTCATTTCATCCTTCATCCCAACCTTAACAAACTCTTCATTTCATCCTTCATCCCAACCTTAACAAACTCTTCATTTCATCCTTCATCCCAACCTTAACAAACTCTTCATTTCATCCTTCATCCCAACCTTAACAAACTATTCATTTCATCGTTCATCCCAACCTCGACAAACTCTTCATTTCATTCTTCATTCCAACCTTAACAAACTCTATATTTTACCCCAATCTTAACCAACTCTTTATTTCATCCCAAACTTAATCGACTCTTTATATTTATCCCAACCTTAACCAACTCTTTATTTCATCTCAACCTTAACAAATTCTTCATTTCATCCCAACCTTAACCAACTCTTCATTTCATTCTTCATCCCAACATTAATAAACTATTCATTTCATCGTTCATCCCAACCTCGACAAACTCTTCATTTCATTCTTCATTCCAACCTTAACAAATTTAACAACTCTTAATTTCATCCCAACCTTAACTCTTTATTTTATCCCAACCTTAACCAACTCTTTATTTCATCCCAACCTTAACTAACTCTTCATTTCATCCCAACCTTAACTAACTCTTCATTTCATCCCAACCTTAACTAACTCTTCATTTCATCCCAACCTTAACAAACTCTTCATGTCATCTCAACCTTAACTAACTCTTCATTTCATTCCAACCTTAACCTACTCTTCATTTCCTTCTTCATTCCAACCTTAACAAACTCTTTATCTCAGCCTCTGGAAATCGCCAGTTAATAGATATTGGCATTTTTATATGATTCAGTTTGTTTAAAATGACTAACAAAGACGACGTATTTTCTTATAAATTTCTTTTCCAAAATACCTACTTCATATATGACTTTCGACAATAATTTGTTTTAAAAATAAGAATTGATTATTTGTTTAACATGTTTGAACTTAACTATTCATTTTTGATCAGAATAAGCCTAAGTCCATATCCGTCTTTTGGTAACTACTGACCACACTCACCACACTATGCCCTGACCATGGCTGCAATTACCATGCGGTATATCGAATAAAGTTTAAGTTAATCTGCAGATTAACAAAATATCGATATGAAGGATTGGTCTCGATATCCACAATATAAGAGTTTCTAATTTTAAAGTTAATATTTACCTCCCGTTCCTCCACAGGATCAACTATAATCTCGGGAATCCTCGCCGCCTCCTCCTCCTCGTCCCCCTTACTGCCCTCGTCGGAAGTTCCAGAGTCACTGCTTACACTCTCCGCCACACCGTTTCTCTGGTAGGAGTACTCCTCAACAATCCTAACCTAAATAAAGAACTGTTGGTTTTAGATCTAAAAATTATTTAGGGAACAAACCAGATTAATTTATAATATTAATTAAGTTTTATAACAATATTTCACAACGGTACCCAACAAACCTTATATCTGAGAAAGGATGGTGGGTTATTTTATGTCTTTGAATGAAAGACATCTTGGATTTTACAGACAATAAGGGAAATGTTCAAGTTTTAAAAAACAAAGTTTCTAAAACAAAGTTTTACCGGGCACTGTTGAGTGTTGTTAATTACGGTTGGCTTTCCAATTCTATCCATATTTTTATCCATTCGAACAAACCTTTGAGTTTTCCAGCTCTCTCCTAAGGTCAGCCTCGTTCTTCTCCATCCGTTGTCTGGCCTCCTCGACCTCTTCTTGCAGACGTTTACTCTCGTTCTCTTTCTCCGACACCAAACTCTGGATTCTCTCTATCTCCTCCTGCTTCTCCGATATCTCTCGTTCCATCCTGGTTATCCAGAATTCAAAAATAATTCAGTTATAAATGGTTATAACCGTTTTAAACCAATTGTTAATAAAAGACTAACATTGTCAGTATATAATGATGAGAATGCTTCGGTTTTCAATAACTGATAGCTTGGGATTTTATGCCTTTTGCTTTACTTTAAGAAATCAAGATTTTTTTGCTTTTCTTAGTGAACTTTAAAAATTTGGAATCCTGTCTGATCACCAAACATTTTGGCCCGACAAGATCAATTGTTTTTAGGTTTAATGAATTTTAATTTAAACTCCCCTGGTTCTCTGCTCATACTCCAGACTTTTAGCGCTCTCTAGCTCCTCCATCATAGTCTTGAGCTCCTTCTGCTGCTTCTCTAGGTCCTCCTTAGCTTCCTTGATCTCACGGAGCTGTCGCTCTAACTCCTCAATCTTTAGGTTGGCCTTGTTCAGCTCCTCTTCTCTTCTATTCATTCTATCCTCCATTTCTTTATACCTAGCTTCCAACTCCTTCTTTTGTTGTTCCACCTTTGCTCTGTAAAAACAATTATAGCGTAATTTCAAGTTACAATGGTACCCTTAGAACCGTTGTGTGTGTTCATTGAGAACTGAAATTTCTGTATATAAACTTAACGAAAAACGCTTGTATTCTTACAAGTTCTGAACTAGAAACAACTGATATGTTAATAACGTCCCGTGCAAATATCGTCTTTTTAACTTTAAAATGGGGTTTCAAACCTTTGAAAGTTAATATATATTTTCTGTCACTTCTAGAAAGTCATTTTAAAGGACTACCAATGTAATTTTAATCAACCTGCTGATGGCAATCAGGTTTACAATTCCTTTACAGTTGTCAACTTATTCCATACTTTTACCTGGCTGATATCTCCTTCTGGAGTTCTTCCTTCTCCTTGAGCTTCCTGGCAATCATCTCCTTCTTCTGAGATCTCATCTGCTGAACTTCCATAGTATCAGGTCGTCTTCGCCTCATATACATCTCATGGTTTCCTAACAGTATCAACAGATAAAATAATATATTAATCCGTTTGGTATGACGTCAAAAATCATATTAAATGTCGAAGAAAAACATAATTTACCAAATTCTTTATGTATGTTAACATTTTTTAATTGCATACATAAATAAATAAATTATTTTATTTCACAAAATTTATAGTTTGAAATATCCAATATTTACGACACTGGGTTGATTTAGGAATGAAAAAAAATCTTTATTTGTGGCAAACCCTACAATTCCTTTCCATAAAGATTTAAACTGACAGGTGTAAGAGTATTTTACCTGATGCCAAATCATAGATTTTCTTGCTTTCCTTCGCAACAATACACTTTACAACGAACTTGGCCGCACTCTTGTCCGTCATCTTGACGATAAACTCGTCTCCACCAAAGGATATGCGTCCAATCTCAGACCATGGAAAGTTAATCTGAAGATGAAACAAAATAAGTCTAATTAGATTTAAACTTATGATAAAAATGTTTGAAAAAATATTGATTTGTATATTTGTATTGTCTCCTGTACAATAACTAACAAAGCAAAATGATATTTGTCTTCGGTATTTCTTTATTCGGTAAAATTGTACGAATTGAACCCTGATAAACAAGTTGGAAAGTTTCAACTTAAACAGTCGTTTTAAAATTTTTTAAAATACAAGAAGAACAAATCAAGCAGTATTTTGTCAATTAATTCTTTTAAACCTAAGCTATAAACATGCAAGTATCAGTTCAGAATGTTTATGCCTATGGCTACAAAAAAAAGTATATGTGACTAGGTCAGTTCAGAATGTTTATGCCTATGGCTACAAAAAAAGTATATGTGACTAGGTCAGTTCAGAATGTTTATGCCTATGGCTACAAAAAAGTATATGTGACTTGGTCAGTTCAGAATGTTTATGCCTATGGCTACAAAAAAGTATATGTGACGAGGTCAGTTCAGAATGTTTATGCCTATGGCTACAAAAAAGTATATGTGACTAGGTCAGTCAAAACCAAAGCCCAAGCCGTTGCGACGGTTTAAAGTCGAGGCTGTCTAAAAAACACACAGATTTTAAATGCAAGCGCTGTTCCCCCCTTCCCCCCCCCCCCCCGAGCAAATAAATATGCGAAATTCCCTCGCTTCTTACCTGAGGGTTAAGCTTGTTGTCTTTTGAATAAATATTTATTCCTAGTGCATCAATTCCAAGCAGTAGCTGGGTTCCCTTCTTGTTCTTCACCTAATATATTTAAGAAATGTACTTCATACTATTTGGATTCATGATTAAATTATTTAAAGTTTACTTTTATAGGAAAACAATTAAAATTTTAAGTTAAGAGATCAAAATTTTAAAAATTGGTGTAAACATTTCAAGATAGGTTCAAAGGTCGTCTTCGGTTTTGACATCCTGGAACGTGTATAATGAACATTTAAAATGAAATGATCAGAAAAAGTGGTGCAATCAAGATCAAGGTGGGAATACTCGCTGATGGCCGAAAAAATTTGTCCTTTCCTATAGTTATATCAGAAATCATAAACTAGCTACCAAGAAATAGCTAAATATTTACACAAATTTAGCTGGATATTAACTTTCTTTTTTCTTTTTTAAAGGGCCTTAACTCACGTTTAATTCCAAAGAATAAGCGCTTTTATAAGTATAATTGAGTCTGAAATAATCTATAAACTACAAATGAAATGAATTAATATGCTCCTAAAATATCAATGAATGTTCCTACCTATAGAAATAAGCTGATAACCTACCAGAAATCAGATGTATCCTACCTAGAAATATGTTGATAACCTATGAGGAATCAGATGTATCCTACCTGGAAATATGCTGATAACCTACCAGGAATCTCATGTTTCCTACCTGGAAATATACTGATAACCTACCAGAAATCAGATGTATCCTACCTAGAAATATGTTGATAACCTATGAGGAATCAGATGTATCCTACCTGGAAATATGCTGATAACCTACCAGGAATCTCATGTTTCCTACCTGGAAATATACTGATAACCTACCAGGAATCTCATGTTTCCTACCTGGAAATATACTGATAACCTACCAGGAATCAAATGTTTCCTACCTGGAAATATGCTGATAACCTACCAGGAATCAGATGTTTCCTACCTGGAAATATACTGATAACCTATCAGATATCTGATGTTTCCTACCTAGAAATATGCTGATAACCTACCAGATATCTGATATTTCCTACCTGGAAATATGCTGATAACCTACCACGAATCTGATATTTCCTACCTGGAAATATCCTGATAACCTACCAGGTATCTGATGTTTCCTTCCTGGAAATATCCTGATAACCTACCAGGTATCTTATATTTCCTACCTGGAAATATCTTGATAACCTACCAGGAATCTGATATTTCCTACCTGGAAATATGTGATGCCATAAGTTTCCAGATCCTGCGCCACTGTCAAATACTCTGCCATTGCATCCTCCCTAAGTAGGAGATACAGGGTGTCCCACGAAACATGAAAGTGCATGGCAAAACGACTTGACTGTCGCTTTCATCTTTGTAAAAATTTTCGGGATTTATTTGTAAACTTATGTTTAGATGTATAGTTCTAGAGTTAGTAAGCACAATATAACCCCTAGTCCTGACCTTTCCAAATGTGATCTGCCTTTCTTTGTGCTTTCAATATTACCGGATTGAATTTTGTTTAAATTTAACTAAAAGTAACTCCACAAAAAAGGCAAAGCAAAGATTTTGAAATGCCAGGACAAGGAGAATTTTGTAAATATTATTGCAAGAATCATACATGTAGAAGTAAGTTAACTGTTGAATTCGGCAAATATTTTCAAAGATCAGACGACGTTAAAGTCTTCTTTCTGCTGTCAAGTTTCGGGGGGAAACCCTGTATTTGAACCATCAGGAATATTACTTCATGATGAATGGATGCATGCAGAGACTGGACCAAAGGGAAATAGGTTAATCTAGAGTAGTACTGGACAAATTCCCGTGGTTCTACTGGCTGAATTTCTGTGGTTCTACTAATCGAATTACCGTGGTTCTACTGGCCGAATTCCCGTGGTTCTACTGGCCGAATTCCCGTGGTCCTACTGGACAAATTCCCGTGGTTCTACTGGACGAATTCCCGTGGTTCTACTGTCCTACTGGACGAATTTCCGTGGTTCTATAACTGGACGAATTCCCGTGGTTCTACTGGACGAATTCCCGTGGTTCTATAACTGGACGAATTCCCCGATAAAAATTTCAAACCAAATCTTTGATCTGACGAACAAACGGAATATAAGAGATAATTACTTTAAATTATAAACAATTATAGATATTATACATATGTAAGAGTGGAGACAAGTCTTCCCGCAACCCGTGGAAGGAAGGGGGAGGAGGCAATTTGAATGAAACATCATTGGGGAGGAGAGTGAGTTTTATACTTACTTGGACATTCCTTTATGTTTGGCATGAAATATAGAAATCTTATCCTCCCATTCTTCTCTGTTTACAGGTTTACATTGTATTGTTTAGAAGTGTATTCATTCATCCTTTCATCTTGCAATCTTGTAACTAGGGTTTCCATGCACAAAATCATTTAATTTAATTTAAGGATATTTTGACAAATTTTGTCAAACAATGCCTTGAATTATAATTCACAATTTGGTTATATACATGTAAATGATGCGCAAAATTATTCTTCTGATATCTATATCAAATATGGGAAATAATTTTGAGTCCTACCAATACGATTTTTTGCTGTGGCATGCAACAAAATATTTGATCAAATAAGTTACTACTGAAAAAATGTTGGGTTATTATTGCGCATATGTTGCGAATGGAAACCCTACTTGTCATTACACCCGTTAATTTTTTCATTGTTATACTTATTTTAGTGAAAATCGATTGAGAGGATTTTAATGAATAAAGTTTGCGGCAAAGACTCAATTTATTTAGATAATTTGGAAGGTTTTATCGAGTAGTTTTATTTTTGTTTTTCATTTAAAGCTTGAGATGATTAGTGCCTGAAGGTGAAAGTAAAGGCTTTTTGAAATACAATATTCAGGGGGTTAACATGAAGATTTTGTAAGCTTCTATGCTTGTAAAATTCTTTGCTTGGTCAATTTAAAGACAATGTGCCCGCCTGCTAAGCTTATGTTCAACAATAACAGCTCTGGGAAGAATACTATCATTTGCAAGGTATCCTGGAAATAGCAACTTTTAGAAATCTTTGGATTCCTCATATCCAAGACTTTAAAGCTAGAAAAATTGCTGTGGACTGGCTTTGTAATTTTTTGGCTGCAGGGTTTTAGGAAAAGCTGAAACTCAAATAAAACAGTACAAAAAGATTTTGTTCGACTATAATATACATTTTCAAATTCAGAAAAATCTTTAACAATTATTTCTGGAAAAAAAACCATTTTATAAGAAAATAAAATGGTTTGTAAAATACTAAACTAAAAGCTACCTGATGTATGAACTTCTGAGTCAAAATTACCATATTTAACCTTAAAATTAGATAAAGGCGGTTATTAGAGGTTTATAAAGACTGATTTAACAGGTTGATGCAATATGATTTTATAAGTTTATATCGACAGTATTTTACAGGTTGATGCCACATGATTTTATAAGTTTATATCGATAGTATTTAACAGGTTGATGCCACATGATTTTATAAGTTTATATCGACAGTATTTAACAGGTTGATGCAACATGATTTTATAAGTTTATATCGACAGTATTTAACAGGTTGATGTCATATGATTTTATAAGTTTATATCGACAGTATTTAACAGGCTGATGCAACATGATTTTATAAGTTTATATCGACAGTATTTTACAGGTTGATGCCACATGATTTTATAAGTTTATATCGACAGTATTTAACAGGCTGATGCAACATGATTTTATAAGTTTATATCGACAGTATTTAACAGGCTGATGCCACATGATTTTATAAGTTTATATCGACAGTATTTTACAGGTTGATGCAACATGATTTTATAAGTTTATATCGACAGTATTTAACAGGTTGATGCCACATGATTTTATAAGTTTATATCGACAGTATTTAACAGGCTGATGCCACATGATTTTATAAGTTTATATCGATAGTATTTAACAGGCTGATGCAACATGATTTTATAAGTTTATATCGATAGTATTTTACAGACTTGTGAAAGAGAATGGTTATACAACTTTATAAAGACTAATTTTACGGATTTATCATATATTAGGACTATTGGCTCAGTAAAATTTTGCCTAGTACAAGTTCGCCTAGTACAAGTTCGCCTAATACACTTTCGCCTAGTTCAAGTTCGCCTAGATAACATTTTCCTAGACAACATTTCGCCTAGATAACATTTTGCCTAGATAACATTAGAGAGTAATGTTCGCCTAGATTAACATTCTTCAAATTAACCAGCTTTTGGAATAAAAAAATACGCAATTTTTACTGTAAAAATTTCACAATTTTTTTTTTGTAGTTAGTAGGCGAACATGTACTAGGCGAAAGTGTACTAGGCGAACTTGTACTAGGCAAAATGTTACTGAGCCCTAATTATTTATGTCTATATTTATATAACCGAATGTATACGGGTTAATAAAGACAGGCATTACATTACTTTAGACATTTTTTGGAAGATTTTGAGAATTTTAAAGTAATTTTTTCACGGAGTTTATAAATGAAGATTTAACAAGTTTATCAGGGTTGATTAAACAAGTATAATTTAATACTGATTTTTAATAACTGTAATATAAAGACTGATTTACAAGCTCAAAAACAGTATTTTACAAGTTAACGAAGTAGGATTTTCACCGCTTGAGATAAGAAATTTATTGCATTTTCAATATAAGCTTATACTCTAATCTAAAAGATAAACAGTAATAATGACACAAGAAAATTAAAATGAATGAAACTTATAAGAACTAAAATAAATCTTTATTGTTAGGAAAAATAATTTGGCTTGTCTCCCAGTTTGTGAGTATAAAATAAACGTCAAAACAGCTGAACCAACCGATTGGGCCCAAATTTGTTGTAGCAATCACTCGACCCCAGGTTAGGTTTACGGCCAGTCGAAAGAGAAGAATTTAGCCTAGAAAATCTTTTTGAACCCGACTAATTCAAACAGAAAATTCCGCGAAAAGTTTTATTTTTTGAAGTAGGATGAAAAAATGGCGAATTAAATATCGACAGTTAAGCACATGCACAAGAACAAGTACAAGGCCGGACCAGGACAATAACAAAAGCAGGACCAAGACAAGACAAGAACAAGACCAAAACTGTTAAAAAAGTGCAATGCAAGACCTAGAAAAAAAACAAGAACTAGAACTTAAGAAAAAGAACAAAATCTATAACATGAACCAAAACAATGAAGGAAAAAAAGTGAAAAACAGAAAAAAATAATGACAAGAACAAGAACAAGAATAAGAACAAGACCAAAAATAAGAGTAAAAACAAGAAAGTAAAAAAAGAGAAAAACAAGAACAAGAATATTAAAAGAGCAAGAAAAAGAATAAGAACAAGAGTAAGTAAAAAGCAAGTACAAGAAAAAACAAGAATTTAAAAACAACGAAAAAGAGCAAGAACAAGAAAAAGAACAAGTATAAGAACAAAAACAAAAATTAGAGGAAGGAAAAGAACAAGAAAAATACCACAATCATAAACCGTCACCTAAAGAAAATTTAAGAATGTCTAGTCTAGCTACAGTTCTTTTTAATAAGCGTACACTATTTGAGTACATTAGGTAATCAGGTAATTAGGTATTCGAGCATATCATGCCAACCAAAACAAAACACGAAAAATAAGAACTGGGAAAGGATTAAGTACTGAACGAAAAAAAACCTGTGTATAGTAAGAAGCGAGAAGAACAGCCTTTTCAGGAGGACAGTAAATACTTTCACTCAGAATATCACTTTTTATCTAAAATTATGTATTTTAAGAAAAGAAAAATGTTATTATTCATTTTATGGACCCAGACAAAAATGTAATCATATATTTGTATAAGACAATTTCTTATCATTATTTTACTTCTTAAAATAAGGTTTTTTAAATTTAGATAAAATATTTCTACCTGTATGATATAATAGTTTAATGGTCTGTTCCTGAATATTTGTACCTGTAGATATAATAGTTTAAGGGTCTGTTCCTGAATATTTCTACCTGTAGATATAATAGTTTAAGGGTTTGTTCCTGAATATTTCTACCTGTAGATATAACAGTTAAGGGTCTGTTCCTGAATATTTCTACCTGTAGATATAATAGTTTAAGGGTCTGTTCCTGAATATTTCTACCTGTAGATATAATAGTTTAAGGGTCTGTTCCTGAATATTTCTACCTGTAGATATAATAGTTTAAGGGTCTGTTCCTGAATATTTCTACCTGTAGATATAATAGTTTAAGGGTCTGTTCCTGAATAATCTCTTCAACAATGTGCTCGGGAAAGTATTTGATTCTGAACCTGATAGAAATATGAAAAAATAGTAATAAGCATATAAAAAACATATTTAAATGAAAAAAGAAAAGAAAAAAACATAAAGTTTTCCTTTAAATTTCTATTTACTTGAACTGTAATGGTTCCTCTTTCTTCACAGGTTGTGTTTTCACTTTCTTGTCAAGCTTAAGCCAGCTCAATCCCCCTTTTACATCAGTGTATTGGAGTCCAAAGTACCAGATCTCCCTGAAGTACAAGGATAGAAGTTTAACAGTTTTATAAAGTCCCCTTTTACATTATGAAATGTACTGAAGTCAAAAATACCAAACCTTTTGTTGGTCATGGTTCACGTGGTTTTCACATGGTTCACATGCTTTTCGCGAAAGGATGAAATTTTTGTGAGCGAATGAATGTGAACGATTGTGTTTATTGAACTACGAACGCGCGAACGAACTTAATAGCTCCTACCCACAAAGGATGAGCCCTGAGAAACCACTGTACGGAATTTAACTATCTGTTTCCTTATTTTCGACCCTGTAAAAATGGGCATTCGAACGGAGACGTATAACACAGTCTTCGAAAGAAATATGAGGGTAAATGTCGTTTTTAAAAAATATGAGGGTAAATGTCGTTTTTAAGAAATTTCAGTTTGGAAAAGAAACCTTTTTAAGGAACTTTTAAAGTAATAATAAATCATGCAGCTGTAAGTTATATTTCAATTTAGAATTTTTTTTTAGGATTATACGTTAGCTCATTAAAAAGAAATATTTAGAGAAATGCAATAAAATTATAATGCCTTTAATTTTGTTTGTTTTTGCATGTCATCCTTGTTGTTATCGTTTTAAAATTGGTTGTAACGATTTATTCGAACGAACTTTTGATAAAATGGTCACGAACGACTTTAATAAATGAACGATCTCACTGAAAAAAACCTTTTTAATTGAACGATCGTTCTTTTAGAAATCGAACGAAATAGACAAAAATTCAGAAATTTTAAAAAAACGAATTAAATTTTTTCCTGAACGATTGAAAAAGAACGACCGAAAATAGTCATTATTGAACGACCAATGAACGAAAAACTTGAAATAGTTAAAACTTTTACCTCAGTCCAGTTGTTTGAATAATTTGATCCAGAAGAATTTTTCCAGTTGTACTCGGTTGAATTGTAAACTCTGAAGAAAACATTTATATTTAAACTTGATCTTTTTATAGAAGAAGAAATAAAGTCGTCGGTTGTTTTCTAATAGACAATATGATGACTGAACAATAAGGTGAGTCGATTTTTAACTTCCTATCCTCCTAGAGCTAATGTTGTCTGCGTGATCTATACAACTAAAAATTCTAAAAACTTTCCAGAGAAACATTATCATATTTTTTGATGGTTCACTGATAACTATTTTCGAAAAAAGAATTAAAAAGATATTTGTGAGATCGAAAAAAATCATCAAAATATATCAATATGGATATCAAAACATCTGTCTTGCAACAGGATTGGTCAATAGTTAAACCCATTAGAGAAAAATAGCTCTCAGCTTGAAATTTAGAGTAATTTTGTTATTTTTTTTTGGCAAAGTTCTTTGGATATTTAGAACCCTAGTCTTGGTTTCAAAATCTGCCCACGTGGGAGAAAATTTCAAACTGTATAATATATTAATATATATTGTATATATGTATAATGTATTAATTTTCTATTATCTTTCCTTTATTATATCTTCTATATACTTTATTCAATATCTTTAAAATGTTGTATAAAACGTGTTTTTTCCTAGTTCAGTGTCTAAAGATATAACCCTCACATTGATTCCTTTCTTCGGTGCCATCCTTTTTCCTGAACAATATAGGAATCATAATCTTTTAAATGTTTGGGAAACATTTTCTGAACAATGGTAGATCTTGAAAATCAAGACCCCTGCAAAATATTTGACATTATCTCAAATTGTGTGAATGAGCAATGTTGTAAACCGAATTTTTCTTATCTTTTATAGAGAAATTTTTTTGCGTAACAAAAAATGTTGCTAAAACTGTAGCAAAAAGTACACTATTTATTGTTTAACTACACATTATTTAGATAAGTAAAAATATTGGAACAATATTTAACAGTCCATTTTCAAATAAGATCGTTAAAATCGCATTTGCTACTGCTTAGTGCTTAGAATCCATTTCTAGAACTTTAAAGCATGATTTGTAAAAGCATTTAACTTATGGAGAAAACAAATATAAAAATCTAATAGAGGTAAAATATCTTGAAATATTTAATAATATTATGGACACGTTTTCATCTTTTAATTATCATGTCTTAATTTTAGTCTCAGTAAAAAACAGGTTTTTTCACAATTATTGTTTAGAATTAACATGTATGTAATAATTCAACAGTTTCAGTTTTTTTAATTAATAAATTCAAATTTATTTTAAAAAAACATGATACATGTATTGCTCACCTGATAAAGGCCAACACTACACTGTTTTATCAGGGCGTGAAGATATCAGCTCTACTAAGCTCAAACTGAACAAACAAAAAATAATTAAACACACATCTAACCTTAATTTGCAAGGACGACGTTCTTTCGGACATACAGGAATATTCAAACTATTTTTGTGCTCAACCTGTACAATACAGATTTTTCAAAAAGCGTATAAAAGATTTATAAGAAAAATGTACATTTGATCTATACTCTTCAAACAAGATAAAAACATTGCCACATTATATTACATTAATTTTGAAATGAATTTGTTATACAGGGTTACTCACAAAGGATGAGACTTCAATTGCGACCCAACACTCTTGAATTTTAACAGTAATTTTTGTAAATTAAATTTGGCTAAGAAATAAGATTAAATAGTGAACCAAGACGTAAGTCGTCTCCATAAATCTTATTCTTTGTTTAGAGGGTGTACAAAAACCAATAAAAGGATTAGAGTTTGAGCTTTATTCAAGAGATTTCGTAACTTCGTATGAAAATATATTGTGTGCGTCAATAATTTAACAATGATGTCACATTAAACATTCAACATTAAAAGTTGATTCATTTGTGATGTAACCTTGAATTTGTTTCCAGTTTCTTGTAACACTTAAAGATTAAAAAAGCAATAAATCATAATTATGTATTGTGTGTATAATGGGTCTTTTTACGCCCTATGGTTACGTATTAATATAGCCTGATAAACCATATAACTTCCGCTTCGAGAGATGTAACTTTTTCGCTCAAAATTAACCATTAAATGCCAATTTAAAAATTGTCTTCTCATTCCTGTTGGAGATTTTAAAAAAACATTTGTAAATGATTCATAGAATTTACATTAGCATCCAAGCGTTGAAATGGGTTTTTGTAAAAAAAAAAAATGTTTTTAAAAGATAGAATTTTTATTGAAAATTTTAGGAAAATAAAAACGTCTCTTTATTATCTTAATACAATTACTATTCAACTAAATATTCATGCATTTTTGCACTCATTGCACTGAACATAACTGCATGTCAATAAATTGCAGAGAATCTCTAAAATTGAATTTGAAACTGATTAGAGGAAATCGGAATATATTTGATGATGTAATTAATCATTGCGAAATTTCTTGCCAGTCAATTGTCTAGTTGAAACACGTTTAGGAATTGATTTATTATTTGTTATGTATATCGTATATAAACCGAAAAAATCCTTATAGACCGTTAAACATATTCGAATGATTTTGCTCGATTTAACTTTTTAAATAACATAATTTTAATAAAGGGAAAGCTCTTTATTTTCTGTTTTTATGTTCACTTTTAACCTACACCAATCTAATATTTAGAACAAATTTACGTTTTCTGCATCGTAATATTTAAGTTATTGTAAAAAAAAACCTATATCAATCTATGATGTGCACTTGTTGACCATAAATCTGCCTTCTAACCCCCCACGTAATGTCGTCTTTACCAACCCCTCCTCTTGGAGAAGTCCAAACCAAAGCAATTTCTCTGCTCCGACAAAAGGTTAACATCAAATAGTGAAACGTTTTAACTAATTGATTAATTAAATCCACAATTAACTTTGCAATTCATAGTAATTCCACTTAAACTGTTGGGTTTATATTTTCAGAAGTATTCGCAAATGTTTTAAACTACTCCATCAAACCCTCCGAACCTTAATTACTCCTTATCATCCTGACACATCTAAATAGAAGGCTATTTAATTAATCATTCATAAAACATTTATACATAGACATTTATTTTGCTATATCTGTATTTTTTTCTAGGTTTGAAATATAACCGTTTACCTGATTATTTGCAACTTTGTGTCCGAGTTAAGGAGCCTAATCAACGAACCAATTAACCAACGAAACAACTAACCAACGAACCAATTAGCCATTTAACCAACTAGCCAACCTAACATCTAGCTATCGACGCCCCGCCTAAGTTTCAACAACATTATACAAAAAAGATTTAGACTGTTCTGAAAACTTATCAATTGTCATGAGACTGGGTCGAATTTCAAGTGTAGCGCAACGCTTTGGCCTTTGATTTTTCATCACTAACTCATTTTACATTTGTGTAGCCCTAGGTAGTTTAACTTGCTTTTAGCTTAATAGTTTTTATAAAGTAATTGGAAAAATTCTCAACAAATTTTGTTTGAGGGCTTGCCACTTTGGATCGCTGTTATAAACATAATGATATCTATGTTCTGTATCACTATGAAGATATGTATTTAACTGTATCAGTATCAATAGTTATTATGTATTTATGATTACAAATATCTGTATTCTGTATCACTATACTGATCTATAGTAACTGTATCTGTACCTATAATTATGATGTATTTATAATCACAAATATCTGTATTCTGTATCACTATGCTGATTTGTATTAGTAACTGTATCTGTACCTATAATTATGATGTATTTATAATCACAAATATCTGGATTCTGTATCACTATTCTGATCTGTATTAGTAACTGTATCTAAAATTGTTTTGAACCCGCGTAGTAAATTCTCAGTGTCAAATTACTTTAGACTACTGTGGACAAGCCTTACTCATACCTTGATAAATCATTATAATAAGTACACGCTTTAATAAAAGTAGTCGCTACTTTGCTGAGTCCCTAATCTAATAAAAGTAGTACATATTTTACAAACAGTAGACCCATAATGTAAGTAGTCTCTACATTAATTAAATAGTACTTTCTACTTGCTAAAAACATGATTTTGCTGGTTACATTAGATATATGGCTGGTACAAGTAAGTAACTTATTATAATATCTGCTTTTAATTCACCGCGGTCATTGAGAGGAATGCAAAATTAACATCATCCGAATGAACTGATTGTTTCGTTAACGACAAAAAATGGTTAGATTTTAAAAGATTTCTTTTGTAAATCGTCGTTTCGTTAACGACTGTACCTTGGTTAATAATCATTAAATCAAATTAAATTTTCATTTTGCGAAAACGCAAAAAAAGGGTGCAGAAGGGTGCAGAAAGGTGAAGAAGGGTGCAGAAGGGTGCAGAAGGGTGCAGAAGGGTTCAGAAGGGCACAGAAAGGTGAAGAAGGGTGCAGAAGGGTGCAGAAGGGTATAGAAAGGTGCAGAAGGGTGCAGAAGGGCACAGAAGGATGCAGAAGGGTGCAGATGGATGTAGAAGGGTGCAGAATGGTGCAGAAAGTTGCAGAAGGGTGCAGAAGGGTGTAGAAAGGTGCATAATGTTGCAGAAGGGCACAGAAGGGTGCAGAAGGGTGCAGAAGGGTGCAGAATGGTGCAGAAAGTTGCAGATGTGTGCAGAAGTGTGCAGAAGGGTGCATAATGGTGCAGAAAGGTGAAGAAAACTGAAAATTATGTTTTAAAATAAACTAATCTATCAATATAAATACTTATTTCTTAGATAAGGTATGAATATTAGATAAGGTACTGCTTTGTCATACTTTGTATCTAGGATGTGACGTCAATGTAATGAGAAAGATATTTATGATTCAAGCAAATAATGTTTAAAACACATTTTCAGGGGAAAAATATCATTTTTTTCTACATTAGAAAATTAGATTATTCTGATATAAAAATATATGTACATATATGCACAATAGTATCTTATATTTTTTAATGGAAGAAGAAAAAAGATTTTCCTTCAGAGTTTGAATCCTGATCCGGTTTCCAGGTTAAATATATGTTGCACTGATAGCTGATTAGATCCTGATCCGGTTTCAGGTTAATTATATGTTGCACTGATAGCTGATTAAATCATGATCCGGTTTCCAGGTTAAATATATGTTGCACTGATAGCTGATTTAATCCTGATACGGTTTCAAGGTTAAATATATGTCGCACTGATAGCTGATTAAATCCTGATCCGGTTTCCAGGGTAACTATATGTTGCACTGATAGCTGATTAAATCATGATCCGGTTTACAGGTTAAATATATGTTGCACTGATAGCTGATTAAATCCTGATCTGGTTTCCAGGTTAAATATATGGTGCACTGATAGCTGATTAAATCCTGATCCGGTTTCCAGGGTAACTATATGTTGCACTGATAGCTGATTAAATCCTGATCCGGTTTCCAGGTTAAATATATGTTGCACTGATAGCTGATTAAATCATGATCCGGTTTCCAGGTTAAATATATGTTGCACTGATAGCTGATTAAATCCTGATCCGGTTTCCAGGGTAACTATATGTTGCTATTTGTTGATTAGAGCAAAGTGGAATCCGTAGTTAATATCGCAATCAAAGCTTAAAACATTCTATAAATTTCAAAATGATTATTAAATTTTGCAATCTATATATAAATTTGGCTTGTCTGTTTGTTTTTTGTTTGTTTGTTTGTTGTCTGTCTGTTTGTATCCAATAAACGTCAAAACGGCTGAACCGATCGGGCCCAAATTTTTTGTGGGACATCTAGGGACCCCATGGGAAGGTTTATGAATGATCAAAATTTCAAATATTTGTCTCCATCAAAATTCGATCTTCATTAAATTTTTGAAAATTTTGAAAATCCACGAAATTTTTTGTAAAAAATTCGCGAATTATTTTTGTTTTGTTTTACGATGTACACAAAGAGAACATGTTCACAATTAATTTAGAAGATGGGCGCGAAGCGCCCTCTCAGGCTAGAAAGAAGGGCGCGAAGCGCCTTGAATTTCTAGTATACTATAATTCCAAGAACCAAATTTTAGTCATCCACTCAATTAGTTAAAAGATCAAATTATCTTTTTTTTGTAGGATGTGTCATTCATGAATAATCTTTTTAAATTTGCATATTTTGGTTGGAGAACCTTTCAAAAGTAAAAAAAAATAAAAATAAAAATTGAGCAAACCAAGGTATTATCACTTGCCACACTAAATAAATGAAAAAAAATAAAACAATATTTTCTGCATCGATTAGAAACATGCTCAATCAATCGTTAAATGTCCTTTTACAGATATAAATTGATTTAGACACCTTTGAATCGAATTTTTTAAAAGTTTTGTTTAATCTTAATTATTCAATTTTCTTCCTAATAATTTGTTAACGATTAATCATTAACTTTTATTTGTATTATATTAGAGTTTCTAATATTCATTGTAAACATCAGCGCCCTGGAAACCTAGATAATACATATTAGTTATCAATTGTTATAATTTAAATCAATATTTAAATTTCTTGTTTTTTCATTTTACATATTTTAAACAGTCCTTTACATTATTTACTGAATGTCACACACGTTCTCCAATAACTAAGAAAATGTATTACTTGTTTCATCTTAATGCATTCTTTGCATAAAATTGCATAAGGATTAGTCTGAGTTCTTGTTTTAAATTCATATTTTCTTTTTCCTCACCCATTTTATTCCAGAGTTTACATGGATGGTTGACAAATTTTCTGAAAAGAAAATATATGAATTTTCGATCATATCCAATCTAATTTTCAAAAGAAAAGTTGTTACTTTTTGCTTGGTTTTACATTTCGTAGTATTCAGAATACCATTTCCAATTAAGGTTTTAAAAAAAGCGAAGCGCTTGATTAAGGAAAAAGTAAAGTGATAGAGTGATAAATTAGGAGATTTAACAATATTGTAAGGGGGGAAAGGGGGGGGGAGGGAAGTGGGGTGAAGGTTCGGTGAGAGGAGATAAAACTATCTCATAAAGTATCCGCTGCTTACAATTTCATTAGAAGGAAGATTGTTCGGTATCTGCTTGTCAGGCTGTTCAGAGGCCTCTGGATATCCGAGGCTTTGAGGAGGAACTTCGGAACAGTTGATCTCTACCCATACAGTCATGTACACCCACTATACACCAAGCACAGACACTTAAACTCTACATTTATAGTATTTAGTATACACAGTAAAGAAATTGAGTCTTTACCACAAACTCGAATGTTCTATATCTTTGCATACTAATAGTGTAATCCTTTTATACTTCAAACTTAGATTATATTCATAGTTTGAAATATCAAAGGTCTAAGACGTCAGGGTGGCAAAGATATAGTAATTAAAAAATCTGAGCTTGTGACAAAGCATCAATTCCTTTTTGTTTACTGAACTGAACATGTACTCTCTTTTGTCATATTATACGTTGTACAGTTATTCACTATGTAAAGTTATTTTCTCTGTACATGAAAAGTGGTTTCCATGTACACATAAATTTCACTCGAAGGGGATCATTCATTTGCCTTATATAGTCTGTAATTGAACTATACAGCGGCCTTTCTTTTATTATTCAAATATTTGATATATTGTGTTGATTAATTATTATTGAATTCTTTAAGATGTTTATTTTTTCGGGACTGTATATTTTAGCTTCAAATCCCCCCCCCCTTTCTGGTATCCCTGGTATCCCTGGTATCCCTGGTATCCCTGGTATCCCTGGGATCCCTGGGATCCCTGGTATCCCTGGTATCCCTGGTATCCCTAGTATCCCCGGTTTCCCTGGTATTTCTGAATGTTTCTCCAGTTTTAACCATTTAAAGTTGGTAATGGTCGTCGTCTTCCGTTTGATTTCTCAACTTAATTTTAACGATCTTTTAACCGGTGTTATCATCGAACCTTCACACAATATCAAAGGTGTACTTCACAGTTTAGGCACAAATCAAAAGATTTGCTAAATCCTTCATGTGATTTTTGATTTGATTTCTAAAAATAAACAACCTACATTGTGTATTCTTACCATCCCTTTCAAAGCACTCACCACGGAACTGAATACTAGCCACAAACTCTATTTTTCTTAGCTCTATATCTTTTCAACCTGTTTGTGAAAACCTTAAAAATATTAAATTTGAACTTTTTGATCGCACAGAATTCATTATAGTTAAAACGAAAAAAGCAAATGAGCATATATGACAGGAGTAAATCGATGGCAAACTTTCAAGAAATTCACAAATATTCTAGGTGTGCGAGCAGCTTTCTTAACGCTTTGAATCATTTCTATCTTATCGATTAGCACTAAATTTTATATCCGAACAAATATAGTCTTGGTTTCTCTTTCTTTTTCTCTGTAAAGCTGAATACAATAAATACATTAGAAGTCATAATTATTTATATTATAATGATTATCCGATATAGATAAATTTATATTATTTGACAAATATTGTACATAACATACAATGTTTACTTATTTTGTTTGCAGATCTTTAAAGATTAGGTTTATCGGAGCTTTTCAATCAGAAAGGTAAAAACAGAGATATGGCGATGTAACTTTGAATGATCGAAATCGAAAATAATGTCGAAGTTTATTATTTGTAAAAAAATGCACAAATTAAAAAAATCTGCGAAAATTTTAGAACGATTACAAATTTTGACTCTCATCGTTAAAAGCTAAAATTGTTAATGGGACGCGAAACGCTGAAAGTGCTTAGTTGCTTATATAATTCTTATAGAATCCATCCAGATAAAAGTACATTAACGATATATCGAAAAAATATTAGAAAAGTTAATAATTTAGTTTATTAATCTTCTTTTTTCTGAAGTCATGCAATAGCAGGGTAAATATATTTGGTACATATTCAGAGAACCATGTTGTCAAAACCTGTATCAACAGCTTTTTTATCAGGAACATGATATTTAATGCTCTGGGGAAAACATACAGAAGATCAGGGGAAAATACATGAAAATCCAAAAGGGGGGGGGCGGGGAGAATGATTAAGCCTCAAACAGATATTTTATTGAATTAGCCCTCTAAAATTATCCACTTTTGCTTATAAAGAGAAAATAATAATTATGTTAAAAACTCTCATAATCAAGAGATGGAGATTATTTGATGAAGACGGACAGTTCCCGATGTAAATATTTGGAACACAATAATCTATTTATAAGACATGACAGATCAAGCTCTGACTATAGCATTGAGTTTAGAATGATTGCTGTTATTTGGCGTAATTTTAAAGACCACATTCCCGATTCACAACGGTACCCTTTAAACCATTGTCTGAGCAGAAAATTTTAGAATGTGATATCCTTAATCGTGATCGGTTAATTAATCTGAAGATTAAAAACAAGAGGAGAACAAGCATTATTTAATCTGGAGATTAAGAAAAAGAGAGGATCAAGCATTGATCTCGATATCCACCATTCTAAAGTTTTCAGCTCTGATCAAAGATTTCAGACATAACCTTATTAATCTAAGGAAACGCTTTAATTGTTAAACATTTTTTTATTATGCATATGCAGGTCTAAAAAATAGCAAGAATTACTTTCTAGAAACATCGAAATTTACTTTTGAATATTTGAAACCCCTTTTTAACCTAAAGATGTCTATATTTTTAGGGTAGGACGCAAGTAACGGATTAGCTGTGTTAAGTTCAAACTGTAAGCAGCGTACACTGGGTTTTTGAACGATTCAACCGCTATTCAAGAGGCTTACACACAGAGCTCTCTCTATTAAATGAACAGTTAAAGGTGTATTCCGTTGTAAATTTGCATGGAGGGTCACTTGAAATTAGGCTTACAATATCTTTAAACCATATGTTTCACAAGAAAATTCGGACCCAGATAGTGAGTAAATTCGGACCCAGATAGTAAGTAAATTCGGACCCAGATAGTGAGTAAATTCGGACCCAGATAGTGAATAAATTCGGACCCAGATATGAGTAAATATGAAATGAAATGATATGAGTAAATATGACCATGATATGAGTAAATTCGGACCTAGATATTGAGTAAATTCGGACCCAGATAGTGAGTAAATTTGGACCCAAAAAGTGAGTAAATTTGGACCCAGATATAGTGAGTTAATTCGGACCCTGATAGTGAGTAAATTCGGACCCAGATAGTGAGTAAAATCGGACCCAGATAGGGAGTAAATTCGGACCCAGATAGTGAGTCAATTCGGACCCAAATAGTGAGTAAATTCGTTGTTTTTTCTTTTAATTTCCACTTCCTAGTCTTTTTAAATTTGAAATTGTAATTGAATTCCTAATTTTATTTTTTCAATTATTGATAATTGTTTCAGACAAGAGCGTTTATTTCTGAAACCATGGAGAACTGATATTTGAAATATCAGCTAAAAGTCAATTATGAAGTTTTCCTTTTTCCTAATTATAAGTAAGTTATTTTTTATAACAAATTATTTAAATAAATGATGATTCAGTTAATGCCGAAACTTGTGTAAAAAAACCTGTAAATTCTATTTAGAGGAGAATTATACAGATGTGAAGTAGGATGAAATTCGATCCCTTGACCACCAGGGAGAGTATAGATTCCCCTGATTCCCTACAGGTAGATATTTGACCACCAGGGAGAGTATAGATTCTCCTGATTCCCTACAGGTAGATATTTGACCACCAGGGAGAGTATAGATTCCCCTGATTCCCTACAGGTAGATATTTGACCACCAGGGAGAGTTTAGATTCTCCTGATTCCCTACAGGTAGATATTTGACCACCAGGGAGAGTATAGATTCTCCTGATTCCCTACAGGTAGATATTTGACCACCAGGGAGAGTATAGATTCCCCTGATTCCCTACATGTAGATATTTGACCACCAGGGAGAGTATAGATTCCCCTGATTCCCTACAGGTAGATATTTGACCACCAGGGAGAGTATAGATTCTCCTGATTCCCTACAGGTAGATATTTGACCCCCAGGGAGAGTATAGATTCTCCTGATTCCCTACAGGTAGATATTTGACCCCCAGGGAGAGTATAGATTCCCCTGATTCCCTACAGGTAGATATTTGACCCCCAGGGAGAGTATAGATTCCCCTGATTCCCTACAGGTAGATATTTGACCACCAGCTCGCTTTTAAAATTTCTTATAGTCAGGTTCTAATTGTATATTGAATCTACCTATCTATATAGAGGTTCTATATCTCTAAATTCTAATTGTATATTGAATCTACCTCTCTAGGTGTAAGGTTAAACTTACCTCTAAATTCTAATTGTATATTGAATCTACCTATCTATATAGAGGTTCCCTATCTCTAAATTCTAATTGTATATTGAATATCTAGGTGAAAGGTTCCATATCTCCAGGTTCAAATTGCTCTCCCCAACACCAAACTGTCCTGGCTACACCACCGACCACATCAGTCAGACCATTTAGTGCTTCAGGACTTGCTCATCATATGTAAGCTGTCAATTCGTTCTTTTGGGTTGACTGGGGATAGGGTTTGGAGTATATGTCAAAATAAATTGCCTTTTCAGAAACCAAGTGTCTCATTTCATTTCCATCTCCTGAACAGCTTAAAAAATATCCTGCAAAGAATGATCTAATATTGTTTTGTTTTCGGTAACTTTTTTCTAAATGGTTAAACAGAGCTGAAAACTTTAGAATAATGAATATCAAGATGAATGCTTCAATTCCTGGCTTTACTAAACCCGAGATTATTTTAAATGCGATGTGCATTCGATATCCAAGAAAGAAGTTTACAAATCAACCAATCAGCGTATCATGTTAATATGTACTCTTTAACTTTTAAAAAACCGTTTTTTTTACTGGTGTTAATTGTGTCATATCAATTGACCTAAACATCGATTAAATAAATGTAAGTTTTGGATTAATGTTTGTTAAGGCTAACGTTTAAAATGATAATAGTCCTAAAATGTGATAAATTATATTTTTTTGATAACATGATTAAATTTGTGTTTGTTTAAATGCTCTAAAAGCCGGCTTGTTCAATCGGATAAATTAGTTCAATCGATATAGCATTGTATCTGTAATTGTTATCAAACGTACCTTTTATACAGTAGGGATATCCAAAAAAAGAGGATTAAGAATAAAATCAAAAGTGTGTACATTGGATACTCAGATTAAGCGATCAGGATTAAGGATATCTCATTCTAAAGTTTTCAGCTCAGATCATATTGCCCACTTGAAAAATGTCGAAATTTAGATATTTATGTAGTTCATCTCAATGTTTGAAAAAACATCTTAGATCATTTGATCTTTTAGATGTCGTTTCTTGGGGTGACTCTTGACTTAAATAATTCAAAAACATCCACAACACTTGAGATTGAACCAATAGTTTCCTCAAGTTCAACCCTAAAAGTCAAATGAAATTTCATCCCGTCTTCCTCAAACAAACTTTGAAACCAAGCTTATTTTAGAAAATCATTGAATACAGGATACTGGATACAGGATACTGGATACAGGATACTGGATACAGGATACTGGATACAGGATACTGGATACAGGATACTGGATACAGGATACTGAATACAGGATACCATGATCGCCTCCAATCCATTTGATATTAATACTATTGTGTCATGAATGTGTCCTGTCCAGTCTTATGAAGATTGATAAAGCATGTATTTATATTGTATATTATATACAGAGTATACACTATTACTTAATTAATTTGATATTCATGGACATGATGTCAATAGGTGTAGATGGAACAAAAAAAATACGCGTACTACAGATTACAATGAAACCCATAAAACTGTGGAGTAAGAATAAGACATGAAATCAATATTAAAGTGTATTTGATCATGTCACATATAAAATATTACTACAAAACGTTAGAAAATAGGTTTTCTGTTTTCTACGTGAAATGGTCTTTGCAAACTCCATGATTGTTGTGTCTCATGTTTATTGGACTATTTAACAACACAGCTTGAGTCTAAAAGTTTTTATTCCAAAGTTTGTTGGTTCTCACTGTACCTCAAACTGTTATGTGATTACGCTAAGAAATACTATACTTAGTTTTAAAATAGAACATTACAACAAGTAAATGCATGATCTGAGTCCAAATTTATTGAATTTGAGCCGTGTCTCAAATCAGCCCAAAACCGGTTTTTATTCAAGCACCGGCTTAAATTTTGAAACATTGAATACAATTTCCAGTGGAACCAACCATATTCAAGCCGTGGCTTAAATTCTTTAAATTTGGCTTCAGGTCTTCTTGAAATGGATTTGTGTTGTATTGTGATGCCCTCCATCATTTAAAAAATGAATGTTTGATATTTTAGAATTTATGTTTTAGCTTTAAAGCAAACTAATTACTTGAGTCCCTGTGCCCATGTATGTTCAAAAGAAATGGATTCCTTGTAAGAGACTATTTATATTTTATCTCCCAAGAGACCCACGAGAGGAGAAAGGCCAGCCACAACAATTTCTTGTCCGAGCCACATTCTTCTCATTTTATAGTCCGAGCCACCTCGAAATCCTCGTCCATAGATTACTATTTGTTTCTAATTCTTGAAGAAAAATCTATGTTTAATAAATCTGGCCACGTTAGGGGCTAAAATATGATGCAATACTTACATCATGTTGGAATCTAAAAGGCATGATAATGATGTCAAAATTTATTTGGGTAAAACTTAAATCTCTTCTGCTTCCATAAAGGCTAACCTTCGAGATATAAGTAAATAGCAAAATATTTGGCATACCTCTGCCTATAATTTTTCCCATGGAACCACCCGGAAAAATTCTATGGTTTTTGCTATAATTAACAAAAAAAAATTTAAGTTCTATAAACTCGTAATTATTTGTGGCATTCTACACCAGAAATATCTGAAAATGCGCGTAAAAAAGGTGAACATTTTTAAGGATATCGAATTCAAAAACTTTAATTTAATTGAAATTAATTTTTTCGATTTACAAAAATTCAATATTTCATTTATGCCCTAACGTGGTCCGATTATTAAAACAATAGAAACAAATAATATTAAAAGGACGAGGATTTCGAGATGGCTCGAACGAGAAAATGAGGAGAAAGTGGCTTGGACTAGAAATTGTTGTGACTGGCCTTCATCCCCTCGACTAGAATAGATTCTAAATTGCTAGACAAACATTCATTTTGTGGTCAATTAGATTTTAAAAATAAAATTCGCATTCGGGCATTTAACGTTTTAAATGAAGTTTACTTGAATTTACATTAAAAGTTCCTTTTACATACTTAGGTGATCTACAGACATTTGTTTAAATATTAACTATCTGAAAATGTTCAAATATCACCAATTGCGTCATGAATATTATAACATTTGTGGATATCACGCAAATATAAAAATATAACTACACTTTGCGGAGCTATTGTTCATATCCAGTTTAAGATACTTTGCTAAAATTTAAAAGAGCCTATATTTAAAAACAGTTTTCTTTAAATCTTTAAATTTATAAAATGTAGTTTGGTATCAGGTATGTATCATGAATAAAGACATCGTTCAAATTCAATATTATTTCTACCAAGCTTTCAAACATCATGCAGATACAGATAAACATGGAGAACAAAGAGAAGCTGTCAATTAACAACTTCTCTTTGTTTCCTTTTAATTAGAATAAAGCTTCAATAGAAAAGTCGTCTTTATTGTATTGATATAAACGCTGACCACGTAAATATTAACCACCTTTTTAAAACTTTCTCAATCTTTTTAGATAAAGATATTGATCTGGATATAATCTTCTTTTGGGCGAAATAAAGAATACTTTGAGTGATAAGTTTATGAGACTAGAGCAAGATTTAGAGGATTACAACAAAACTAATTATCTTCAATATATATATCTATTATTAAGGGTTGGGTATCAGTTTCCTTCTTAAGTTATTTTTTATTTTTCTACAAAATTTTTTTTTTAAACATTTTAATTTTTTAAGTCTTTGAACGGTGTAAAATTAACGGAAAACAAAACTGTGACATGAATATATAAATACAATTTTTGTATACTCCATTCCAATTAATCAGTTCTAAACCTTCTCCTGTAACGTTGATTCAATTTGTGATATGTCAGGATATATTACTTATATTAATAAACTGCACCTACAGTTTCAATAAACATAGAAAATGGCGGCTGCGTAAAAGCATTAAATAATTTATTGACAAGCAGTGAATAAATAGTAAATTGCAGCATTTATTCGTTACCTTTATTTTACGAGTATAATTCTTGAAACAATAATCACAATAGGTGGGATAAGAAAGTTTGTCCTAAAGTTTTGAAATGATTATTTCAAATAAGTTTGGATCAATAAAAATCAAATGTGACAAGGTCCAAGACAAAGTAAAGAATGAACAATGCTTCTTACTCTGGTTAGTCCGGGGTGGCCCCGCTCCTGCATGACCCGATGGCTGACATTTCATGCATTTTCACTTTGACATTAGCTCTGGGGCCACAATATGAAAAATTAAAACTAAAATGAAAACAAACTAAGAATGTTTATTTCTAGATGGAATCCATTCAAGAAGAAATCTGGTATCCTCGGAGTAATATATGCTCAGGCCAAGAGGAACAGGGTTGTATCAAAGCACGGGAAACTAAACACATTCAGAAGGCCAGATGAAACCGAGGACAATCATAGGTAATATAGGACAACAATATGTAATATATAGGACAATCTAGGTAATATAGGACAACAATATGTAATATATAGGACAATCTAGGTAATATAGGACAACAATATGTAATATATAGGACAATCTGGGTAATATAGGACAACAATATGTAATATATAGGACAATCTAGGTAATATAGGACAACAATATGTAATATATAGGACGACCTTAGGTAATTTAAGACAACAATAGATAATATATAGGACAACCTTAGGTAATTTAAGACAGCAATAGATAATATAATGCAAACACTGGCAATATAGAATTCATCTAGGTTATGAAAGACAATTAATTGTAATTTAGGACAACCATTGTTAATTTCGGACACCCGTAGGTTATGTGGGACAACCAAAGGTACTGTATTGGACTGCATTACGCAATTCATAGGGGTACTGTATTGGATTGCATTGCGTAATACATAGGACAACATTAGTTAATATAATACAACCATATGTATCATAGGACAACCATGGGTATTATAGGGCAACCAACGGTAATGTAGGAAACCCATAAGTAATATAGGACAACAATAGGTAATATAGTACAACAATAGGTAATATAGTACAACAATAGGTAATATAGTACAACACAATAGGTAATATAGGGCAACAATAGGTAATATAGTACAACAATAGGTAATATAGGACAACAATAGGTAATATAGGACAACAATTGGTAATATATAGTACAACAACCTAATATACGATAACCATATAGGAGATACATATATATGACAACAATAGGTTAAATAGGCCAAGCAATGGTGATATAAGAACACCAAAGGTTATATGGGACAATAATAGGTAATTTATACAGTGAGAACCAGAATTCTTTGGAATAAGAAGCCGACATTAAATCAATAATAAAATGTAGTAGAGGAAAAGATATATTGAATAAATGGAAAAAGAAGACCCTGCCAACTGAAAATCATATTTGCATGTATACAATGTGGTTACTTCTGGTAGTTTTTACCCGATTACAGGACATCATCAATATTCTATAATCGTATAAAGATGTATAAAGAAACCTTGACAGAATTTGTCATTTATGATATTCTATTCAGATCAGCATCCTTGTATATTTAGTATGTGTACAATGTACAAAAGGAATTGAGTCTATACAACAAACTCAAATTTTATAATCCCTATATTTTTCAAACCTGATTGTGTAAACATCCTATATTTAAAATTTAGAATATTAGATCTAACAGATTAGATTTTAGAAATTAGATTTAAAATTAAACAAAAAATGAAATAAAAAGTGACCCTGCCTGCGCAGAACTCCTGTGGGCTTCTGCCTCAAGGTTATTGTGAACGAAAAACCCCATAATCTTAAAAAGACGACATCTAGTGTCGTATCTGTGATCATTGATCTATGATTTAAGTTGCCTCTCCAGTGGCCGAATTTAAAGAATTTGAGCGGCGGTTTAAATTTAAACCGCGGCTTAAATATGGTTGGTTCCACTTAAAATTGTATCAAATGTTACAAGATTTAAGCCGGCGCTTAATTTAAACCGGGTTTTGGCAGATTTAAACCCCGGCTCAAATTCTTTAAATTCCATCTCTGGAAACTTAATTAACTTGCTTTTGATAAGTTTAAAAGTTGAAGCGACACAGTTAGAATTTGAGGCGGGGACAATGCTTGGAGACCTAATTCGGTATAGTTTATAAATTTTATAAAAAAAAATAAAAATGACGGATAGGGTATTGAGAAAAATCTTACTTCCAGAGCTACAGGGTGTTCCATGAATTCTGAATAAATGTTTTATAGTCAGTTTTTGCAGAAGAATTTAGTTTTCCCATACACCAGTATTTAGACTATGCGTTTCACCATTCACCGGTATGCGGGTCAGCTTAAAAAATAATTCACTTGAAATTACACTTACAGTCCCTTAAAATCAGTTCAGTACCAAAAAAAAACGATTAAACGTGGCAACAGTGGTAGCTTAAAGGTTAGAAATAATGGACAAAGTTGAAAAATAATTCGGTTAAGCATTCAGAGCAAACACTTTTTACAAACTGTTGACATACAAAACTGTTATAGATACAGATTAACGGTTGCGAGGAGATTACAAATCGGTTAATCTTGCGAGACCGGGAAGCAAAAGATTTACTAATGTAACAGTTCTAAGCATTATGTGAGACGAAAGGAAATTAAATGAAACCAAAATTAAATAAATATTCTATTTTCCCTAAATTACTAAAAGTCGATTCACAAGTTCGCAACAATTTCGAAATCTCAGAAACTTAAGAAAGGAACTGAGTTTTTGTTACAAACTCTAATTTTTTAATTCCCATATCTTTACACCCCAAATTTGTAGACTTTTGATATGCCAAATTCTCTAAGATTACATTCTCTAAGTTGGAAATATACCATCAGGTTGCAAATATAAAAGAATTAGGATTTTTGAGTTTTTGGCAAGCATTTATTATTCTTTTATTTGTGAATTGTCAATTTTAATTGAAAATAAACGCGTTGTTTATAATAAACCCCATGTTTAATCCAGTTTGGATTCCAATATTGTTTATATAGATGAGTATAAAGATAATGCCTTGCTGTAATTTAACAACAGAGAGGGATACTTCTATTTCATTATATATTTTTAATATATTAGAAGAAAGCATGATGTGAAAAAGATAATTAGGATTAATTTCATCTCTCATTCAAAATTCGTCAAAAATAGCGTAGGAGACCTTTTATACTTAAAAATAGCCTAACTAAAAAGTATGAAAGCGCAAATACGAAAAGTCTACACGTTATTTGGTAAAAATTGGTTCTAAAATTAAGAATGAACCTCTAGTTTACCGTGCTGATTAAATGAAGTCGATGAAGAGGGAAATATAAAAAATTTCCCTCGAATAAAAAGTTCATATCCATGCATCAAAAGCTTATTCTAAATACTTTCTTACAGTTTTATAAATAAAATGATTGATATTCACAAGATTATAATGCAAGGAAAGTTAATTGCAGTTCTCTCTGGACGGAATTTGTAAACAATAATAGATGATTAGTGTTTAGTATCCGAGGAGGATAAAAGCTTTGAATTTTGAAAATTTTGATAATTCACATAATAGTTTCATTTGACCAGAATATTTCATTGATTTTTTATGTGAAAGATGGATCTCATGTCAGGCTGTGACACCCGTCGTGTGTTTACATTACCGCCCAGAGACAGTACACTGCAGTACAAAAGATGCGTACACCTCTGAAATAACTTTTCTTGCATTATAACCTTGGATATTTAGGATTAGAAAAAGGTTATCATACGTGATAAGATTAAAGTATAATTGCCGTTTTGAATAGTAGGGTAAAATTACGTGAATAACGTTCCCTTTAAATGAAAATGTTCAAGTTGATTTTCCCGAACAATGAAAGGAAAAATAATGTTTCAAGTTTGTGCATCGGTATAAGTTCTTCCGGATAAAAAGTAAATCTAAACTTGAATTGAACCCAAGTATTAGAAGTATTATATATAAAACTGTCACTTCGATGAGAGGGGAGAGGCCGGTTGCCAATGAACAACACCTGTTTTCCTTCCATGCCACACATTATGGTGTTTGTCACCGGCAGCTAAAGCCTGAACTATTCGCTCTCTAATGACACAGCATTCTGTTTTTTTTAACAAGTGTTAAAGGAACTGAGTTTTGGCCACAAATTCTGATTTTCAAATCTCTTTATCTTTGCAACCTGATGGTGTTAACCTGTGATATTTCAAACTATCATTATTTGATCTAAAATAATTCTTAGAAAATAATAAAATGTGTAAATTTTCACTAGATCTATTCAATTGTACAATATACACCTTCACTAGATCTATTCAATTGTACAATATACACCTCCACTAGATCTATTCAGTTGTACAATATACACCTCCACTAGACCTATTCAATTGTGCAATATACACCTCCACTAGATCTATTTAATTGTACAATATACACCTCCACTAGATCTTTTCAATTGTACAATATACACCTTCACTAGATCTATTCAATTGTACAATATACACCTCCACTAGATCTATTTAATTGTACAATATGCACCTCCACTAGATCTATTCAATTGTACAATATACACCTCCACTAGATCTATTCAATTGTACAATATACACCTCCACTAGATCTATTTAATTGTACAATATACACCTCCACTAGATCTTTTCAATTGTACAATATACACCTTCACTAGATCTATTCAATTGTACAATATACACCTTCACTAGATCTATTTAATTGTACAATATACACCTCCACTAGATCTATTCAATTGTACAATATATACCTCCACTAGATCTATTCAATTGTACAATATACACCTCCACCAGACCTATTCAATTGTACAATAACACCTCAACTAGATCTATTCAATTGTACAATATACACCTTCACTAGATCTATTCAATTGTACAATATACACCTCCACTAGATCTATTCAATTGTACATATACACCTCCACTAGATCTATTTAATTATACAATATACAGCTCCACTAGATCTATTCAATTTTACAATATACACCTCCATTAGATCTATTCAATTGAACAATATACACCTCCACTAGATCTATTCAATTGTACAATATACACCTCCACTAGATCTATTCAATTGTACAATATACACCTCCACTAGATCTATTCATTTGTATTTGAATAGATGTATAGTGGAAGTGTATATTGAACTTGAATAGATCTAGTGAAGATGTACATTGAACTTGAATAGATCTAGTGAAGGTGTATATTGAACTTGAATAGATGTATAGTGAAGGTGTATATTGAACTTGAATAGATGTATAGTGAAGGTGTAAATTGAACTTTAATAGATCTAGTAAAGGTGTATGTTGAACTTGAATAGATCTAGAAAAGGAGTATATTGAATTTGAATAGATGTATAGTGAAGGTGTATATTGAACTTTAATAGATGTATAGTGAAGGTGTATATTGCACTTGAATAGATCTAGTAAAGGTGTATATTTTACTTGAATAGATGTATAGTGAAGGTGTATGTTGAACTTTAATAGATGAAAAGTGAAGATGTATATTGAACTTGAATAGATGTATAGTGATGGTGTATATTGAACTTTAATAGATGTAGTGAAGGTGTATATTGAACTTGAATAGATCTAGTGAAGGTGTATATTGAACTTGAATAGATGTATAGTGAAGGTGTATGTTGAACTTGAAAAGATGTATAGTGAAGGTGTATGTTGAACTTGAATAGATGTAGTGAAGGTGTATATTGAACTTGTAGGATCTAGAGAAGGAGTATATTGAACTTGAATAAATGTATAGTGAAGGTGTATATTGAACTTGAATAGATGTATAGTGAAGGTGTATATTGAACTTCAATAGATGTATAGTGAAGGTGTATATTGAACTTGAATAGATATATAGTGAAGGTGTATATTGAACTTTAATAGATGTAAATGAATTGAATAGATTTCAATATGTCTTCCATAAACATCTTAGATTTCCTTTGAGTGGTGGAACCCTACAGTTGAATAGAGGAAATGATTTCCCGGAAGGAAATGGTTTTAGAATTCGAAGGAAGAAGAGACACCGCAACGAAAAATACTAAAAAAAAGAAAAGTCACAATTAAAAAAACAGTTTTTGGGAGTTGTAGTAGTAGTTTTACAAATAAAAACAATTCTCTGGACTCTCTGAACAGAATTTGAGAACATATCACTCTAAAAGTTTAACTTTACAGGAATTAAGTTTTTGCCACAAACTCAAATTTTCTTATCCCAATATCTTAGCAACCTAATATTGGAAACCCTTGATATTTCAAACTTAGATTATTTGATCAGAATTAATAGTTTGAAATATCTAAGGTACATTGGGGTTACTAAGATATAAGTATTAAAGAATCTGAGTTTATAACAAAGACACAATTCCTTTGACTTAAGGCAAAAGTTTGAAGAAAAAAATCTCAAATATTTATATTAATGAGTATGACATGTTTAGGTATTTGAAAGACTTTTTCATATCTATGATTGACTTCCCCTGGTCCTGGACCCTGCTAGGGTTTGGAGCATCTTTCTTACTTTCTTGGCTCATGTTTGCTACACTTTGGTACCTCATACTTATATTAAATGGTAGGTGCTCTCATCTTTACATAATAGAGAGAATACTTTATTAATTTATTAATTCATTTCAATTTTACTCTTACTTTTAAAGGGAGTGTTCGCAAAAAATGAAAGGGGGGTAAAGGCTTAAAAGGATAATATTCTAAATTTCCAAAATTTGTAAAATTTTATTTTTATTCTCTCCAGCTCATTAAAGTTTGATAAACAATGATTTACAAAGACTGTGGTATATTCAACTAAAAGAAAAATATTTTAAAACTCGACATTTTTATTTACGAATTGGAATATCCATAAGTTTTAAAAGAGCATATTATTTCCTTAGTCGAATATCAAAATATTTTTATTTCTAGAAATTGTATAAAAAACTAACTTGAACTAGAACTGCCTTGTCTGCCAAAACTGTCAGAGTGACAAATCCATGATTCCGAGAAATGGTCAAAATCTGCTCAAATAAATGACCATGGAGGAGTATAAAGTTACAGGGGGTCCGTATAAACATAAGAATTTGGTTGAAATTTTGAACATACTCTTAAGTAAACAGAGCTGAAAACTTTAGAATGGAATATCCTTAATCCCGATCTGTTAATTAATCTGGAGATTAAGTTCATGAGGGAAACCAGCAATATTTAATCTGGAGATTAAGAAAAAGAGTGGATCAAGCATTAATCCAGATATCCACCATTCTAAAGTTCCCAGCTCAGTGCCGTCAACGATTCATAACACAGAGTGATCCAAAGGTTGCATGATCTCACGCAAAAAAATGTATGATAGTTTTGCCAATAACTTCTTAAAAACTTTAGCTAATAACAAAGCTCAAAATTCTAAAATGTAAATGTTCATAGCGCTTTAATATAGAATTATGCAAAAGAACAAGTGAGTAAAATCAATGGCAGAGTCTTAAAAACTGATGCAACATTTTATAACAGTCAGAATCCATGTGGTACCTTTCAGTTTTAGGATAACCTTAATTTTTATTCTGGAGTAAAAAGTAAAAAAATTGTGCTATGTGAAATCATTTTCATGAAAAGGAATTGTCTTTGCTACAAACTTAAATTGTTAAATCCCAACAACTTTGCAACCTCATTGTGCAAACCTTTGATATTTCGAACTTAGATTATTTAATATAATTATATTATTATATAAAGTTTTAAAAATATAAGGTCTACGTCATCGGGTTGTAAAGATTAAGTGATCACAAAATCTTAGTTATCAATGTTATCAATATTCAATTCGTTGTATAATTTTAGCCGGTAGTGCAGTTGTGAATTGTTGATAGAACTCTAAAGTTCAATTTAGCGCTCTTTGATAACCGGCCTTTAAACCACTTCGTTAAATTTTTACATATTCTTGTCGTTCACGTTTTCCTTCGATTTATAAAACGTAACTTTAAAATTGGCAACATTTTTTATCAGAAATAGATCGTAGAAATATTGTCAAAGGAACTGCACCCGTCATTTCAAGTCACCCTCCATACAAAGAAGTAACTTTTATAAAGAAATCACAATTAAAAAAAAATCAGTTTTTAAAATTTGATTATTGATATTTAATTCATCTTGATCAGACAAAGCTTGTAATGGTACCGTTGTTAATCAGGCAATTGTCATCATGTCATGAAGGGTCACTTGAAATCCCGCTTACAGTCTCTATAAGTATAAGATAAGTTCCTTGTATTTTGCTGCTCCCTGTATATTGGATTTCGGATCAAGAAGAATTATGAGAATTGGGCAAATGGCAGCTTCTACTTATCATTCGGGAAATAAAAAGTTTTGGCCAGGAAATCCATTATTTACGAGAAAATCTTCGATTTAAAGTTTCATGTTTTAATTCAAAAAGCCAAAATTGGGTCATTAAATATTTTACAAGACTTTTTGGTATCATATTAACAAATAAATGTTTTATATAGTCTTGGCTTTTTTGTTTTCTCAAATTATGGTTTCCACGAAATGACCATGTCTTTTGCGCAATTTTTTTTTGCAAACTTTTGCACATCTTTTGCGAACTTTTAATTTATTTTTAAGCAAATCGAACAACGCTGAAAATAAAAAATTTATACATAGTCTGAATCTTTGTGTTATATTAACCTTTGATATTTCAAATAGGTCAAATGCATATGATTGAAGTATATGACATGCATCAGGTTGCAAAGTAGAGTTTTCGGCAAGTAATCAGTTCCTTTCTAAGCATTACAGTTATATGCAAAAAATTGTAATCTCATAGATAACTAATTTATACAGTTTACACTTTTATCAAAACTTTTTAATGAGCATTTTTCCCTCAAATTAGCGAATGATAATGCAAAGTGCAAATTTTTCGCGCAAAAATAAAGCGCAACAATAACAAAATCAGCGCTTCTTTTCGCAAAAGTGTTGAGAATGGAAACCCTATCTTGAATGCTTCCTTTGACTAAATGATCGCATCCTTACTAGGGTTTCCATCGCGAAATTTCGCTTCAATTTGTATCGCGAAAATATGTGAAATTTTCACGAAATAGGAAAATGCGAACATTTTGCGACAAAAAGCGGAAACTATGCGACAGAAACACGTAAATTTAGCGAAAAAATATGGTTGATTTAAAAGATTCTTTCATATAATTAGCTAGCTCATGGCTAGCTGGGTGGATACGGGAGGGTGCACGTGGACGGACAGAAACTTAGAATGATTGATTGAGAACTTCATCAAAGATTTATTAAAGTAAAGGAATTATTAATATGATATAATAAAACTTCAGAGCAGAGAATTCCACAAGTTTTTTTGCGCAATTAATTGTTGCAGCACCAACACTTTCGGGGAATTTCGCATTTTTTCACTTTCTTCATTTTCTAAATGCTAAATTTTGCGAAAAAGTTTGCGAAATGCGAACGAAAATTTGCGCATTTTTTCGCGAAACGTTTCGTTCGCTGGAAACCCTAATCCTCAACCAACCCCACGCCCCTCTAAACATGACTATTTTGATATATTAAGAGAGACATGTTGTCTTCTTAGGATATATTGCGGCATTCTTTCGTGAACTTAATTTTGCAAGTATGAAACATGAAACCATAATCATAAGCTATACTTAATTACCACTGGCATTTCAAAACATTTTTTTTAATTATATCGATTGCTGTTCATGTTGTATTATTTAAGTGTTTTTAAGTTAAGACAACAAAAAACGCTACACGAACCCTCTAAACGTAAACATTATATGGAAAACCATGAAAAAGTTCTGATTAATAATTAATGTCCTTGATATATTTAATTAAAAACTCTGGCCCTCGAGGAGAATAGATCTTATGTCGTTAAACTAACTCTTAACATTTCGGACAGTATTGAAGGAATAGTGCAGTGTACAGGGATATTTCAAGAATTTATATTTTCTAAGTTGTGTAGGTTTCTGAGCGTTGGAATGCCTAAACTCTTCATGAAAATTAAATTTTAAAGGGCCTGTGGCGTAATTTCAAGTACCCTCCGGCCTCCATGTGCAAAGTGGCGTGTCTGATAACCATCAGTACCCTTTGAACCTTTGACTGATCAAGGAGATCGGACTATTTTTGCTAATCTACGTAAACATTTGTTATTGTTGATCACTTGGTTTGCAAGCTGTTTTATATTTTAAAAATATCAATATTTACTTTCTTAAAATCAGAGAAAATAGATATTTCATTTTATAGTTTTAAAAACCGCTTTGGTCATAGAATATTCGGAATTTTCGAGGTAAGCATGTAATGTTAACTGAGTTGAATTCACATACACTAGCGTTCACATCGGGTTCACGACAATTCAAACACGATTTCAGAGATGAACACATAGAGTTCTCTGGCCTCGAAGATTGCAGTCAGAGGTTTAAAGGTTTAAAAGGTACCGTTGTGAATATTAACTTGCCATCTTTACATGGATGGTTACTTGAAATTACAATTACAGTCCATTTTAACTAAAAGGAATTGAGTCTTTGCAACAAATCCCAATTTTCTAATACCAATATATCTACAACCAAATTATGTAGACCTTTGATATTTCAAACTTTGATTGTTTGATATAACAGAAGTCATAGTTTGAAATATCTAAGGTCTACAACATTGGGTTGTTAAAATATAGGGATTTAAAAATCAGAGTTTGTGACAAAGACTCATTTCCTTTGCCATAAATGACGAGAGCAAAACGGAATATTTATGCATTAAATTAATCCCCATATTACGGGGACCTTTGTATCTGTTATTAATGTTAAGGTGATCTAGCAGGTGAACTGGATCGACCAGCCAGTCATAAAGTTTGTGTTGAGAATATGAAGGATTTTACATCATGCTTTCTCTTTAGCCTTGAGACACAACATACTATTGGGTAATATAAACTTTCCGTATTTTAAAATTTAACATTTTGAAAATATTTCTGTTACAGAAAATAATATTTTAAATATGGTATCTACACCATGTTGGACAAAAGATAAGAATTTTAGGGCTTAAATAATGAGTTATAGTGAGGACAAGGCGTTGCAACACATTACAGTTAATCCAGTCTTAAACTTTTCATGGCAGTCTGGATCTCTGTCCTACATATTCAGAAATATTGTCCTACATATTTAGAAATGTTGTCCTACATATTTAGAAATGTTGTCCTACATATTCAGAAATATTGTCCTGCATATTTAGAAATTCTGTCCTACATATTTAGAAATGTTGTCCTACATATTTAGAAATGATGTCCTACATATATTTAGAAATGTAGTCCTACATATTTAGAAATGTTGTCCTGCATATCTAAAAATTGTCCTCAAGAAATTAACTTAACTTTCTTTTATTTTCCCCCGGGTTAATCTAATTTACGGAGAAGGGGTTTTTTAACCTTATGTATTTCTTGGGAAAGTGGCAACTCCTGATGTCCCAGGAGATTTTCTAGAATATATCTATCTGAATACCATTGTATTATAGTGCACATTTAAATATACAGGGTTACCCATACAGAATGAGACAGCATAAAAGACGACCTGAAACTTTTCAAATCTAATGATCTCAAGGTTAATTGGATCTGGAAAACATTTGTCTTTTAATGGCATAATTTATGATTTAGAAAAAGAAAACAAAACAAATTTCCATGAGAAAACAGACAGAATAAATTCCGTACGGTCGTTTCTGAAGTCTCATTCTTTGTGGGTAACTCTGTACATGTCATCATTGAATAGTTTTAAATCTTATAAAACGTATCAGAAACATATTGAGTGGGAACATGAAAAATAAGTTTCACATGATTGCATTATATTATTATATATAAAAAAGAACATTTTCAAACAAAAAGTAGAAAATGTAATATTATAAATGCTTTGTTAGGTATTGTTTACCTATGAAAAATCGATAAAGTAACCAAAGACAGGATATTATAGATAAAATGCCACCAAGTATAATACCAGTTTGTAATGTAGATATATATAAAACCATACATGATAATAACATCAACTGGAAAAGTGAGTTGTATAAATGGGAAAAATAACAACTATTAAGCTATTTTTTTAATCGATTGAAATTCAAAATTTTATCGTTTCTAGTTCAATCAGTTTAAACAACATTTTTGAAACTTGATTGCAGAGAGGGGGGGGAGGGGGCAATAAATTTGAGTATATTTCATATTGTTTCCTTCACGTCTGTGGTTTCCAAAAAAATCAAGTTATGAAATTGATATTTTGAAAACTCCAAATTAGTATACTTAAATGTTTTTTTTTAAACTTTCTTTGGGAATGATAGAAAGTCTGGACTTTCTGGAAAGTAAATTTTATTTACGTTTTTAAAAGGGTACAGTGAAGATTTGAATATCATTTGTCAAATATGGTGGACACTTGTTGTCAATCCATTAGTTAGGAAAAAATGTTCAAAAAATATATTGATTTATTATTTCAATTTTAAAAGAGTTTTGGTGTCATGACTTCTATACATTTTAACAATAAAAACAATAATGTATGTATGTTCAAAGTATCATCTAGAATATTGTAGATATGGTGTAAGAGCTCCAACAGAAGAATGCACTCTTGCAATAGTTATCATCTCCATTCAGAGCATTTTTGGAGTAATTATTCAGGTATTTTTGAAGACATTAATATTCAGATATTTTTAGAGTCATTGCTCAGATTATTTCGGGAAAATTTATTAAGTAGTTTTGCAGTTTTTATTTAAATTATTTTTGGAATCCTTCTTTTGGTAAATTTGCAATAACTATTTTGGTTAGCTTTGGATATCTCATTTCGATTTTTAAGGCCTTTTTTTGGTGGATTGGACTCATTTATTAGGTTATTGGTTTCATTTTTGCATTTTCTAAACTGTATCGATGCTTATTATTCAGATGTTTTTATTGGGATATAATTCGGACATAAATAGTTCTGACGAGCCATTTTTAGCATGAAATGATTCAGTTTTCTTTGATCTCAATTTTGGAATGTGCAAATATTACTTTTGTTCATGAGGATCATATTCAGAAATAAATTGGCACACATTTATTTAACTCTTATTTAACTTGGACATCCAAATATAAAATTGGACTTGAATCCTCAAACACAGTTTTGTTCACATTTCTTTATTTTCATGGAAAATGATAAAAACGGGTTCCGTATATTTTAATACATTTTCCGATCATTCTCCCCCCCCCCTGTAATGCTAAGAAACAATTGATGGTATTTTCTCTCACTTAACCCTGGGTAACCAACTTCTAATCCATCGCTAACAAAGGAAATTTCTTTTAAAAATAATTAAACATTATGGTGGTGCAAATACTAAATACGGTGGTAAGCAATTTTATTGATACAATAAAGACGACATTCGATTTCGATTTTGATTTTGATTGAGCATGCATACGCATAATCTATAGAAGCCAAGAGAAGCTGTCAATTAAAAAAGCTTCTTTTTGATTTCTTGTAAACCTGTAAATCGATAAGAGCTTGTTAACAATCAAAACTTAAATAAAAAAGTCGTATTCATTGTATTGATTTAATCGCTTCCCACTGTCATGTACTAAATCTGGGCGTTTTGGTTCAACTATTTTTCCGTTTTCAAATAATAGGCCCGTATGGCTGGGACAGTGTTTAGTATCCATATAATATCTATATAATCTGATCTAATCTCCCCGTCTAGACCTGTATGGGATAGCGTATCCATAATATATATATAAGTATCTATATAATCTAATCTCTTCGTCTAGGCCTGTATGGCTGGGATAGTATATCCATAATATATATAAGTATACATATAATCTAATCTCTTCGTCTAGGCCTGTATGGCTGGGATAGCGTATCCATAATATATATAAGTATCCATATAATCTAATCTCCTCGTCTAGGCCTGTATGGCTGGGATAGTGTTTGCTAAGTTTACGAAGCCGACAATGCGTGCAGAGACGATATTGTTCAGCAAGAACGCCTTAATAACTCTTAGAAATGGTTCCTTTTACCTCCTCTGCAGGGTGGCAGATCTCAGGTTATATTACTCTAATAGTATTGATACGGGGTAATGAGAGGGAGGGGGGTAAGAAGGGAGAAGGGGAGCGATCAAAAATTTTATACATTTTTCTTTTATTGCTTTTTTTTAGACCCAATCATTTGTTAGAAGCCCACGTGTCTGGACACATGGTAAAACGAGAGCTAACACAGGAAGGAGAGGTAAGCTATTAAAGTTGTTACTGTTTATAGCCTTTTAACTATGCCAGTCTCCAAGATAAGACAGTGGAGGTCAATGGTTCAATGGGACTGTTAGTGATTACAAGTGATCCTCGACGAAAAGAGGGTAAGAGCATTCCTTACAAACAGTACTATTTGAACCTTTGCCTGTCAATGTAATTCAAGTATATGGATCTCAATCCAGCTGATCCGTTTCTTGTGTCCCTTAAATTTTACATTTTAAAACCGGTTTTCAAAAGTAAAATATTTATTTTCTGCAATGTTCAGAAAGTGAATATTAATATTTTTAAATATAAAACAGCTTGCAAACATAGTGTTTAACAAGTAAAAGTGGTTTTGTAGATTAATGAGGATCAGTCAAAGGTTTAAATCGTACTGTTTGGAATCGGACAAGCCATTCTACTAATGCAGATTCATTTGAAATTACGCCTACAGTCCCTTTAAAGGGAGTGACCGGCAATGTATGATAGTTTCTCTGAGAATGTAGTATTGCATGGAGAAACTTGTTAGGAATCATTTATCCCTATGAGACGTTTTTACTTTGCATATTTGTTCTGCAAGAGCGCAAATTCAATCTTTAAAATCTTCATAGATTGTCCATTCTTGAGGGATGATTTTGAGAATCGGTTTTAAAAAGGTTATTCAATAACGACGACGAAAAATGTATTGAAAATTCTTCAGTAAATTAATAGGTTGTTTAGGAACAGATTAAGAAAATAAAAATTCACGATTATAATCGAAAATAAGTAATCTTAATCAGTTATTGGTTTCTGTAGAGGCTCATTGTTCACAAACATTTCTGTAGATTTCCTGGAATTTTTATTGAAAAGACGACATTTGAAGAATTGGAAGAAATTAATAAAATATAAGAAAATCAATAGAATGATGAGAAAGAATAAATTGATATATTGAGAACATTTTAATTGAGAATTATGATCCATAACATCTAATAATAGATGATTTTGAACGTCGACTTTGCGCTCAATCTCAGTAATTATACATCATTAAAACATTTTATATGCATTCAAATAAATCCTAAAAAATTTCTCCACAATACTACATTCTAAGATCAACTAGCATGCATTGCCGGTCACTCCCTTTAACTGTATCGAGCGCCGGCGCAGAAATGATGAAAGAAAATGCCATTAGAAAAAACGAACAAAAGTTACTCGTATTTGAGATAAAACTAAATACGACCTATTGTTATCTGGTGAGCATTTAAATAGGATTGGTTTAATGTATTTATGATTTTTATCCAGACAATTTTTTATAATGTAGAATTATTATTTCTTTGATTACAAACAGGTCTTCGTAAAAAGACTGAAAATGTTTACATATTTTGATAACTTTAGCTTTTGTCGGATATATACCTTAGAACACATTCTTTTCATAGATCAGATTAGATTAGGACATGATAATATCAAATTATCCTCATATATCCACCCACAATATCTTTCATTTCCAATTATGCTGCAAGAGTACAAGATCCCTTCCAATGATGATAATAGGAGGTTGTCGAAGCACCAAATAGATTAGATAATAATAGATTATCTATTACTGAAGCACTGTTTTGAATGTAATCATGTAATTACTAAACCGAACTATGTGGTAAAATAAATAAAATTCTTCACAAATATAAGAAAACAGTTGAATGCACTGAATTAAAAAATAACACTAATTTAATTAAATAAAGTCAGATTTAGCCTTGGTAACTTTTTTATTCATGAAAACTTTGTTTTATTATCTATTTATTGTGATTTTTTTCGTTCAAAAATATAAACATTTGAAATGTATTGGATTTTCCAGAATATGAAAATTCCACAATCGTGAGATATAAAACTTTACACCAGAAAGAGCTAAAAGAGTTGCTGACAACGTAGAAGAGATTAATTTCTATATTAGATAGAAAATTTTAACATCACATTTTTGTCCCCCCTATAGGATATTTTTGATAAAAAATATCACAGACTTAGCAACTAAAAAAAAATTTCCCAATTGCCTTCCATCAAAAAAAAACCTTGGAATGTTTCACGTTGAACTGTTGGTGTGGGGGCATTAAACCTGTGCTTATTCAGGGTCCATCTGTAACCACCCCCCCTCCCCTCCTCATCCATCAGGGGTGTATCCTTGGAGAATTCTACGTTGAAATTTTAGCATGGGGGTTTAGAGAAAATCGTTATCTTGTTTTCTCTCAGAGCTGACCCATATACCCAGCTGGACAGGGTCAGAAACTGGTATCTGTATGGTCTATAAAGTTAGGAAAAGAAGGATGGGAAGGATGGGGAAGGGAGTTCAGTTGTATATTAAGCCTAAGAGTGAAGGGACCAACTCCCTTGATCCTAGAAGGAGGGGGCAGGAGGATAACGAGAGTGTGGAGACAACCATCATTGAACAATTTTAAATGCATCGCAGACAGACCAGAGTTCAAAGTTCAAGTGTCTAGATGCCCGAGTTCAGAGTCCAGAGGCGAGAGTCTAGAGAGACCTGAGTCCAGAGAGGCGAGAGTTCTTTGATCATCGTTTTCATTAATCCAATATGATAAATATAGTACTCACCAAAACTAACTAAAAGATGGGCGTCTGTAGTATCTAAGCAGAAAAGAAACATGGATCAGATCGGACTCTAATCAACCTCATAAGATTGAGATTTGCTAAATTTAGCTGTACAGAACGATTTCAAACATACTTGTCTTGGTCATATTATCTCTAATTTAATTTAAGATTACATGAAGAAGAATGCAAAAATTAAGAATGGATGAAACAGGAATTTGTAAGATTGTAAGTTATGTGACATTAATTCAATGAACTCTTTAATAGGCTAATAAAATATCTTGCATGCTATTTTGAATATAAAAAAGCTACTAGATATGCTATTTCAAAATGAAAGAAATAAGATCTCCCTGACATGTTATCAAAATACTCGTCTGATATGAAACACGCCAATTGGCATGCAACTTTCAGGGTTGAAATAAGATCTCCCTGACACTTCAGTAAAAACTTTCGAATAATAACTCATTAACTTAAAATGCCATCAAAATAGCATTATAGAAATAAGAACTCAGCTCTCGACATTCTTGTAAAGAATGAGACTTTGTAATTGCGTAAAGTGTCCCTTTAATCCCTATAATTCTATCTTTGTTCCATTTTTCCTTGAACTTTAAATATTCTAGGGATGATATTCTCAATTTTCTTCACAAAAATTACATTTCTTTCATCATTATTCAACCTCAAAGATAATATTTAAGATAAAAGAAAGAAGGGAAAATAATATTTTCATCAAAGTTTTGAATTTTAAATCTAAAGAACAGATTTTATTTGGTGGGAATATGGTTTTTAGTAAATTTAAGAAAATGATCAGCCCACACAAATCACAATTTTAAAATATGAATGATTGATTTTTGATCCAAACAAATCTAAATAGAGAGTTTTCCTGTCATAAAATTACAAAAGACAGTTTACAATCTACTTTTAACAATAATTAACTCCTAGTGTTGAGAATAGATGGAGAGAAAAGAGGAGGGGGACATACAATTACAGGCCAGCTCTACCAACAAACCTGTGAGACATATTATACTGAATAATTTTATCCAGTTTCCCATGGAGGAGGTAGCTGAGGAGGAGATTAAAACTAGGATAAGGACAGTCTTCAGTTAGTCAAGGAATATGGACTGGCCCATCAAATCAGCTGGCTTTCTAGAAATTGGCATAGTTTTTGGAACGAACTAAAATTTTGAAAAAAAATTTTTTTTTTGAAAGATTGTGTGTCGTTACACAAAAAAATACTTATGATGGAAGAACAACTTGGATCGTTAAGAGAAATGAAAAAACTATCGTTTTTATAAAACGATTGAAGGAAAAACAAAAACGAACGATTTGGAATTGTCAAACGATCTTGATTCCAAAAAATTTTGAAAAAAAACTATATTTTTTAGTGAACAACCGATTTTTTTTTAAACAACCGTTATTAAAAAATGGTAGTAATTTTACTAAAAGAATGGTTTTTTTCACATTTTTTTGTAAAAATTATCATATTTTTTAGCTAAACGAACTTTTTTATGAACAAACGAATTTACTGAGAAAGTGAACGTAATAGATAGAAATTAAACGATAATTTAAACGAAATCAATTGAAAAAGAAACTAATGAAATGGGTCTTCATGAACGATGAACTAACGAAACTGAAAAAAAGAACGCTCCAATCTCTAATTAGAACCAGCTTTTATGTATTCAGATCCTCTCTGCTTGATTGGAAGGCTTTGACAAGTCACTGGTCATCAGATGGTGGCAGTTCAAGCAATCTTGAGTGGATTGTAACTTTAAAACAAACAGCTTCCTTTCCATATCCATAGAGGAGTTTGAACTGGGTCCACAAGGTTAAACAAGGTGACCTGCATGGCAAATGGATTCGAACAAAGGAATGCGCACAGATTCAGTCTGCTTGTAAATTTTTAAGACAGGGTCGATTTTAAGTGTCGCAACACTTGGTTTTAAAGACGTAATTGGCAAAATTCTCATCGATTTTTTCTTGAGAGCCTTAGACCTTTAAATCACAGTGTATCTGGTGGAAGTTTTACAAGGTCCAGGTCCTTTTTAGCCCTTCTAGATTTTGTGATATGGTGATTCAGTCTCCTCAAGATGTCAAGATGACCTGAATGTGATAGAAGACCTCTGCATGAAGCTTTTTCCTACTCTCAATACCTTGGAACCAAATATAAAGCAATTGTGGCTGAGGGTAAAATAAATTATGCCGAGGAGAGGTTTTGCAAATATTGAAAATGTTAAAATAGATAATGTATGTAATCCTCTGCCTCTTTGTAAAAATAATACCTTAAACAAAGTAATACTAGCATGTACAATTGTTGAAAATATCGAAACCAAAATTGTTTTGTTCAAATTAAGTGTAAAGAGTAAACAGCACATTTCAAAATCTTATTGTTCTATTTTTCTTAATTTCGCTGAACCAAAAGTGTTTGTAGAATGTAGATTGCCAAGCCCATTGATTATTAAAAATTAAAATTTTCAACCATTCTAAATTTTTTATCAAGGACAAGATACCCTTCAGTTTTCGAACAAAATATTTGACCTAGATCATACAACTGCATGCAAAGATGTCAAAGATTGGAAAATTGGTCGGCAAGAGAACATATAATGCCAAGGGATTATGACTTGAAAAAAATAAGCTTATTCTTTCTAAAAATCATTCTTCAACCAGTCTCGAATTTAATTTGTTGAACTTTCACTTGACTGACTGAACACCCATAAACCTCGACCTTAACCCTTTTTAAAACCTCTGGAGTTTTTTTTAGAACAAATTTGATGGACTACCCTAAAACCTTTACCATACTGTGAGCTCAGTTACATTTCATATGGTAACATATCATATAATTACACTTGCTATAATTACATTTCATATAAGTTACAATTTATAACTACATTTCCTAAAAGGTTACATTTCCTATAATTTCACTTTCTATATTTACACTTCCTTTACATTTCCAAATTCTAAATTGATTTCACATTTATGTAACTGCAGCGCTTGGCTCTCTAGCCTGTTCTAGCCCCGTCTCTCTTCCCAGACTTTAACCAAACTAAGGTGAGAGACAGAACATTATGTAACATTTAACAGGCCGCAGTGCTCGGCCTCCTAGCCCATCCTAGCCGCAGCACTCGCCCCAGAAATTGTCTTAACCTAACCTAACCCAACATAATGTGTAGTGATAGGAAGTGTAATTTTATATGAAATGTAACCACATAGGAAAAATTATTATAGCAAGTGTAATTATAGCAGGTGTAATTATGTCAAATGTGTAATTAAATGACATGTAACTAAGCCTTGGTCCATCAGATTTTAAAGCTCTAATGAATAAAGAAACCGGCGGACCGTCCCTGTCCTCGCTACTATCCCCAAATCGTCCCTATTATATATTTATCATCTTTGTAATTCCCTAGTCGTCACTACCGTCCCCTCATCATCAATCGTCAGAAAAAAGAAGTATTCTGGCAAAAGTTTAACCAATAAAAAGACTCTGGAAGTTATGATTTTTAATTAAGATATTTTTTGTAATAAGAGGGTGGTCAAATGCCCCCCCCCCCCAGTCCGAATTGAATAAAGATGTCTGTATAGCAACACTTCTTTACCCGAAAGAATTGGAGAAAACGAAAAAAGAATATATATATTTGTGTGAACATATAAAGAAAGTGTTTTGGCAGTGAGTCTTAATATTTGTTTATTAAAAAGTTATAGCAAAAAAAACTTTTTACATAACTGGATTTTTGCTGAAAAGATTTTTATACAAAATTTTCGTATAAATATGAAACAGTTTAAAGTTTTATATCAATTTCTTAAAACAGGAACATCAGATAGAAATTTGAAGGGTCTCGAACAACGCCTAAAACGCTTAGGTTTTAGCCTGTACCCACTTTCCGTCCCTTTAAGCAGTAAACCGAATAGGCTCATGCTGGTGTGGTAACAGTTCGCCCAATCACGTTTCACCCAATCACATTTCATCCAAAAAGTTTCACCCAATTTCAGGTGAAATAACGTTTCACCCAATTCACGTTTCACCCAAATTACGATTCACCCAACTCATGTTTTGCCCAAATTACTTCAGAGTTTCGCCCAATTTTTGTATTCCTCTTACATACAGTGTACATTAATTTATTGCCCAATTTCCGATCATAATTCATAAATTTCTGGACCTATTTGCCTCAAATTTTGATTGGGGAAATCATGAAAAAACTGGGAATTTTCTTAGATTATAGTTTAAAAATTCTAATCTGAGAGGGTCGACTGACTAGCTCATACATACAAACAAAGCTGGGTTCCCGAGGTAGTGAATCGTTACTAGGTGAAACGTGATTGGGCGAACTGTTACCACACCAATAATATTTTTTTGTAGAACTTTCTTCTGCGTGCTACATGCTCATTTAACCCGATCAGGGATATTATAATTAATTTGAACTCGTTCTATCTATCTATAAGGTCTTAACTCAAGGTTTATAATAAAACAGGCACTAATTATTCGTTTGTTAAATATCGAATAATTGAACAGTTTCCCAGATTTAAGGGGAAAAAAAATAAATTTGAGTGTTTACTACTTAGAATACTGTAGATAAATGATATTTCATTAAAAACAAAATAGAAAATGATCAATCTGATGTATGCAAAAAAGATCAAAATTTAGAAGATTTGATTAAACAAAATGTCGATTTTTTTATTTATCACTAAAAACAGAAAAAAATAATGTAAAATTTGGCGACTTCAAATATTGTTAAAATTGTTGATAGAAGAAATTGCACGAACCGCCGGAAAATCCCAGTTCATTTTATTGCTCAATTTTCTTCAGTTTTATGTATGTTCCACGCGCACACCCATTAGAAAAATATTTATTTATTTTTATTTATTCATGTTTATTTAACTACAAAGCATAATATAATATACTAATACAATTCTCAATTTACTAAGTAGTTTGGACCCGCCTAACCAGAGTAGGTTGTTTTAATTAAAACAAACAAGAATTGTTAATACATGGGTGTACACTGTACAGTGTACATTCTAAACATAATAATGATGATAAATGAGGAAAAATGTATGGAGATGGTGAGGAAGTATAATAAGATAGAATAAATAAATGATGGAAAGGTTGATGAATAAAAGATTAAAATGATGTTTCCATTTTGATAAATGTGAAGATGCGCTACCTTGATGAGTCAGGTTGCTGTAAATGGTTTCCTGTCTGCATTTGATGACAACGCATTATTTAACCAAACACAATAACCAGTTTATTGGCGGAAAATCAACCACTATCATTCACTAACTTTTTTTGAAAAATTGCTAGCCCGTTAGTTGGAAGTTTAAATCAGGTGAAAGCTAGTCACAAAATCTTAAAAAGGAATTAATCACGAGAATATTAAATACACGGCCCGCTTATATGTATGCTTCTATCTACCGATCTTTTCTGGGCTAACGTACATGTAACTTTGTCGGTCGGTGGGCTACGCAGCTGTTATATCTCAGTGGACCCTAGATATTTTTAGGAAATTTCTAAAACCTCTGCATACCAAATTTTAGGTTTTACTGTAACAAATTTTTATTCTGGCTATTGTTCATTCTATAAAAATAATTTGTCTTTTAAAAAGTTTGAACTGAAGTACAGGGTCCAAATTAGAGAAGAACTTTAATAGATAGTGGGCCCTGGAGTGAGCAGAAATGAGATACTGTAGCTAAATCTTGTGATCATATCATTTTCTTCAAAGAGTTGGTAGCATCAAAGGCGCCTTGTTTCCAGATAAAACCGCTAAAGCCAACTATTTCTTCGGTGCAGTGTACTGCAATTTATTCTTCGGTCAGTGTACTGCAATTTATTCTTCGGTCAGTGTACTGCAATTTATTCTTCGGTCAGTGTACTGCAATTTATTGCATTATACTGCACCGAAAGCCTAGTTAATAGTGGAAAATTTAAATTAGGTGAAAGGTATGTTCAAATTCTTTCTTTAAAAAAGGGTTTAATCATGAGATCAAATAAAAACTCGTAAATATTAAAGATACCATGCAAAAAATCGTCTTATGTAATATTTCGTTTGAATTATGAATGAAAACTCTCATGTCTGACTCTAACATCCAAATTTGTTCCATATCTATCTTAATTTTTAGAAAGTAAATTAATCAACCTTTTGCAAACTGAAATAAAAAATTTGCTTTGATGATTATTCATTTTGTCTCCTTTCGATCTTTTTTAAGAAATCCATCAAAAGTAAAAACGTTAAAATTTATAAATTGTGTCAATTTCTAAAATGCATTCCTTCAAGTTAAAACTGTGCCGTGAACATTTTTAAATGATGTTTACACGAAACGGAAATAAGATAAACAATGAATAAAAAAACGGTAAAACCCAGAAACTTCTGGAAAAGAAGACGACTTTTAGACTTAAGCTATCTATGGCCTGAAGTAGTCCAATGTAGAGGAGAAACAGCAATTGTGCTGTTTTTAATAAGTGATTTAATCAGTTACTAGTAACACGTTTTGCTCTGTAACAACATCAAATACACTTAAGTTTTGTTAAAATGTCGTCTTATTTTTCCACAGTTTTCTAGATCTCACTGTAGAATCTATGAAGACAATCCCTTTAACCCAAGATAAATATAAAGTTAATGCATAAAGATTTAAAAGTTTAAGAATTCTCTAAAACCTTAATGGAATGCACGGCTTATATATGTATACATATATAAACTACAGACAACAGATTAAACAGAGCTAACAACTTTTAAAAGGATGTAATTTATATTTACATCCTTCAATTTAATTACAGAAATTCCCGTTATGATTTCGTAAGTTGTGTTAACTGATAACCTGCTTATAACTGATCTGAAAATGTTCAATAAACCAGAACTTTTATTTCGTGAATCTCAGAATCAAGCATTTATCTCCATTTTATGCAGACTTACGGAGTAATCTAATTCCTCTTCTGTATCCCGTGATCATACCTTGCAGGGATAAATTAAAAAGTGTCCACATTGTATATCAAGATCAAGCAATCAAGTTAACATTCCATGCACATTTTTATTTTAATTACTTGGAGAGAAAAAGTAAAAAGCAAGCAACCTTCGCCTTTTTTAAAAAAGTTTATTTTCTTTTTAGATAATTCCCTATCATCTACAGAGGATGGAGTTTGGAGCAGAACTAGACGGGAGCCAAGATTATTTCCAGATGTTTTGGCCAACTATTCTATCTCATAAGATTGATCAGGTCAACTGATAGATAGATCACGCAGATAATAAAAGAGGTTCAGTCCAGGTTAAAGATCTAATATTTTTGTAGATGGTTTTCCAACATCCGGTTGTGTTGCACTACTATTAAAGGGAGTGTTCGTCAAGAATTAATCAGGGTTTCAGATTTTTCTTTAAAAAGATATTTGCATAAATAAAGACCCTTTCCTTCCATAACAATTTATTACGGCTCCAATACCTCCTAGCTGCATGATCTGTGAGTAAACCCTCTCCAGTTTTTCTATTAAATTTTTTAAAATCTTTTTCCTTTTTCGATTATTAATTTAGATACGGTTTCGCGTTTTTTTTTCTTTCGGAGTTTCCCCGTTTGTTTTATTTTTGGAACGATTAGGTATAAAACTTAAGAAAGATTTCATGCAATTAATTAATGTTCGAAAAGATTCTTTTGGACTGCAGTTAATTTAAAAAGTCTTCTCAATTTTATTTTTCAATGAACAGTTGTGTTCCAAATTTGAATATTTTATAATCCCAATTTAAAATTAAAGTTTATCCCAGTCTAACTTAATGCAAATTATATTCTCATTTAATTTAACCTTTTTTCGGAAATGAAGGAACAACTCAGATAGAAAACCTTAAACCATTAACAATTTACAATCTGATGAAAGATTGATAAAAAAAAAACACAGAAAATCTGCTTCATGAATTTCTGCATTCCAGGACTGGGAGTTACAAATTTGCGGAAAAGGAAAAGGAATATTTTGATTTTAAGTCTAAAGAACACTAAACACAGGATTTGTGCAGTGAGTGTGCGACCTGATAATTACTTGATATGTACATTTTCAAGATATTTGTTCTCAACTGTATTCTTCCTATTCAACTACTGTATGGGTCCACTGTACTTAAGAAACAAGAATATGGCAAAGTTTTAAAATAGAAAAAATATTATTTTTTTTTCTTCATGATTATTTCCAGAAACTACAATATATTTCCATGAAACATGGTTTCACATAAAAGATTGAAATATGGCTGACATTTTGTTCATCCTTAATAATTTTATAAACGCAAAAACAGCAGACTAAATTTTGAAAATGTCAAGACAAGGGGAATTTTTTAATTAATTTTTTTAAGAAAGTCAGTTGGCGAATGAATACTGTAAACTATTCCAAAGGTGCACCTTGTAACCAAAGTGAAATGCGTTCTGAATCTTCGATTTGATTTGAAAAATGTATGTTGTACCGATCAAATTGTGAACGACCTTCAAATTGTCATTTTACTGCCTTGCTTACTGGTACACTCTCTCTCCTTATAAAAGGGTATTTTTGTGAGCGTTGAATGATTACTTAAATAACGGTAACAGTTCGCCTATGTAATTCTTAATTTATATTGTTTTTATTATCATTATATTTTTAGGAATCTCCACTGTGGGATGTTTCTCCAAGGAAATTCATTTAACCATGTGAATACTAGTGTCCCTCAATGTAAAGAGAGCAATGCCCGATTTACAACAGTACCTTTAAAACCTTTGTAGGTGATCGTCTAGTACAGAGATATGTATGTGTGTGTGTAAACTTATCGAAACCCGCTTTTATTTATCTGCGATTTTCCAGTTTGCTTTGCACTGAGTTCGATGGTGTAAGTAGAACTGCACAAAGGTTTTAAGGGTGCCCTTTTTACGTAGAGGGTTACTTGAAATTTGACTTACAGTCCCATTTAATGCCCTTCTCACCTTCTCACCGATAATAAATAATAATAATTAGCTTTATAATGTTGTTGTCCATGACATAGTTTTTTACTTCGCACTTCAAATACATACATCGTTACCCAGCAAGTGTCTATAAAAATTATAATTATAATATTTCTCCGGACACAGTTATTTATGAAAAGAAAGTCTAATACATAATACCAATGAATATCAAACAGGTTATTTAGTTTACCCTGAAATTTCCCAAATAAGTGAACGGTCCCTTTAATGAATACCCATCACTCATAAATTATCTATTTTATTAGTGATTATAAATCTTTTTAATCAATTTTTTTAACAATCTGTTTTAATTTGAAAAGTCTTTTTTATATAAATTTTTATATAAATATAAAACTATCATATGTTCAGGCCTACCGCCAAAGATTCAGACTGTAAAGACGACATAAAACTTTTAGAATATGACGATAACAAAGTTGAGTCATGAAAATAGTTTTTTTTAGATTATTTACCATATTGGTCTAAGAAAGAAACGCGTTTACAGTTGCAGGGAATCGTGAATATAAGAAAACGGACGATATAAATTCCGTACAGTCATATGTGAAATTGTAACCTTTGTGGGTCGATTTCAAGTCAGACCGATTAGCCTAGTTTTACCTAAATATTCCATCTGTTATAGATTAATAAAAATTCAGATAGAGCACTAGATGTCGTCTTTTCAAGATTTAGGAGTTTTTCGTTTACAATAACCCTGCGACAGAAGCACAAAGGTGTTACGCGCATGCTCTCTCTCTCATGCGGCATACGCGTAACTCCTTTGGGCCTTTGCCTTAGGGGTATTGTGAACGAAAAACCCCTAAATCTTGCAAAGACGACATTAGTTTTCTGTCTGTATTGTTATTAATCCATGCCATCTACATTCAACAAACATTATTTGCGGATTTTAATGAAAACGTTTATAGTAAAATCGACAATAAGTCTTAAAGTTTACATATTGATAAATACCTCGAGAATGTTGTTAAATGAATTGTTGTTCAGAACTTTAAATTCAAGTATATTCGAGATTGTTCTGACAATGGAGGGAACAACACCTGAAACTGGGAATACGATACAGGTTAATTTCTGTAAAGAAGCAGAGAAATAATTTCGCTTAGGTTACTTTTCTTTATTTTTTAGCCGTGTTATCTTCCATTGGTAAGTACGTGTACTTAAAAGTTCTGAAAGAAGGGTGAAGTTTTTCAGGTAGTTGGGACTACCCTAAATATTCTAATTATTGTCGCGATTTTCAAGAAAAAAGAATAAATAAAATGAACACGTTTCTTTAGGTGTGCCCCCTAAANTTAGCCTAGGGTAAATCTTTCTTCCTAACGACAAACCCGATTTAATTCTTATTCCTAACATGCATGCTGAAATTGGATAAAAAGGATGTACTAAAAAAGTATCATAAACTTGGGCAATAGTCCTAACACAACCTAAAAGAAACGAAAATAATATCTGAAAAATTTATTTTGAAATTAGGATGTTCTTTTCTTTGATTATGATTTCGTTTAAAGGATGTTTTTTTTTCAGGTTCGAACCTCGTACCTTCCGAATGAAGTTCTGTGGGGGTATAGGTTCGAGCACACATGTGTGATATACGATATAAAGGCTGCCAAATACGAGGTTTCATTCAACAATCTCAACAAACATATTGCAGACAGGACTCCCAGGTAGACATTTTGGAGGTAGGACTCCCAGGTAGATATATTATAGATAGGACAAACCATTAACAATTTACAATCTGATGAAAGATTGATAAAAAAAAAACACAGAAAATCTGCTTCATGAATTTCTGCATTCCAGGACTGGGAGTTACAAATTTGCGGAAANCGGTAGACATATTTCAGATAGGACTCCCAGGTAGATATATTTCAGATAGGACTCCCAGGTAGATATATTATAGATAGGACTTCCAGGTAGACATATTTCAGCTCAGAAACCACGGTAGACATATTTCAGATAGGACTCCAATGTAGACATATTTCAGATAGGACTCCAATGTAGACATATTTCAGATAGGACTCCAAGGTAGACATATAATAAAGATGACTCCTAGGTAGATATATTTCAGATATGACTCCCAGGTAGATATATTACAGATAGGACTCCAATGTAGACATATTTCAGATAGGATTCCCAGGTAGACATATTTCAGATAGGACCCCCAGGTAGATATACTTTAGATAGGACTTCCATGTAGGTATATTGTTGAAAGGACTCCAAGGTAGATATAATGTAGGTAGGAGTCCCATGTGGATATATTGCAGATATGACTCCCAGTCCCGTGAATATATTTTTCAATTAGCAGATAGGACTCCCCATGTATGTTTTTTTTGCAATTTGCAGATAGGACGTCTCTGAGATATTTTTGTCCAATGCTTTTTCCAAAACATGACTAAATGACATTTAGTAATAATGTATATCCAATTAGATTTCTTTGATATCTTCTAAATATCATAAATAAGGGCTTCGGCATTGTCAATCATGAGATGATTACCTCTCAAACTTTAAACTCGTGTTTTTCTTTTAACTTTTAATGAATAAATTAGACATCTTTGGATTTGAGCCGTTTATATTGGGTTGAAATTCAACCCCTCAAATGAAAATAATTATTTTTAAAAGTGCAGAATTCGAAATTTTTAGTTAAGGTCTAATTATGCATACTGGAAATATGGCACAAAGTTTATGGTTGAAAATTTGAAATTAAAATTCTAATAATTCAGGTGCAGTGCTAAAGATTGGGAAGAGAGAAGAGTTACCAGTGCATCAGTGAGCAGTGAAAGCTTTATTTGTCAGCAGATAGATGAGCTGACAGGACCACACCAACCATAAACCTGTCAGCAGATAGATGAACTGACAGGACCACATCAACCGTAAACCTGTCATCAGATAAATGAGCTGACAGGACCACATCAACCCTAAACCTGTCATCAGATAGATGAGCTGACAGGACCACACCAACCGTAAACCTGTTAGCAGAGAGATGAGCTGACATCAAGACCACATCAACCGTCAACCTGTCAGCAGGTAGATGAGCTAACAGGACCACATCAACCATAAACCTGTCATCAGATAGATGAGCTGACAGGACCACATCAACCGTAAACCTGTCATCAGATAGATGAACTGACAGGACCACACCAACCATAAACATGTCATCAGATAGATGATCTGACAGGACCACATCAACCGTAAACCTGTCATCAGATAGATGAACTGACAGGACCACACCAACCATAAACATGTCATCAGATAGATGAGCTGACAGGACCACATCAACCGTAAATCTGTTAGCAGAGAGATAAGCTGACATCAAGACCACATCAACCGTAAACCTGTCATCAGATAGATGAGCTGACAGGACCACACCAACCGTAAACCTGTTAGCAGAGAGATGAGCTGACATCAAGACCACATCAACCGTAAACCTGTCAGCAGGTAAATGAGCTGACAGGATCCCATCAACCGTAATTTTGCCTGCAGATAGATGAGTTGACAGGAACAATTCGACCAAAAGAATAACATCAACCATACACCTGTTTGCAGATTGATGAGCTGACAGGAATACATTGATCAAAAACCTGTCAGCAGGAAAGCTGACAAGACCTCATCAGCTATAAACCTGTTAGCAGAGAGGAGACATGACAGGACCACAGAGATCATAAACGTGTCAGCAGACAGGAGAGATGACATGAAAACATCAATCATAATCCTGTCAGCAAAAATCAACCTTTAATCTGTCAGCAGCAGACAGAGCATAACTGTCAGCACAAAGAAAATTTGACAAGACTCCACTCATCAACCCTTTTAGGGTCCGTTATTTGATGTATAAAGCAAATAGTTTTACCATTAGCTTAACCCTAAACAGGCTGTGGGGGGCGTGTTTGACTAGTTTCTTTTTACCCTAGCACTCTCATTTTTGATACTATCACCTTCAAAATTTAATTTTAAGGAATAAGGTAGGGTACATATATGCCAACATGGCGGTAAAAAAGGGCGGTCCGTGAAAAATGGATGCAGAAACATGTGTCACAACTTAATATTCATCAAAGACAAAACAAAATTATTTTTTACATTTTTCCGACCCTTTTTTGGCATTTTTTTAAACCTCATAGCACCCAAACTATTTAAGTTAGACCTTTAATTTTTTTCAATGAGCTGGCCTTGAAAAATTGTGATATGAACATACATTGCAACCTTAAACCTTTACTATAAGGCTCTACATATATTCAGGCCCCCCATCAGCTATTAAAGGTTTAAAGTTTAAATTATTAAATAAAATGTATCTGTATACAATGAACACACTTGCTGTGTTTCATGTTCATTGGACTGTTTAAATGCATAATTTAAGTCTAACAGTCGTCTTCCATTCCACAGTTCTATGGGTCCCAAAGTATCATTGTTAGCTTTACTTCATAACATTATTAAGTTCATCATTGTCCATTAAAAATGTCAGCGGAACTAAATCTCATTATTTGATTATTAACATGTTGATTCTCTTGTTTTTAAAGTTACAAATATATGATTGTTTTTCTTATTTTCTTCACTGCAATTTAAATACTATTTTCAGATTCATTGCTTGATACCATGATTCTGTTTAAAGAATACTGCACGAGATTTTTCATCCTATAAATGTGTAAAACGGTTGAATAAATTGACAACTTGCAGTAAATTGATTTGAATATAATCTGATATAAATCTTGACTTAAAAGAACATTTTTGTTAACCTAATATAGATTACTGTCAGATGTGCCATTAAATGTGGCAATTTTGCGGACATTTCACCAAACCTTGATAGCATTGACAGTTTTTTTGTATCTTTACTGTGCAGCGCACAAGAAGAGAATTACTAAGAAACCGGGTAAGCCCCCTCCCCCGAACCATTAAACAAAATATTGGACTAAAAAAGCTATTAAATAAAAATGAGAGTATAGTGTCTCATATTCTTTTTTACCCAACTAATTCTTAACGAACACTTAATTTTAATGATCCAATTTCCCTTGTACTTTTTTATTAAGGAGCAACCATACACTTGGACAAGGGAGAGAACACCTGGTCGCCATGAGCCTCCGATATACAATAGTACGGGCCTCCTAGTTCTGCTATGCAGCACGAACCTTAACCATACAGTATAGTGCCTCCGATATACAATAGTACAAGCCTCATAGTTCTGCTATGCAGCACGAACCTTAACCATACAGTATAGTGCCTCCGATATACAATAGTACAAGCCTCATAGTTCTGCTATGCAGCACGAACCTTAACCATACAGTATAGTGCCTCCGATATACAATAGTACAAGCCTCATAGTTCTGCTATGCAGCACGAACCTTAACCATACAGTATAGTGCCTCCGATATACAATAGTACAAGCCTCATAGTTCTGCTATGCAGCACGAACCTTAACCATACAGTATAGTGCCTCCGATATACAATAGTACAAGCCTCATAGTTCTGCTATGCAGCACGAACCTTAACCATACAGTATAGTGCCTCCGATATACAATAGTACAAGCCTCATAGTTCTGCTATGCAGCACGAACCTTAACCATACAGTATAGTGCCTCCGATATACACTAGTACAAGCCTCATAGTTCTGCTATGCAGCACGAACCTTAACCTTACTGCAGTATATGAGCCTTCGCTAGACAATACGAGCCAAGGGTGTAATGCAAGGAAAGTTAATTGCGGTCGTGTATACTCTGCGTACATATTGAAACCAGTTTTCTTTGGGCGGAATTTGTAAACAAGAATAGATGCATCAGTGTTCGTCTAGTCTCCGAGGAGAATAAAAGCTTTGAATTATGAAAATTTTGAGAATTCACATAATAGTTTCCTTTGACCAGAATATTTCATTGATTTTTTAATGTGAAAGATGGATCCCATGTCAGGCTTTGACATCCGTCTTGTGTTTACATTACCGCCCAGAGACAGTACACTGCAGTACAAAAGATGTGTACACCTCTGAAATAACTTTCCTTGCATTACATCCTTGGTACGAGCCTCCTAGTTCTGCTATGCAGCACGACCCTTAACCATACAGTATAGAGCATTCGCTTTACAATAAACACGCCTCCGCCGTACAGAAAATCTTTTTTTAAACTCTTGTTTTGTGTAATGAAGAATTTTTAACATATAATTGGACATAGTGGGATAAGAATTTCAAGAAGATTAGATTTATTTATTGAATATCATGATATGAACTCATAAAGTGTTCTATAAGATTTTTCTTTGATAAGTTATTTAAATTTGAATAAATAATCAATGTAAAAACTTATCTGTCACAATGTTTAAATATACGAGCTTTAAAACACGTCTTTAAGAGGAGACTGAACAGGACGCTGAACAAATCCACTAAGTCAGGCATATAGGGGCCAAACACCGTATAACCAACGTACTACTTCAAGTTTATTTTACGTAGATGCTTATTGAGGATGCACATTTGGATCCGCGAGTTTAGATTTAAGAAATTTTACCTTTACAGGAAAATTTGTAAAGGTAGAAATGTCAATCATATATATTAGATATTTCCAACTCGTCAGTTTTCTTGTTCATAAAAATCTGAACCTCTACATTAAAACATAAATATATATATTTTGTTTTTTGTTTATTAGATGATTAATTTAAAGATAAAGCTCAACTTTATGTTTCATGTAGTGATCAGAAATAAGAGAGTGGGGACTAGAGACAACGAATATGTGTTCATGTTTTGTGCCATGATCAATACATAGAGTTTTCATGATCAATACATAAGTTTTCATGATCAATATACATAAAGTTTTCATGATCAATACATAGAGTTTTCATAATCAATACATAGAGTTTTCATGATCAATGCATAGAGGCTTCATGATCAATACATAGACGTTGCATGATCAATACATAGAGTTTTCATGATCAATACATAGAGGCTTCTTGATCAATACATAGGCGTTTCATGATCATTACATAGACGTTTCATGATCAATGAGGTTTTATGATCTAAACAAAGAGTTTTCATGATCAGTACATAGAGGTTTAATGATCAATACATAGAGGTTTTATGATCGATACAAAGAGGTTTCATGATCATAGAGGTTTCATGATCAAAACAAAGAGTTTTCATGATCAATAAATGAAGGTTCCATTATCAATACATAGAGGTTTCATGATCAGTACCTAGAGGTTTAATGATCAATACATAAAGGTTTTATGATCAGTACAGAGAGGTTTTATGATCATTACATAGAGGTTTAATGATCAATACAAAGAGGTTTCATGATCAGTACATAGAGGTTTCATGATCAGTACATAGAGGCTTCGTGAGCAATACATAGAGGTTTTATGATCAGTACATAGAGGTTTCATGATCAATACTTAACTTGGTTTCATGATCAATACATAAAGGTTCCTTGATTAATACGTGGAGGGTCTATGATCAATGCATAGCGGTTCAATGATTGATACTGAGAGGTTCCTTAATCAATGAAAAAATGTTCCATGATAACTACATCGAAGTTCAATGATTGAAACACAGAAGTTTAAATGGTACAATTGGGAATCCTTGATGGAACTCAATAAATGCAGGCCGGCTCAATATTTCGTTGATAGTTTATGTCTTTTGATTCAGAATGTTTATTGTTTTTCTTCAAGTTTTTTAAAATCTGAAGAATACATCTTCCCGCCTAGATGAGAGTCCTTTATGTATTCTATTTGAGAAGAGTATGCGAACGGAGGATGTAAATAGGAATAGAGGCCGTTATCCCGGGGGGTTTGTCACACAAAGCACCAATTCACAAATATTCAGGGCAAACAAATGATTTCCGAAACCACCAAAAACTATCGTTTTGTAGTCTACACTTTGCAATTTACTTACATGTGTTTAGCCTAGGGTAAATCTTTCTTCCTAACGACAAACCCGATTTAATTCTTATTCATAACATGCATGCTGAAATTGGATAAAAAGGATGTACTAAAGAAATTGAGTCTTTGTCACAAACTCTGATTTAAATTTAATGGCGTAGACCTTAGATATATCAAACTGTGAATTCTGTTAGATAAAATAATCAAAGGTTTACATTATCAGGTTGTAAAGATATAGGGATTAAATAATTTAACTCCAATCCGTTATCCATGTTTATAAAAATTATGTGAAATCAACAAATTTTCTCTAACTATAGGAATTTTTTATTTGACTGATTTCGTTCAGAATATTTAATAAATGCAAAAATGGATAATTTGTCTTTCTCGCGATGGGTAACGAAAGAGAAATTTTGAGGTCGAAGTATCACGAATATCTGAGTCCAAAACTAAAAGAGAGAAGTTACAACTAAAATGTTAAGTTTCAGCTTTACTTAAATTAACCCTCCCTTAACCTGAAGCTATAGCTTAAATATCTAACTCAACGGTTGTGAGCTATGAAATGGTCTATTTCTATTCGATTTCTCTGTATTATTAATATCCCTGATCACTGATATCTGAGTCCAAAACTAAAGGAGAAAAGTTACAACTAAAATGTTAAGTTTCAGCTTATATGCCGCTCTTTACTTAAATTAACCCTCCCTCAACCTTAAGCTATAGCTAAAATATCTAACTCAACGGTTGCGAGCTATGAAATGGTCTATTTCTATTCGATTTCTCTGTATTATTAATATCCCTGATCACTGATATCTGAGTCCAAAACTAAAGGGGAAAAGTTACAACTAAAATGTTAAGTTTCAGCTTATATGCCGCGCTTTATTTAAATTAACCCTCCCTCAACCTTAAGCTATAGCTTAGATATCTAACTCAACGGTTGTGAGCTATGAAATGGTCTATTTCTATTCGATTTCTCTTTATTATTAATATCCCTGATCACTGATATCTGAGTCCAAAACTAAAGGAGAGAAGTTACAACTAAAATGTTTAGTTTCAGCTTATATGCCGCTCTTTACTTAAATTAACCCTACCTCAACCTGAAGCTGTAGATTAAATATCTAACTCAACGATATCGACGAGTTAAATATTTAACCCCGGTAAATCCCCGTAATCTTATAGTTTTCCATCTGTCAATGCTGATTCTCTGGAAAATGTTGCGGCGCTTGAGTATTCTTTCAAACCAATGTTATGATATGTGAGTATTGGATTAGATTTAATTTCACCCCGAATTCACTATTTTACAGAACTAGCGCATTTTTTAGTTTTGAACTCTGGATAACTATACAAGTTATTTATCAAGCTTTTAGACAACCTCGACTACAACGGAGTGGGCTTTGGTTTTACCTCGCCAATTCAGTTATACTTGTAGCCCTAGGCATATACATTCTAAGACTGCAACACTTCTAGCTTCAGTTTAAAATTTAAAAAAATTGGCAAAACTGTTCGATTCGCGGGAGGTCGTGCACATCTTGGTTTGCAATGAATAGGGATATTTATACATAGCAATCTAATAGAAATAGAAATAGTGCGGACTATTTCATAGTTCGCAACCGTATGATATTAAATATTGCCTTGAAAGTTGTAAATTTAAATATCCAATTGTAACCTTTATTTTTCAAAAAATAAAAGATATAATAAAAAATGAGATTATGTGTTCTAAAAGATCAAAGGGAAACTGGTTTAATTCAATTGCTCAAGCTCAGCATGTGAAATCTTGTAAGAACCGTATACTCAAACTTTATATCTTTTATTTTTCCTTCGCCTCCCTAACCTTCCAGTCTACCTCACTCCCTAACTATCCAGTCTATCTCCCTCCCTAACCTTCCAGTCCACCTCCCTCCCTAACCTTCCAGTCTACCTCCCTCCCTAACCTTCCAGTCTACCTCCCTCCTTGCCCTTCCAGTCCACCTCCATTCCTACACTTCCAGTCTTCATGCCTCCCTAAAATTCCAGTCTACCTCATTCCCTAACCCTCCAGTCTACCTCTCTCCCTAACCTTCCAGTATACCTCCCTCCCTAACCTTCCATTCTACCTCACTCCCTAACCTTCCAGTCTACCTCTCTCCCTAACCTTACAGTCTACCTCTCTCCCTACACTTCCAGTCTATAGGACACCCTGTAAAATGTCTATAAAGTATACTTGAACCCCGGGCCTGTCCTAAAGTACACTAAACACCCTGTACAGAGCAGACCCTTGGTTTTCAGATTTCACTTGGTATTATTGCAGTTACACAGCAGTTAGTGTTCTCAGAACTCATATTAGTTTAACTTAGACCACTCTGCCTATACAATATATGCATATATACAATATATACAATATATACGATATACTCTTGTATAATAGCTTATTCTTTTTAGCCGTACATTCAACATTTCACATTCAGCTTAAAGATAAAATTTTCCAGATTTTATGAATTGTAGAATTTCTAGTTGATACCGTTTCTTTTCTATCATATTAAATTGTTCACTTCTTTTCGATTAATTTAGGTTTTCAATTAACGCTGCTTTCAGGGCGCTTCGCGCCCATCTTCTATTTTTAATTGTGAACATATTCTTCTTGTTTACATTGTAGAGCAAAAAAAAAGAATTTCGCGGATTTTTAAAAAATATTTCTTGGATTTTTTAAATCTATTTGGTTGGAGGCTAATTTTTAATTTTGATCATCCATAAAATTCCCTGGGGTCATGTGAGGTCCCGCAAAAAAATTTGGGCCGGATCGGTTCAGCTGAGTTGACGTTTATTGGATACAAACAAACAGACACTTGAGTAAAGCATATATATATATATATATATATATTTAGATTTATTCCAATTCTTTTGATCTGCTTAAGTTTTTTAGTAATTCAATGATTAAGTGATTTAGTTATTCAGTGATTAAGTTGTAAATATAAGTTCTTTGTATCATGGTATAGACGATGTCATTAATTTACATCCAAAATTTATAGTTTCTATATACATGAGGAAACATGTATATTTTCTCATGTTATTATTTTGTGTTAGCAGACATTTTGTTTTTATGACAACTCAACTTTCACCGCGGATACTCAAGATAGAAATATTTGGTAAATACAGAGAGGGTTAAAGTTAATTAATGGATCTGTCAACGTAGAATTTAATGGCTCTTTAGTTGGAGAGTGTTATTTCCAAGTTAGAGTTGGAAACTTAGCCTCAAGCACCAAGAACTCTTTATCACGATGAACTAAAAAAGAGAATTCAATAAGTATGACCTTTTCCGAAAAGATAGTTTTCTATTATTCATAAATGTCAATTTTAGGTTACTCTCGGGACAGAGATATACATGCGTTGTAGTTTTTTCTGCTTAGAATGAATTAAATCTAAGTTAATCAGTATATACTATACAATACACAATCACATATATAAAACAAAACGTAGAGAGATATAAATATGCATAATTGGCGTTGGATAATGTAGAATGTTGAGAGATGACTTGAAGATAGTCTTTTAATGTTTAAAATATATTGCAGCATTCATTCAACTTAATCTTACAACTAATGTGATTAAACAATAATCACAAAATATCTTGCTCCTGGCATTGCTTTTTGCTTTTGTTCAGATTTAGACAATTTTGCTTTTATTTGAAAAATTAAATCTGAAAGAAATTCACCGATAATATTAAAAGCACAAAATTAACAGATAACAATTTAGAAATGTTTGAACAAGAGGAACAAAGTGATATTATTTGTTTCACTTTTAGACTCAAGTTAGGACTTTAAATTGTCCAATGATCATGCGTCACAGCATTTGTGCAGTGTAATCAGACCCATTTTACTTAATTAATTATTTAATTACTTACTAGTAAAGCTATTACCATACTAACTCGTTTTTACATTATTGTAGCTCTGGACTTGTACTTGTGCTACAAACATTGTTTTTTTTTATTTTACCTCTTTATAACTCACTAGTCACTAATACTTGATTTTTATTGTAGTTTTTAGACATGTACTTTTTGTAATTGTAAGGCCCCGGTTTCTAGCTTTAACTTAAATGGAGTAATTGGCAAAATGCGGAAAGATTTTTTTCTCTGAGAGCTAGCTACCTAGATCACAGTCCAATACGCTTGTTTCTTTATTTCTGTAAATGTAAGAATTAATTAGCAAAAACAAATTTTACATAAAGATAAATGTAAGTTAATTCCTTAAAAAAACTTACAAAACCCATTTTATACTTTAAACTCAGTTTCAGGCTCAGCTGTCTTTATTCCTTTCTTCACAAACTTAAATTGAATCCTATATTTTGTCTCTGGAAATCAGAGGTTTTAAAGTTTGCAATTTTTGTGTTTCTTTTTTGCGGAACCGTTAAACTTTTCTATAGAAATTAGGGAAAAATTATTTTTTATTTATTTAAAATCTAATTGAGAGTTTAAAAAAATATAAATCATTATTTTCACAATACAACAGTATATCACAATGCAATATTATACAATTCAAAAAGTTACAATACAATACACAGAACGCAATATAATACGATACAACACAATACAATACAATACAATAAAATACAATACAATGCAATACAATACAATACAATACAATACAATACAATTTAATACAACACAACACAACACAACACAATACAATACAATACAATACAATACAATACAATACAATACAATACAATACAATACAATACAATGCAATACAATACAGCGCAATACAAAGCAATACAATACAATTCAATACAATACAATGCAATACAATACATTACAATAGAATACAATACAATAGAATACAATACAATACAAAACATTACGATACAATACAATACAATACAATGCAATTTAATACAATACAATAACAACTTGCAATAAAATCATAATAATTAAATATTTCAGTAAATAAAATATAAAATGAAAACTAATCCTGTATCCAAGATGAATATTAGAAGATGGCTAGGATTCTCCCTTGCAACTTCTTTACTAAATTCATGCCTGGTAACGATTTGAGGTTTTAAAAAGTGTCTTGTTTTTGCCTCAGTTTTATTGAGTCAATACCTCTGATGCAAGATTAATTGCAATGTGTAATGTCTATAAATCTCTATAATTACTGTTATAGCCAGTAACTAGATATTTCAAAGCAATTGTAATCATGTTTGCAAATAGTAGCACGATAAATATGCATCATAATGCTGAATATTCTAGATTCAAATCTTAAATGGATGGCAGTTGATATCGTAAATTTTAAAATTGAAATTGAAATTCAAGATTGAAATTCATGTTCATTAAACTGCCGGTTGGTAATATAGATTCTAATCTAAGTTTAGGGAGTCGGCGGTGGATGTTGGTTTTGTTAAATCTGTTTTGTCTTTTTTAAACATGTTGATTTTGCAGATTTTTTCCTAATCTCTAGTTTGCGGTTTATATTGTAGATTCAAATCCGCAGGTTCTCGTTGAGATTAGAGATTTTAACCCTTGTCTAGAAGGATTAATATTTTACACTTTTATTTATCAGAAATGTGAACAGGGCACGGGCAGCCGTAGTGCATTTGAATTTCCGAGCAGGGTCAACCTTTCCAGTCCCAGTTTGTACAGTACCTGGCTCTATGGACAGGACTAGCCGGTGTAACAAGGTTGACGCGGTCCGACTTTATGCTTCAAATAGGTTGAATTTACTTTTACTAAAGGGGTATAGGTGCGTGTGGGACTTAAATCCTAGGGATTAAAGTCTATCAATTTAATCCATGTTTAGGGGGATCGAGGATTTCTGTCAGATCTCCTGAATATGGGAATGTATATGGGAGAAATGAAGAATGCCCTCCCTCATGGGAATGGAACAATAGGAACCCTGCCATTTTATTGTAATTAGTCCATCTTAAACATTTCGGAAATTTTAGAATTAGAATTAGAATTTTATTTTTTATTTATTTTTTTTTCTTGTAAATTGTACAACAATAATAAAAATGATTGTATCAAATTAAAAGTATTATGGGGAAAGAATGACAAACATTCTATCTCTTCATAACAAATATGTATATGATTTTAAATAATGAGAATAGATAATACTAAAACATAAATATCAAGAAATGTGGTTTCAGTCACTGCTTTATGACAAAAATAATTAAGATTATGAAATACTTAAAACATCTGGAATTACTCTGGGATCAGTGGACAAAATATCTGAATAATTATAAATCTTCTCTTGAACTCGATGTGCATTTCTAATAAAAAAGATTAGTGTTAAAAAGTTTGGATTAAACAAAATTTAATTTTTTTTAAATTATCAGTCGGATAAATATGCTTTACAAAAAATAGAAAATTGGCGGGGTTGATATTAGTTTATCTCACCAATGATAAATTTGGTAGAATTAACTATACTGGAGAATGGAGGTAAATAAACTTTACTCGAGAATGGAGGTAAATAAAATGTACTGGAGAATGAAGGTAAATGAACAATCCTGGAGAATGGAGGTAAATAAAAAATCCTTGAGAATGAAGGTAAATAAACCATACTGTAGAATGGAGGTAAATAAGCTATATTAGAGAATGGAACTTGGACGTAAATAAACTTTATTAGAGAATGGAGGTAAATAAACTATAATAGAGAATGGAAGTATATAAACTATATTAGAGAATGGAAATATATAAACTATATTAGAGAATGGAAGTAAATGAACTATATTAGAGAATGGAAGTAAATAAACTATAATAGAGAATGGAAGTAAATAAACTATAATAGAGAATGTAAGTATATAAACTATATTTGAGAATGGAGGTATATAAACAATATTAGAGAATGGAAGTATATAAACTATATTAGAGAATGGAAGTAAATAAACTATATTAGAGAATGGAAGTATATAAACTATATTAGAGAATGGAAGTATATAAACTATATTTGAACATGGAGGTATATAAACAATATTACAGAATGGAAGTATATAAACAATATTAGAGAATGGAAGTAAATAAACTATATTAGAGAATGGAAGTAAATAAACTATATTAGAAAATGGAAGTAAGTAAACTATATTAGAGAATGGAAGTAAATAAACTATATTAGAAAATGGAAGTAAGTAAACTATATTAGAGAATGGAAGTAAATAAGCTATATTAGAGAATGAAGGTAATTAAACTATATTAGAGAATGAAGGTAATTAAACTATATTAGAGAATGAAGGTAATTAAACTATATTAGAGAATGGAGGTGAATAAACTAAACTTAAGAATGAAGGTAAATAACGTATTGGAGAATGAAGAAAAACAATATGTTTTTGAAAATAGATATAAAAAAACCATATAGGCGAGTTGAGGTAAACAAACTATAATTTAGGATAAAAGTAAATACACTCCACTGAAGAATTGGAGAATGGAGGCAAGTCAACTCGAAAAAAAATTCTTGATATTGTATGATATATATTATATTACAGGTTCGGTATGATAACTGGCTACGGGATAATGCACTGGAAAAACGGAGCCAAGTAATGAATGTTATTTTGTATTAACAATGGATGGGGAAGGAGTGTTCAGCTGGCCTAACGGAGACAAGTATTCAGGGGTATATATCAACGGAAGGTAATTTAGAAAACAAATTAATCTGCTAGCGATAATAGAAATAATAATGAAAAAATATTTAAAAAAAACAATGATTATACTTTTTAGGAGAAATGGATTAGGGGATATGACCTATGGGGACGGGGACGTTTACAAGGTTTTTATTTTTATCTTTAAATTTTTCATCATTCTTATTTCTTGTACAGTGCAGTGGCGGGGTTTTTATCAACATAATAAATGTGACTTTTCATTTTAAATTTTGATTTTTTACAAGGTTTTTAAAATTGCAAGTTTACAAGAAATCAAATAGAAATTGTTAATTGGAGACAGCCTTTTGTTGTTTCCAAGTTCATGTGTGCCCATAATGTTTGAAGGCTCCCTTCAAACATTTAGTCTCCGACAAACCGATGGCAAACATAAATAAAGTCTAGAATTATTTACCTCAAAACTTCGCCATCGTCACATAAAGTCAGTAAAAATGTTTCCTGGACTTGAAGAAAGTAACCTTCACTTTTTTGATAAATACAAGGACAACGACTTGATACTGACTTTCTGTCTTGTCTACGTTTATTGGTAAATCTTGGTTATTCCAGTATAATTGATCCGAAACTTATTGTAATGATTGAGTTCACTTGAGAGAACTTCAACTTGATTCAAAATTTTGAGATCCAAGACTCAAGACTCTATTATGAATTTCCCCATTGAAAATATTAATGGAAATTAAGTCCTGGTTTTTGGGACCACGATTAAAATTGTCACTCAATCCAATGTTGTGAGTCAAGAGAGAAATTATCCTCTTAATTGCATGGCATCTCAGAATGTTTCCATTTGTTAATGTATTATAAAGTTGAAGACTTTGATTTAGATGTCAGTGTGGGGGGGGGGTCTTATAGTTAATGGTTGACACCTTTTTATTTAAAGAGCAAGTTTAAACATTTACAACACTAAAACCTGGAAATCTTTGATAACTGATGATTTAAGATTTGTAGTTTTCAAAATGAATTAAATGAAATTGATTGAATTTAATTAAGGAATGCACAAACTATAGTCCTATGAATCTAGATAAATGTTTTCTTATACGTTGAGTCTTAAATTGAGTATTGGGTGAAATATCTATGCAATATATCTGCAGACATTTTTACTACCTTCAATATATAGACAGGATATAAGGAAGTCAAATCTTTGATTTATTGGAATCAGAAAGTTTATAAGTTTCGAAACTCATAAATTTTGTTTGCTTTCTAGAATTATGATCTACTAGATTCTCTACATACTTGATTTAAAATCTAGAATTATGTTCTACTAGATTCTCTACATACTTGATTTAAAATCTAGAATTATGTTCTACTAGATTCTCTACATGCTTGATTTAAAATCTAGAATTATGTTCTACTAGATTCTCTACATACTTGATTTAAAATCTAGAATTATGTTCTACTAGATTCTCTACATACTTGATTTAANCACTATAAAGCACTATAAAGCACTATAAAGCACTATAAAGCACTATAAAGCACTATAAAGCACTATAAAGCACTATAAAGCACTATAAAGCACTATAAAGCACTATAAAGCACTATAAAGCACTATAAAGCACTATAAAGCACTATAAAGCACTATAAAGCACTAGCTATTATAAAGTAAATTTCACCAATCTCATTGATTTTTGCATTGGATCACTTGGCACTGTCCGAAATGAATTTGAACCCCATGAGCCCACCCAGAAGAAATGTCAATTAAAATATTTATTTAGGGAGCTTGGAGGAACGGACAGTACCACGGACAAGGAGAATACAAATGGTAAATATGGTGATGCATTTAGGAAAAATGTTGTTGATGCATCTAGGAACATTGTTGTTGATGCATTTAGGAACATTGTTGTTGATGTATTTAGGAACAATGTTGTTAATGCATTTAGTAACAATGTTGTTGATGTATTTAGGAACAATGTTGTTAATGCATTTAGGAACAATGTTGCTGATGCATTTAGGAACAATTGTTGTTGATGCATTTAGGAACAATGTTGCTGATGCATTTAGGAACAATTCTTTTATGTGTCAAGCTAGGATTAATAGAGATGTATTTAGAATGAATAGAGATGTATTTAGAATCAATGGAGATGTATTTAAGATCATTGTTGATGTAATTAAGATCAAAAGTGCCGTGTTGTAGGATCAAAAGTGTTGAATTTAGGACCATTGGTGATATATTTAGGGTGTCCAAAAAATCATGAACCGGTGAATTCGGCTGCTTGTTAAAAGTGTCAAGAAAAATTGTCAAAATTGCCAAGAATACGTTGCTGCAAGATGAAAATTATGATTATGAATTTTACAAATAATTTGTATTAATAATTTAGTTTGATTATGATTAAAAAATCACAAGAACAAGACAAATGGTTTTAAAAACGTATCTTGGATTAATTTTTTAGTATTTAGGATCAATGGTGATGTATATACTGGAGACTGGAGGGATGGAGTCCCCCACGGATACGGAGAATTTATCTACGGACCACATAAGGAGATACATCTGATTTTTAGCAAAATATTATATATCTGTAGAATATCTCAGCTCATTAGGAGTTTGATTAGATTTATTTCTTAGCAATTATCTAGAAACCATCTTGAAACGATCTGCAAGACAACAACTGTTTCTTCTTAACAATTATGTAGAAAAATGTCCTTAATATTCTTCTATTCACCATTTAAAATGAAATATATCTCGGCCATTTTCTTGTTTATCTATGCCGGATGTCTTATAAATCCGTCATAATTTCTTTCTATAAAAAATATTTCCGCAGGTTTACAATGATTTTGTCTCAAAGATTGAGTTTAACGGGTAAGATATTCGGTGCAGTGTCACTTCAAAGTTTGTAATCAATTTCTTGAGAGAGAGGGGAAAATAAAAGTAGAAACATGTTGGAATAGAAATTTAACAAAATCTCAAGATGCATTTACCAGGCCGGAGAGAAATATTCAGGGCAGTACGAGCAGGTATTTAGAAATGCCTTTAAGAACCGTAAAAATGTAGGGTTGTTAGTTATTTTGGTTCGTTTATTAAAAACTTTCAAAATTTTAAAACAGTATTCTGTTAAAATTTGCTTTTAAACTTTGCAATATTTATATCCTAAAATAAAGGAAAAACGAACCAAAAAGACGATCGTTTAGCACGTATGTTTTTTGCATATTATTTTTCTCAGAATAAAAATTTCGCATAATGTACGAAAAATAAATGTTAAGAATAAATAATTTTAAAAACAATTGCTTTTCTTACATTTTGACCCTAAAAGGAAATATATACAATAAAAGGACCAAAACAATAAACAATACTTGGACTTTGAAAGAAGTTTTTGTTTTCAAAATATGTCAAGGTTAACTCTCCTCTAAAACCCACTATGTATATCTGTCAATGTGCTGCAACACACACCGAAACAATTAACTTTTTAGATAATAAAAAGTTTTGAGAACGAATTTAAAGAATTTGAGCCGCGGCTTAAATTTAAGCTGCGGCTCAAATATGGTTGGTTCCACTTCAATTTGTATTTAATGTTTCAAGATTTAACCCGGCGCTCCATTGAAACCGGTTTTTAGCGGATTTAAGACGCGGCTTAAATTCATTCAATTCGGACACTGTTTTTTATAGGATTATAATATTCACCATAAAAGCAACAATAGTTAAATTAAAAATACTATAATGATAATAATATGATATTTTCTAGGGATTCAGACATGGTTTTGGAACGTATTATTACGCAGACGGAAGGAAGTTTATACCTGCCTGCATATCTATATATATATTATCTTTGGGTCAAATTAATCAGACATTACTGGTACGACTCTGCTATCTCAAAGCTACTATAAGATTTCAATCTAATGTGCAATTTACTTTAGTTTGATGTGCCCCTCCCCCCTCCCCCCCTTCGCATTTGCGACTATTCCATTTAAGACAATGAACGTTTAATTAAATCTATATTTGAATATATTTGAAATCTGTATCTCGAATCCTAAATATCGAAGTGAAGGTTTAAAATTTAAATGAAAATTCTTAAAGAATAATAAGATCAATTTGAAGATATGTAGATCTGTTAATTTAGTTTAATTAAAATATTTCATGAACTAGTTTACGAAGGGTTGCATTTTTAGTTAAAATATCAGAGGTCTCCAAGTTTACAACCATAGAGAATAGAATATATATTGAGGAATTAAAAGACTCTCTCGGTATGAATTTTTTCAGTCCCTTTTAGCCTGAAAGGGAGTTCAAAGTTACAAATCATGTAAATGTTCACAAATTATATGCAGTAGAGTACATTAATACAGTATGTTCCCTAGACTATCCATTTCAATTTCGAATTTTTTAAACTGTTAAATAAACTTTATAATGAATTAGGTGAATAAAAACATCATTTGATTTATAGTTATAACGGAAAATCATCGTTTGTAAAGTGAAAGGCATAGAGTCTATGTGAAATGATCATTGGTCAATTATGAAACCAGCCTATTTCATAATTTGGTTTTCTTTTAACATTAATTTTAGATTTTCTATAAAATGATATTCCAGGGCCCAACAGGTTATGTAGTGGCGTCGTTCCTAACTTGGCGGAGGGGGGGATAGATAAAACTCCTAAGAATGCGCGATACCGGATAATATTTCTTTAATTCTCTCTNACCTCCTTGTGACCACACTGAAACCAGATCTAATAATTATCGATAGAATGGAGGAAAAGATGGATATTTTTGAGCTTACTGCTTCATTGGAAATAAATATCAAAAAATGCCAACACTCAAAAGATGAACATTTTATCACAGATATAACAACCAGGGATGTGTCTGTTCACCCTTTTGAAATCGGTTCAAGAGGATATATTCCACCATCAAATAAAGCAAATCTAAAGAAACTGCATAAGTTCTGCAAACCCAGTGTTGGTTTCAAAGCAATGTGCGAAAATCTATCAAGCCTTGCAGTGCTGCCATCATACCACATTTATAGAAAACGAAAAACACTAAACTGGGACCAAGAGACTCCATTTCTGAAAACCACCTCTGAATAACTAAACTTTACTCATGCTAAAAGTCTTGAATTGCACCTATTTTTCGGCAAACCCCGTCAATCATAAAATGCGATATCCAGAGAAAAGATTATTAGTATTAAATTGTAAACTTTTATATTGTTTAATGTAATTTTGCTTTAGACAAATATAAATAATGAATATTAAATAAGGATATTTATGTATATTGTATTCTAGAGCTGACCTTCATGCTATTAATTACAAAAGCTTAGCAATTTGGTAAATCTTTTAAGTGCAGTTTTTTCTCTTCTCCCTCTCCTCTAAAGATAAACAAATAAATTATCTCCTTAAGTTTTTAATTTGGTCTTCAGTGATTATTAATATTTCAGAAAAATACTTCTTTTGCTTGGTTAGCATGCCCTAAAAATCAGACATTCGATGGATATTTTATAAAAATGTTGTTCTTGTTTCCGATGTGATAAAAGAAGGTGTAGGAAGTATGAAGTCTGCAGTAAACAATAAAATTGAGCTTTTGTGAATTTAAAGCCGAGTAAAAAACCATGCATTACGTTTTGTTTTGTTTTAGTCGAGAAGGAACCTGGATAGCTGACGAGCTAAGAGGAGATGTTATTTGGTAAATTAGCTTCAACCGAAACTTTATGTCATATCAAAGTTTAGTTAAACGTGGGTAAATGGACTCTTATTTTTCACATTGTTATTGGTATAACAGGTTTTATTTAATTCGAATTTGTTAGTTGAAAATTAGTGAATGATCCACGTTGTTCATTATTTTTATATTTATTTTCTAAATAAGGGGTTATTTTTTTTGGGGGGGGGAGAACTAGGCTTATTTTTAACTCTATTTTTGTAAACAAAGTCTAATTTTTAAAATTGCTAAAATCACAATTCAGTTCTAAAAAATTGTTTAAGAATTGAGATAAGCAAAAAAATCATTTTTTTCCCCTCTACCAGGACTCTAAATAACGATGAGAAGATTGTTGAAGTCTGGTTGGAGGAGGGGGTATATACAGGAATGATGGCATCATCTCTAATTAGACTTTATAAAGACATGTAAAACTAACTACATCGATATGAATACTGTTAATATCAGACCATTTTCTGTCATATTTTGATCTCTCATTCAAAACCCACAAAAAGATGACTTTATAAACTAAAATATTTAAAATAAATAGCCCCATAAAAAAGTAAAATATAATAAATACGAAAAATCTAAATTTAATGTTTGAAAATTGGTTTTAAAGTTAGGGCTCTCTGTTTTTATCAGAGCCTCTAGTTTATTTTGCACATAACCTTCATCTAAAAAGTGTCATAAGATATTCACAATAAGTTTGAAGCATAATCTCATGCAAAAAACGATGTTGGAGATATTGTATTTTTTTCCTTAAATCAGTCCCAGCTTTTCTATACATCAAGGACAAGCATGAATATGGCCGATATTTAATTTGTCCAAATCGGCAATAGTGATGTAATTGTTTACAAGATGAAGATGTTAAGGGTAAATAGCAGTTGCAAGTCATTAATATACCACGTTGTGATGAATAATATATTTTTATACATAAAACAAGGTTGAAAATCTTTAATGAGGTCCTTGTGAGAAAAGCTAATTTTAAGAGCTTTAATAAAAATGGCTTAGCTTGGCTTTCGTTCAGATTTCAGAACTTCAACAAAAGATTATAAGATTCGTTCAAAAAAATGTAGGAAGCGGCCAAGCCTTCTTTAACATAGAAAAGAGGTTTATGGGAATAACTTTATTTTGCTGACCCCCCCTCCTTGATATCCAATATCCCAATTTCTATGAGAATGGTGCCATAAATCTGACAGGAGATATTAGAGCGGGCAGACCTAATGGACAAGTAAACATTTTTACACTTTTTAGCAGACATTAAGAACATGTATTTTATTCTTCAGTTCTAAACATTCATCTTGATACTTACATACAGGGTGTCCCACGAAACATGACAGTTGGTGAATAATTTAGAATGTCTTCTTCCAGAATTTGTTAAGTTGTTTGATATCAATTAGACAATAATACAAATATTGCGTGGGAGTCATGTTCTAGTAAAATTGGTTTCTTTCAAAGTAAAATATGTTTCAGAAAAAGATTATTTAACGAAATAAACTGCAAAAAGTCTTTAAAATCTAATAAAGTATATGAAAGACGACTTTCAGAACTCTTTACCAACTGTCATGTTTCGTGGGACACCCTGTATTGCATGTAAGTTGTAAGTTTAAAGGTAGTGTACGCGAAAAATAAAAGGGAATCCGGCTGAATCCTAAAAAAATCGGATTCGATCGCTACTACTTTTATCTTTTGCGTCTACAAGTAAAAAATAGTTGAAAATTTTTATACCCAAGACCACGCAAATCTGCCCTTTTAGTAAAAGTAAATTCAGTTTATAAGAAGCCTAAAGTCTGACCGCGTCAACCTTGTTGCACTGGCAAGTCCTGTCCATAGCTAGGTTCAGTACAAACTGGGACCGGAAAGGTTGACCCGGCTCGGAAATTTAAATGTACTCATGCGGCTGCCCGTGAGACCTGAGAAACCAAAGAAATTCACTTATAGTTGCATTCAAATAGATTCTAGTACAATAGATGGCAACGTAAAATGTGTACACTCTCAGTACAGCTGTATTCTGACGTCACAATTGTCAATTCAGTTTTTGTGTCCGACAAAACTATTAATAATAGTGATAGTTTTAGAATAAAGTGATTATCTTACAGTAAAATAAGGGCAATTAAATATATTCTTTATTTTCTGCTTTTACACTTTTTTATTTAATCTTGGAAAACATGTCAACTAATGTGAGAAAATTTCATTTTTCTTGTTATATTTGACACTTATGACGTCGTGTATAATTAGTTCATTTCTCTGTTGCCACCTATTGTACTTGATAATCTATTTGGTTGCATTATTTCACTCAAACCGTAAATAATTCAAATAATTTTTACCGGATTTTTAAAAATATTTTCACAAATAAATAATGAAAAATTATTTCAATGCAGTTTCCATATCATAACCTTTTTATGATGAACTAGGTGTCTCTCTTAGAAAAATCGGTCAAACCTCAAGATAAGAGAGTAGTCTGTGGGTTAAACGAGAATTTTTCGCGAACACTGCCTTTAAAGTCGACCGGAAATATCAAATGAGACGATCCGAATGTTGGATTCGTTTTAAATATATACGCTTCTTGCATATAAACAAACTAATTTGGCAATAAAAAAGATAAAGATTGCAGTAAACCAAGAACGTATGCAATAAGACGAAATAAATGTCTTACAATCGTGCCTGATCGAGTCTTAAGTCACATTCCCTTTGTGGCCGTGGGTTTCCGGTATATTACCCTGTTTTACTCTTGAAGTTTTCTTTTGTATATTAAAAATTGTATTATCTTGAAATATCGTCAGTATGTAAATATTCAACTAATAACCAACAACCTTTCGTTGTAAATGTTTTATTTATATTTGCTTGGTGACATTTTGATGTAAATTTTATTTCAATATCAAATGTCGTCAAAATCTAGAATGTCGTCTTGATCTAAAATATTGTTTTTTCGTAAATATAATTAGTTGTTCTGTAGGGATCCTTGGAATATTATGAAAACATTCCTGACACAAGAACATACAAAGGTATATATTCACAAAATGAAAAAAATATTGTCAATGAAGAAATGAAATTTTTCACTCAAACAAAAATTTTCTAATCCATAAAACTGCAACCGGCAGGATGGTGTCAATCTTTGGTAATATTGATCTACCAGAATTTATATTTGAAATATCAAAAGTCGACAAAATTGGGTTGTAAATATTAGGGATTAGAAAAACAGATTTTTTGCAACAAACTTAATTCCTTTTAATCACAAAATGTTAAAATTACATCATTTTATGCGTTGTAAGTTGTATGTATCAGGCAGCTTTTAAGTAAAATATTCTTATATTGATGTCTAGGCATGTATAACCTAATATAGCTTGGAAATCAACCCCATTAAACTGTGGATTAGGAGGACGCCTGTAAGAAACTCACAAAGCTGTTGTCTTGATAAACCTCTAGACTGCTTAACTGCGGCCTTTGTATTCAGTTGCAGTATTTTGGGTGAAACAAGATCAACCATTTTCGTGGTTCAAATATTCCACAATCTAAATTTATCTAAAATCGGTGTTGGGGGTTTTATGATTTATGATCGAATTTACAAACAAACAAAATAATAGAACAACAAAGATATTACTTAATTTATGAAATAAATACTGTACTTTTCTTTACTTTACTACTCTGAACTGTACTGTACTTTACTGTACTGTACTGTACTGTACTGTACTGTACTCTGTACTGTACTGTACTGTACATTAACTATACTGTACTGTACTGTACTGTACATTAACTATACTGTACTGTACTGTACTGTACTGTACTATACTGTATACCTGCAGGTGGATGGATAAACGGGAAGAGAAACGGTATCGGTGAAATGATTTGGAAAGATGGCGGCAGGTTAGTAACCAACTGTCCACCATTTATTTTTTTCCATGTGTCGAAATTTAACGTAAAGCTTATGTTTTTTACTCTGTACTGCACGGGTTGTATACCATTCTCATTAAAGAGTTTTAAAAAAGAGATTTTTAAAGAAAAAACTTATTTTCCAATCTTGCTTTTTAGAAAGCAAGAGAGCCTTGATAATATAAAAACATTAAGAAGAATGGATATTGTTTATCTTCATTCATGAATTGCATCAAACATATTTTGATGAACAATCCCTTTATTACTTATTTTAAAAGAGACTTTCCTACAAGGTGTCCCAATAAACATGGGAATTAACTGACGACTTCTATATTGTCTTTGTTCTACGCGGGATTATTTTCTAAACACTATTTTGCAGCATCACAGTTAAAACGTTTAATACCGAAAACGAATATGTCTTTTGATTTCCAAAATATGGTATTCCATTTTTTCATCTTAATAATTGACGGAGATATTAGAATTAGAAGATACTAAGAAATTTGTTCAGATTCCAGTTTATTAAAATTCAACAAAACTGTTCAAATGTTAAATATCTTGGTCATTTCTAAAGATACAAAGAAAGTTCATTTTGAAAATCTCATTAGATGTTCAATCGGAAATCAAATACTATATTCAAGTCGTCTCTCAATTCTCTGTATAATCTACTGAATCTACTACAGGTATCGAGGGGAATGGAAAGACGACCTTCCGAATGGAAAGGGAGAATATGAATGGAGTACTGGCAGAGTATTTGTCGGAGAATTCAGGTTCAGAATTAAAAGAGTTTTAACTTTTAGATGAAAAGGTTAATTTATAGTGCAGGCTTCGTGCTTTTATCAATTAAATTTCGAATAGCAATTGGCCAATGATCACTGAGGGCAACGTAGTTGACAAGGCAGGGGGTTTCAGAAGTTTGGCATATAAACGAGTAATTTTATCTTGAATGTTATTTTATGTAGGTTATTTTCTAATTTGTCAACAATACTAGTTATTTAAGCTTGAACTTAAAGTTACAGTGAAAATTTTGATAACATGGTTTTTAGCTCAAATTTTACAATATTGGAAGACAGAACATGTTGATAATTTTAATATTACTACTCACGTTCGCTGATTTTGTATTGTTTGCGAAAATAAAAGGGAGCATGTTAAACCCGTATTGAATTTGAAGTCAAATGGTTTTAATCATTTTTTTATATGCATGCTGGATCGAGTATGCATGCTGGATCGAGTATGCATGCTGGATCGAGTATGAGTAATGCAAAATGTAAAAAAACATATATTGGTGGAAAATTCATTGAAATCCCTAATTTGCTTGAAATTCTATCGGGAAACATCTAGCGGCCGTAGTATTTAGTTTTTACTTATAATAAATTACAAAATCACGTTGAAATCACCCGTATGAATTATATCTTTTAACTACAATATACGAAATTAAGGGTCTCGCTGGTTTCTTACATTTTTTTTCACTACTCAAGCATCAGATAAAAAAACGTATTGTTACAATTCAATTCCAAATTCAATTTTTCTTTAGACTATACCCCTTTCAATATTAGCGAACCCTCCCTTAAAGTAATAAGTCCATAATTTTAGAAATGGATTACCTGTTGAAGACGAAAACCGATGATCATACTAAAAAATAATAGTACTTTTTGAATAGAATGGTTTGTAATAAATTTGCAATAAATTTGTATACCTTATTCGAAAATTATTTAGACGGACGGATAGAATTATTTAGACAGAGGGGTTGTACAATGTACACTGGTACAGATCGAGTGGGATTTTATGGCCACTAGAGGAAGAAAGGGATTTTATGGGCACTAGAGCAAAAAATTGGGATGCTCGTGTACCATGATCTCTATAAATTTAAAAACCAATGACATCCCATACATCACATATCAACATCTATCTTTCTCCCTCAATCAAAATTCTCCCAAAGGATTTGAGTCTTTGTCACATACTATGATTTTCTAATCTCTATATCTTTGTAATCCAATGCCGTATACCTAAGATATTTCAAACTATGAATTCTGTTAGATGAAAAAATCTAAGTTTGAAATATCAAAGGTTTACACCATCAGGTGGAAAAATATAGGTATTAGAAAATCAGAGTTTGTTACAAAGCCTCAATTTCTTTGATTTGATATAAATATAATATCTATAATGTAATCTACCCTATATACTATAATAAAGATTTGGATAAGTGGAAAGTACCTATAATAGCTCAACTAGCATAACTTAAGGTACTGTAAGTTGTAACTATTGCATATTTTATAGTAAGCTCATTTATACTCATGCTAAAAGTCTTGTTTTTTAGCAAAGCCTGTCAATCATAAAATGCGATATCCAGAGAAAAGAGTATTAGTATTAAATGTAAACTTTTATATTGTTTAATGTAATTTTGCTTTAGACAAATATAAATAATGAATATATGATCAAATTAAACATGGCTAAGTGTGAGCCCAACAAGATGTTAGAAAGGACTGCGGAATGTTTTATAACTCTGTATATCCTCAGTACTCAGTACGCACTTATTAAACAATAACTAAGAAAAGTAGATATACCGGCTTTAATTTGTGCGGATATACTTAAATGCAGTTATCTGCTGTCGTTCCTCAGCCTTAGAAAACAACCTATTAAGTGGAAACATGGGTTTATTTGTATGTTTACAGGTTTACAGGTTAACAGGTTTACAGGTTTACGGTTTTCAGGTTGACTGTTCCATAGTTTTACAGGTTTACATGTTTACTGTTTCATAGGTTCACAGGTTTACAGGTTTACAGGTTATAGGTTTACAGATTTACAGGTTACCAGTTTTACAGGTTACTAGGTTTAAAGGTTTACAGGTTAAAGGTTTACAGATTTACAGGTTACTAGGTTTACAGGTTACCAGGTTTACAGGTTACCAGGTTTACAGGTTACCAGGTTTACAGGTTACCAGGTTTACAGGTTACCAGGTTTACGTTTTATAGGTTTACGGGTTTACAGGTTTACAGTTTAATAGGTTTACAGATTTACAGGTTTACAGGTTTACAATGTTTGCTGATTTACAGTATTGCAGATTTACAGGTTTACAAGTTTGCATGTTTTCTGTTTTATATTTTTATAGGTGATATTACAAAATATATTTTTTTCAGTGTTATGTCTCTAATTTGTGTGAAAAAGATGTTTTAATAAAATATTATTTTCTCGATAATATCATTAATTGATATTTATTTATTTATTTTCGCACAACTTTAATGTTTAACTTTTTGTTTCAATTAATCACAGATTTAAATATCCAAAGAGCAAGTAAACTTATGAAATAAATATAATCATATATTTATCTAGAAATTTATATTTTAATTCACGCCTCTCTTTTGCTTTAAATTGTTGATTTTCAAGTCGCTATATTTCATCGTACTATTCAAAAAATGAAAATTTTCGCGGATGTTCTTTTTAAATTAATAAAATTTCAAAAATATTAGTTGTTCACATTTTTTCCCAGGCTAAACTTTCAAATTAAGTTGTCTATAAATCCTTTCTAGGTTCATGTGAGTTTTCACAAAATATTTGGGCCTGATCGGTTCAGCCGTTTGGACGTTTAAAAATAAACAGACAAGCCAAATATAAGAAAAAAAGAAAAATACATAGTAGACCTCAATAAGATATTTTTTATATATTTTCTGCGTTCAAAAAAATGTTAAGGATGCCTTTTAAAGATTTTTAGAACATATTTTTAACGCTTTCAGAAAATTGTCCGCAGTTTTTAAAATTATATTTTAAAGGAACTGTATAACCGAAGTTTATAAAGCTTCCCTTTTATGTCCGATTCACCATTGTACCCTTTAAACCTTTGTCTTATCCAGGAAGAACGTGATATCTCTGTTTGTTTATCTGGAAATTGTTTATTTTCAATTGTGGTTTCTCTAGATGAAAGTCAATCGCGCATTTATTCTTAATAGGGTAAATATAGAACTATATAAATTCCTCATTGACGTACTCAGATAGAGATATTAAGGACATCGTTGTGAATCGCACTTGCCATCACTCTTTAAATACAGGGGCACTTTAAGACGTTTAGAATTTAGTTTACGCGGTGTTTATGGAAAATAACTGCTCCAATTCTTATTAAATAATCCCCCCCTCACCTTTCACCTGTAGGGTTTCAGGTCAGGTTGTTTTCATGAGGCCCAGAGGGTGGTAGGTGGGTGAGAACTGATCTGGATCAATCAGTATAAAACATGACGCGAAGGAGGTTGGTTGTGATGTTAATTCTTGGCACAGTGGGCGTGTCAGGAGGGGGTGGAAGGCTGCTTGATCCTCCTGGCCGTGGTTCAGAGTTCAGGGTGGGCGTACCTTCAGTGCCAGACTATGACGACCATCGACTGAACTGCGGAGGCGTATTCAGACAATGGGATAAATGGGGAGGAAGGTGTGGTACTTGTGGAGATGACTATGGGCTTAAAGTACCACGCCCCCACGAGTTGGGTGGGAGGTTTGGTTCTGGAAGGATCAGTAGAAACTACACTCAAGGACAGGTACGGTAAAATACACTGTAGAGCAGTACACTGCAGGGCACTTACAGTACAGTACAGTAGCATATACTCTGCTGTGCAGCGCAATTCTTTTCATATTGGTAGAGGAGATATTGTAATGTTTCAATATTATGTTGAGTACATTTTCTTTAAAAAGTTTCATAATAGTTGTATGCAATTTTTTAACGAATTTTATTTACTAACTTAAAATATTCATATTTTTCAATTTTAACGATCCAACAAAGATGAGAAAATACAGAAAACTATAAATGAAAACTAAATATAAAAAATCATAAATAGGTAGATATTCAATTATCTGTAAATATTGATTTTTCTGTTGTAGGGTTCATAATAGATACATTTATTTATTTTCAGTGCATTTTATAAACAATTGTTATATCATGCTATACCCACAAAGGACTACACTTCAGAGACGATTGTGCGGAATTTGTTAAGCCCGTTTTCTTGATTGTTCTAGACCAAAACTTTATTACTGTCCTGAATATTTAAGTAACCAATTACTCAGTTAAATGCGGAAACCAAAAATCAAGCTTTAAATTGTCGTATTTTTTTGAGTTTCGGGAATTTTGTATATTTATTTCTAGAGTTTCGAGTTTTGTGAATTTTGTATTTTTATTTCAAGAGTTTCGAGTTTTGTGAATTTTGTATTTTTATTTCTAGAGTTTTGAGACGTCTGTGATGGGATAACAGAAATAGTATTTGGGTCGGTAACATGACAAGATATACATATAGAGTACCTGCATAGTACATGTATAACAATATACATATATAAATATAAATATAAATTGTTTAGATTGGACATCTCAGTAGTACTGGCGCCTAATAATACAAGTTTAAATAGATTTAAATACTTCATATCCTTCCCTAACCCTAACATTGCAGTTAAACCGAGTCAAATTTTAACATTGAAAAGAAGATTTTGAATCGTGCTTAATGGAAACAAGTGTTTGCCACAAACTCAAATATCATAATCCTTATATCCTTGCATCTCATGTCGTTGACCTTAGAATTATAAAACTCATAATTCTGTTAAATCAAATAGTTTAAATATCAGACGGCAAAACTAGGGATTAGAAAATTTTATTTTGTGGAAAAAACTTAGTTCCTTTTATTCCAATCAAATTTTATGGTTGATTATCCGACTTCTTTTTTTTTTTTGCAGAAATTGGAAATTGGTTTCATGCTCACTTGACTTAAAATATGTTGGTCTGTTAACTGGTTTTTATAAATGTAAAGATTTTGAATTTTCAGGAGATAGAGGTTAAGGTCCAGTTGATTGGAAACCTTCTTGGATACTTTACTCTTCACATCTGTGATCAATCCGTCCTATCCTCAAATCACTCCGCCTCATCTCAGAATCAATCCCTCCTGTCCTCGGATCAATCCGTCCCGTCCTTGGATCAATCCATACTGTCCCGGAATCAATCCTTCCCGACCCTGGATGAATGTCTGGAACAAAATCCTCTCCGGGTTCTCAGCCAACCGGAAAAATACAGGCAGAGGAATAATGTTCCAATCTCAGACATTTCTTGGAAAATATAAAAATTTAGATTCAAAATAACATTTTTTTATCATAAACTTCAAAATGCTTCCAAACCAAACTCATTTAATAAAGTATTGCAGTAGGAGATTTAGTTAAGAGTGTAGATTTTTTTTTGACGGCATTTCTTAGGTAAAAGTTTTATATTTGAAACTTTTATTGATGTCTTGGATAATCTTTATATATTTTAATCTATTTATTTTCATCTCAACAACCTTTATTTTTTGGTCACTCTTAGGGTTTCCATTCGTATAGCTTATGCGCAATTTTTGCGAAAGAAAGAGGAAAAATTTGCTTTCGTTGTGTTATATTTTGGCTCTAAAAGATGGCACTTAGTGCAATTATTCGCAAACTTCATTTCCCGCAAAATTTTCCGTTCTTCTGTTTTGCGCCATTTTGCTGAACAAATTCTTATTAAAAGTAACCAATTCAGGGTAGCATAATCATTATTTTAATTATATGTACATTTTTTAAATAAACCTGCAGTTGTTTGATTATGTGCTGAAACTATTCATTTGCTCAATTTGCTTAAAAATTTTATGTTCAGCGTAAAAATTTACGTTTTGCACAAATTACGAAAAAAAATTGCTCAAAAACGCGCAAAAATAGTTTCTGATAAGTCCCTAAAATCACAATTTCGAGCTATAAACCATCTAATATGATGAGGGTTCCTGTATAATCTTATTAAAGACGAAAAACCAACTATCAAGATTTAATATCATAAAGCTGTTAGAAGGGAATTCTGAATACCTTAAGATTATTTTTATATGCACTAGATGTCGTCTTTTCAGAATTTATAAGTATTTTGTTCACAATAACCCTGAGGTAGTCGAGAGAACGAGTGCATGTTTTACACCGACTATACGCGTAACTCCTTTGGGCTTCTACTACAGGGTTATTGTGAACGAAATACTTCTAAATCTTGAAAAGACTACATCTAGTGTCCTATCTGTTATTTTAGTAAATCTGTGTTAGACACTATCTTTCTGAGAATTGGAACTTTATTTCCCCGTTTCTCCAGGTTCTATCCTCCCGTCAGTGACGGTACCGAGCACCAACTCCGATATCTTCTACCACCAGGATTGCATTGTCATCATTGTGTTCTCCAGTGGAGATATAGGACAGGACGAACCTGGGAGATGAGTCAGGACGGCAAAACCCATAGCGAAGAGTTCAGAGCCTGCTCCGATATAGCTATATATGCAGTTCAGCCTGTTGTACATATAGATCAGCCTGTACATGAAGCAGTGAAAGAAGTTGTTGTACATCCAAGGATAGAACATTTCTTTGAGCGGCAGGATAAAGTTGATTCGGAACAGAACCCTCTCTACTCTATCACAAGACCTAGAGAATTTAGTCCTAGTTCGAATTTTTCTGTTTCTCCTGGAGGCAAGGAGAACACCAACAATTTTAATTTTGAGTCAAGTTCTACTCCTTCAGTTATATCCTCACATCTCGAGAAAAAGATTCTACTGAAAAGAACAAATAAGATAAAATATCCAGAGTTAACAACATATAAAACAACAATTAGCACAACAGACTCCACTTCAACAACACTAAATCCAACATTAAGAAGTTCAACAAAATCCACTCCAAGATCTTTAAACCAGACAACGTCAGTTTCAACAACGATATTAACATCACCCATCACAGAAGAATATCCAGCAACAGCCAAATCATTATCCATATTAGTTTCAGTGATAACAGAAAGTACCTCATTCAATACTCAATCGTTAGAAATTACAGAAGAGTTAGAAACAAAAACGACTAGAGGTTCATCTACAGTTGGTCCATCATTAACAACTGAACCTGAAAATAAAACCCGTTCTTTTCAGTCATCTGAGGAACCGGAGATGTTTCAAACCCGTCCTGTCGAGTTTTACTCCAAAGAGAGTTTACTCCTGGATTTAAGTAGGAGTGAGGACGGGTTCAAGTATATTTACAGCTCCAGGTCTACAGTAGGACTGGGGATGTTTCTCAGTATCCCTGTAACATTCATCTTCTTCTTTATAGGGTTCCTTCTCTACGTGAGAAAGTCTTCCCCCGTCCCTGATGTAGAGAAGAAAGATAATTACTACTCACAACCTCGACTAAACGGTCATGGAGGCTCAGCTCCGGCAATTTATCATAGTGTTTCTTTCACAGAGCCCGGTGAAACCAGCTCTGAGCCGTATCCGTCCTACTCCGAGCCCCTTCCAATAGACTATGCAATCCCTGATATAGTTTCTGCGTCTATGAAACCCAACTCTCTGGATGACTTGTCACAAGAGGACGAAACCTCGTTATCCCCAGAAGAGACAGGCATAGGACGGAGTAGATTTGTTAGGAATGCCCAGAAGAGGCGGAGCGGGATAGGACGAAGATGGTTGAGCGAGGACGGGGAGAATGAAGAATCTTTGTTCTCCGTGCTAGCAGCAAGGCTTGCCAGAAAACAGAGTAGACCGGAGATTACAGAACTTTAGTTAAGTTTGAATCAGTTAACCTCTGATGAATGTATGTACAAACCATTGCGCTGTAAAAATTAACCATTCCTCAAAAGAACATTAAGATGTAAGCTGTAAATTTAATCAGTATCTAATTAAACATTTAAACGTTCAGTTGTTATCGGTATATCATTGAGCTGTAAACAGTGGATCATTGAGATGTAACCAGTGGATCATTGAGCTAAACAGTGGATCATTCAGTTGTAAACAGTGGATCATTGAGCTGTAACCAGTGGATCATTGAGCTAAACAGTGGATCATTCAGATGTTAACAGTAGATCATTCAGTTGTAAACACTGGATCATTGAGCTGTAAACAATGGATCATTGTGCTGTAAATAGTAGATCACTGAGCGTAAACAGTAGATCATTCAGCTGTAAAAAGTAGATCATTCAGCTTTAGACAGTGTATGATTCAGCTGTATACAGTGTAGAATTCAGCTGTAAACAGAGGATATTTTAGTTTTAAAAAGAATATGATACGTTGAACCACTATGGAAATGTATGAGCTGTAATTGAGATCATTGAGTTGTAAATAATACTGTTAATAGATTCTTCATGAAAATTAATTGTATTTTGTATTTCAGTTTTATTATTAACCATTTCTGACCAGTTTTTTTGTAACTGTATACCGTCTTGTTTTTGATAAATAAATTTGTATAACTCTATATATTCAAATATTTTCATAACTAGACTTTCAGTGTGCTTCGCACCCATCTTCTATTTTAATTGTGAACATTTTCTTTTTGTATCCATTGAAAAAAAAAATTCTACAGTGAAACCCTTAATAACGAATACATCGGAAGAATTTATCAAATGTCGTATTGANGTGTTGGAGTGGTAAATAAAATAAGATTAATAATTTTTTGTGTCTGGTTCAGTAGGTAAAATTTCCGGAAAGGAACCGAGTCTTTGTCACAAACTATGATTTTCTAACCTATATATCTTTGTAATCCAATGCCGTAGAAGTTAGATATTTCAAACTATGAGTTCTGTTAGATGAAAAAATCTAAGTTTGAAATATCAAAGGTTTACACCATCAGGTGGAAAAAATGTAGGTATTAGAAAATCAGAGTTTGTTACAAAGACTCAATTCCTTTATGAAAATTGCACTCGATATTAAGGATTTAAAAAATTTGATTCATCACTAGTCCTTGGAGCTTACTAGGCAATTTAGGTTGCGGCCCTAACTGTTAAAATCAAGCTCCACATTTTCTGGAATTCGACGAGATGATACTCTATCCAAACTCAACCTATTGATATAACCGCCCGATGGGGGAGGGGGGAGTATAAACTATTAGTTATTCTCCTTATTCTATTCATTTATTTCAAAGGTTTATCAGCCAACACCAGTAGCTCAAGCTCCTGCTGCTGCATCGCCGGCAGCATCTTTGCCTCCCACTACTGAACAGCATTCAGCTGAAGCTCCAGTTCCAAAATCCAATCCATCTGCGACAGCTCCTGTTTTCAATTCCCTGCCGCCGGCTCCAGTATCAACCACTCCTGCACCGGCTCCGGTCACCTATGCCCCGGCATCAGTTACTAATCCTTTAGCTCCAGTATCTAAACCACCTGCACCGGCTCCAGTATCTAAACCCCCTGCACCGGCTCCAGTATCTGATCCCTCTGCTCTGGCTCCAGCATCCCTCTAGTGGATTTGATGATGCTAACGAAGAAGAGAGAGAGTTAGCAAGATATGATATGCGAGCTTGGTGTTGCATTTTTCTTCTTGATTATGCTCGAAATCCTTTTAAATAATATTCTACCCATCCTTTTTTTAAAATAAAAAGTAAACAATTTATGATGCCTAAAACTTAGCGTTGGTTCTTGTCACAAGACTAGAATGTGATGAATGATTTGTACATATTATTTTGCGTACAATCAATTACTATTTTAAACTTATCTTTTAAATGTACGCAAACTCTAACGTTAATAAAAATTTGCGTACAATAACAACTACATAGGGTTACACGCAAAAGGTGATACTTCAAAGACGAAATGACTGGAATTATACTGTTAGTTTTCATAAATTCATAATTTCTGGACTATATTTAAGACGGAGGACTTAATTTAATCTTGGGATTGTCTTATTTGAAGAGTTTCACGTCGTCTTTACAGTCATATCCTTTGTAGGTACATAGCTCTGTATCCTACAGTGGTAGGCGATTTTACCAATACAAGTAAGATTTTTGATTTCAATTTTAAGTTATATCAAGCTGTTAATGGCATGGATGCACAACACCATTGAAGTAAAGAGAATTTATCAATTAAAAAAGCTTCTCTTTGATTATTTGTAAACTTGTAATTCGAAAAAAGCTTATTAACAGTCAAAACTTAAATATAAAGCCGTCTTCATTATAGTGACATAATCGCTTACCACCGTACCATATAACCAGGCCCGTAGCCAGGATTTGACCTTGGGGGTGCAATATGACGCGCCTCAGGCGATTTTTTTGGGGGTTTTCAATGATTTTTTTAAACAATGTTTGGTTTGGTTTTACAGTGATATATAGTTGTTTTTATTATATTGTCAATGCACACTATAAAGGCTATAACCTTTTTAACAAGTGTATTTAAGCTTTTAACAGAGTACTGCTTAACTAACAGAGTCAAGTAATCATTTATTACTTTGACTTAGCAATATGAAAATGATATGATCTAATTTCTTATTCATTTAAAAAAAGCTTTGCAAGGGTCAAAAAGGGGTGCTATGGAAACGCCTCACCACGGAAATGCCTCAAAAAACAGACTCATAAAACATAGCACACCGGTCAAGGGGGGGGGGGGGAAAGTCTGAAAGTGTACAAGAGATTACCATTTCATTTTAATTAGACTTAAACAACTATTAAATGACTATGAGTAAATTTTGATGTTGTGTTATATTTAATCAACAGAGTGTATTGATCAACTGTTAGTTAGCCTGCGATAGTTCACAGGAGAGACATGACTCAGGGGATGAGTTAGTTGAGAGAGTACACAAAAACTCCGTCACACTTTTAATGAGTAACGCACAAATAGATTATAATTTGGTTAGGAAATCAATTCTTACTCGGGCTATATAATTTATAACTAGATTTTAGATACTATAAGAAAATAATTTCTTTTATATGGGACTAGGGGGGGGGGTGCAAATTTGTCATTGCACCCCTCTTTTAGAAGAAATGGGGGTGCACCTGCACCCTTGCACCCCCCCCCTGGCTACGGGCCTGCATATAACTTATAAAGCTATTCTGAATTCTTTGCACCCGCTTCCAACAGACCAACTAACAATTTGAGTCATCTACATAGTACTTACTGCATTTCATATGCATCAACGTGGTTAGAATTGTACCTTGTAGGTTTATTGGTATGAATTTAGCTTAATCATATTATATTAAACAAAGCAATAGTCTAAAAACTTACTTCTAATTATTTTGTCTAAATCAACTTAACAAACAAACTAAGCTAGTTCATTTAGGTTTTAATGAATCAAAGTATTATCAAAATATCATTCATCACAAAAAAAATACTGCATGAATTACTTGTGTGAGTTTATCCAAAATATTGCATTAACAATAAATGCAATCATAAAAACAAAAATACCAAGATAAAATGCTCAGATCTGGTAAAAGTCACTAATTACATAGGTCAGGTAAATTGAGTCTTTGCGACGAAATCAAAATTTATAATCCCCATATCTCTGCAACCTGATGGTGTAAACATAGATTTTTTAATCCAAGAAGAAATATCTCAATCAAGGTCTACGACTTTGGATTGAAAAAAGTTTTTATAAAATCAAAGTTTATGGCACAGACTCAATTCCTTTGTTCAGTATTATCAAAAATAATTCCAATAAGAGTAAATTCATTGCAAAAAATGTGGACGGATCTACGAAATTAAACTTGTACCGTCGTGTACACTGTACAGCTAGCTATTTGCAGTACCGCGTTTCCTTCTTGTACTATTCAGTAGGTGAATTATCCTCTGTTGAACTCTGCAATGATGTACTTTGAGAATCTAATACTGTAAATGAATTTAATTCTTCCGCTTCAGCCAATGTACTCGGCAACTCTTTACCCTGTAAAACAAAAACTAAGTGATAAGATAACATTTTGGATCCTTTTTTTCTCATGTTAAAAATTTCTGCTCCAAACTTTTAGCAAAAATTAATGAAGGGCCCGGCGTTGCCCTTGGAAAAAAAATGTTTTAAAAAATTTCATCGAATTTTCTTAGCCTATGTCACCACCAGGCTACCCATGAGTGTCCACAAAATATTTCAGTCCATTCGGTCCAGCCGTTTTGCCGGCTATAAGGAACATATAAACGAATGTTTTTTTATATAGATTGTTGAAAAAAATAATGCGTTACCTTAGTTTCTGGTAGAAATAGAATAGACAACCCACTAATAATTTACCTATTCATTTAAGCATTCTTACAACAAGAATTAAGACACACATAAAAAAGAAAAAACCAGAATTGACATTTTGTGAAAAATGATTATTAATCTTTAAAATCATGCCAAAGCAAGTCTTTAACGAGACAAAGGCGGATTAAAAATAAAAAAGAATTATTTGAAGACCTAGACTTTTTCACCTCATATCGAAACTTTTGAGTTGATCTCGATATTTAATGCGGTCACTTTTAAAATTGAGGACAAATGATCCCTAAATTTAAGTTATAACTGTCCTGTCTATAAGGATCACTGGTCTTGTGTCTGAGAAATTCGAAAAATAAAACTGAATGACAAATTTGTTAAATTAAAAAAGAAGTCCTGGCTAAAAAACCAGGACATGGAAAGAACTTGAAACTCCAATTTGGAGAAATCAAATTAATACGTGTCTGTATAAGATACTTGATCCAGAGATTCAAGGCACACAAGTCCCGACTGGATTGAAAAGTAATTAACATGTTCTTGAGAGTATACTTGTATGAATGGTTTCCTAGTTATAGCTCCAGCTGCAAAGACTCCCATGGGAGCCCAGCTGACTCCTGTCATCTCTCCCAGATCGAGGATATACGGCGATGTTATTGCTCCAATTCTAAAGGAAATGAGTTTTTTAACAAATTCTTATTTTCAATGCCTATATCTTAGCAACCCAATGTCGTAAACCTTTGATATTTCAAACTAAAAATTCTGTTAGATCAAATAGTCTAAGTTTAAAATATCAAAGGTTTGCACCATCGGGTCGCCAAGAAATAGAGATTATACAAGTTGATTTTTTGGCAAAAACTCGGTTCTTTTTTTATTTCTAACTGCAATTTAGTTTTAAATAATTAATCTCACTTTCTCTTTTTAACTTAAACACTTTCTTAAAGAATATAGGATTTAAAAATCACATCAATTCTAATAGGCTAATTGGTGTACGTACATTTCCTTAAAAGTTCAAAATCGCTTTTAAAGGTTTTCTTGGCTGTAGTGGGGAAATAAATGATTTTTTAGGGGATAATCTAGGAGGATTAATAAACTTGCCCCTAGAAGTTCAATTTTTAATTTGTCCTGAAATCCATCAAATATCATGGTAATTCTTAAAACCTCTAATATTCCTCAACAAAATGTACCTTCCGGTCATTGAGCTGAGCCCTACACAAAGGTTCCTAACAGGAGTAGGGAACAATTCACTAGTGTATAGGTAGGCAGTTCCAAATGATGCTGTGGCTCCCAATTTTCCTTAAAATTTTTTCTCGGAACAAATTCTTTTATTACAATGTATTGTAACTTAAAACAGGATTTAACTATTTATTATGACTGCCATTACATAAATACCTAATAGGAAGAATATGGTTTGTATATAAGGTGGCCATGAAGCAGGAAGAATACTTGATGCTAGACAGGATACTCCAGCAACGAGCAGAGAACATGACAGTGTATACTAAAAGTGTATGTTTTATCTATATATTTAAAGCAAACTGCTGGACCCCATCAGCACACCTAAAATATACGTGTGCAACCACGCCTGGGGTCGTCTGTTGTTAATCGCCTAGGGCATATTCTATTATTGAATCCTGGATGGGAACCTGAGAAAACCGTAGCCCTGGGTTGATATCTCTCTTAGGACACAGGTCTAGTGCTGGGAATGGTTTATTTTTAAATCGTCACTGGCATTTTAAATTATTTAAGCAGGTCTGACATAAATCATTTATATCTATAAGTTCACGAAACACTACAAGATGATCCGCGAAACCTGACAGTTGAGTGACAGCTAGAGAATCATCTTGGATCTTTGAAATACCAGGACTAGGGATATTATGTAACTGTCAATTCCTTGTAAAATTATGCCGCAAATTATTTGAGATAAAAAACGACCTCATCTCGTCACTCAACTCTCATGAATTGTCGGACACCCTGAAATTTAAACAGTATAACTTTTTTCAAGTTCCTGCTAAAAAAGGAGTTAAAATTAAAATAATTTTTACTGAATAAAAGTAGTGAATTTTAAAGTCTACATATAAATGTAAGTAAGAAAAAAGAAATCCCTCTTTACTCCCAGGCTTAGGTTTTAAAGTTAGAGCATAGCAAATTTAAATGCATAAAATACTGGTATACCTTTCTGCCCCAGTACTGCATGCCGAGGTAGGAGAGCGTATACCCTGGGAACTCAGCCAAGGCAAGCAGGGTAAAATCAAGGTAGGCATCTCCAGCTAGAAATCAAGGGACAGGGTTTAATGAAGGGTTAAGCAAACTAATTCAAACAAAAGTTAAGCCAAAAAAGAAACTAACTTTAAGCTAAGTTAGTTTTTTTAAAGTCAAGGGTTAGCAACAGTTTAGGGTTAGCAACAGTTTAGGGTTAGCAACAGTTTATGGTTGACAACAGTTTATGGTTAGCAACAGTTTAGGGTTAGCAACAGTTTATGGTTAACAACAGTTTATGGTTAGCAACAGTTTAGGGTTAGCAACAGTTTAGGGTTAGCAACAGTTTAGGGTTAGTTATATAAAGACAATTGCTTCCTAATAAAGTCAAGGGATAGCTTAAGATAAGTGGAAGCATTGAATCATGCGCAGCTGGGTTGTATTTATTCTAAACTTTTAAAATAAATTTTACCTAGGCTTGCTGCACTGAATGACAACCCATAGTAGACCAGAGTTGTCACTGTAAAGAGTTGACATATTCATTCTATGTTCAGATTATTTTCTTAAAGGGAATGACCGGCTATGTAAGGATGAACTGAGTATGCAGTGTTGTGGAAAACTTCTTTCGGATTCATTTGAGACATATTAAACTTTTTTAATATGTGTAAATCCTGAGTTTGAGCGCAAGTTCGACGTTTTGAACGTCGAATTTGCGCTCAAACTCAGCATTTACAGATCTTTAAAAGGAATATGTCTCAAATGAATCTGAAAGAAGTTTTCCACAACACTGCATACTCAGTTCAACTACCTTAAATAGCCGGTCACCCCCTTTATAAGTTTTAGATTAATTTCCGTTTTAACTGTTTGCACTCAGGTGTCAAGTTTGGGTACAAATTGTAAAATTGGCGTAAATATCTTGTCGAGAAAAAAATTGTATTGGAAAAACTTTGAATATGTTTTTTAGTATGACGATGGCAAAAATGACATTTTTGAATAATCTTCTGAACACAAAACTGTAAAAGGAGAGGTTTGTACCCATTTTTATACTTTTTACAAATTCAATCCTTATAGTTTAAAACAACAATTCATATCTAATAATTATCAACAATACGAGACGAAACTCACTTGCATAATTCACAAAATAGTATGAATCACTGAAAACAAATATTGTCTTGGTAAAGATAAAGATAAAGATTTAAATCTGAAATCTTGGTAAAAGTTAAAAAAGTAATATTGAATGATCATTTTTTTAAATATAGAAAATAAAGATGAGATATTTTCCTGCATTTAAATATTTATATAATATTCTGAACTATTGAAAGATATGATTTCCTGTCCAACAGAAAAATATTGTTAGAAGACGACCAGTTAGTTTAGGTCGGCGTAGCAGGGATAATAGTCCCTCGTGTTCTTCATTCACCTCCTCCTAGAGTAGTGCAAACTGCGACAGCTGATTTTAAAGAGTTGAAACTATCTTTCTTTGCTCAACAAATTGGAGATGATTTGATACCTGAGGTTCTGGTTTTCTGAATTTGATAAAATTTTCTGATTTCAGCGGCTCAACCCCATTCCATCTATAACAATTATTCTATATATAAACAATTAAGCCCAAAACCTTAAAAGTGCTACAAATTGACGAGAAAGAAAATGATTACCCAATCTTAATTATGTAAATAAGGAGTTTAACGTTATGCAGGTTTGTTGTGAATTATTATTTGAACTTTTGAAGGAACAATTAAATAATTAGTTAAAAATCTCTTTAAATTCAAAATATTAGATGTGTAGGCGTATTTATTACTTGGCAATGCGTTGCAGCTCAAGCTCAGCCTCCTTGAACCTTCTCTTTGAGATCAACCACCTGCAGTAAACTTTATCATAGAGGGTTTAGAGATCAACCACCCGCAGTAAACTTTATCATAGAGGGTTTAGAGATCAACCACCTGCAGTAAACTTTATCATAGCGGGTTTAGAGATCAACCACCTGCAGTAAACTTTATCATAGAGGGGTTAGAGATCAATCACCTGCAGTACACTTAATCATAAGGGGTTTAGAGATCAACCACCTGCAGTAAAATTTATCATAGAGGGTTTAGAGATCAACCACCTGTAGTAAACTTAATCATAGAAGTTTAGAGATCAAACACCTGCAGTAAACTTTATCATAGAGGGTTTAGAGATCAACCACCTGCAGTAAACTTTATCATAGAGGGTTTAGAGATCAACCACCTGTAGTAAACTTAATCATAGAAGTTTAGAGATCAACAACCTGCAGTACACTTAATCATAGAAGTTTATAGATCAACAACCTGCAGTACACTTAATCATCGAGTTTAGAGATCAAGCACCTGCAGTAAACTTAATCATAGAAGTTTAGAGATCAAGTACCTGCTGTACACTTAATCATAGAAGTTTATAGATCAACAACCTGCAGTACACTTAATAATAGAGAGTTTAGAGATCAAACACCTGCAGTGCACTTAATTATCGAGTTTAGAGATAGAACACCTGCAGTAAACTTAATCATCGAGTTTATAGATCAACCACCACCACCTGTAGTACACTTAATCATAGAAGTTTAGAGATCAACCACCTGCAGTACACTTAATCATAGAAGTTTAGAGATCAACCACCTGCAATACACTTAATCATAGGGGGTTTAGAGATCAACCAAATGCAGTACACTTAATCATAGAGAGTTTAGAGATCAACCACCTGCAGTACACTTAATCATAGGGGTTAAGTGATAAATGGACAATTAAGTATTGTTAACCTTCAGATGATAAAATTCCTAATTGATCTGGGAAGGAAGAAATAATAGCTGAAGAAGAGAAGACCAGGAACTGAATAAGAAAGAACAATCTTCTTCCAATCCCTAAATAAAAAAAATATCAGGAAGGAACCTTTTTCTATTCCCTAAATTATACAGTATCTACTTTATAATAACCATGAATCAGGCAGGAAAGAACCTTCTTCTATGCCCTAAATTATACAGTATCTACTTTATAATAACCCTGAATCAGGAAGGAACCTTCTTCTTTCCCTAAATTAAATAATATCTTCTTCATAATTAGCCTGCAATTACTGAAAAGTTAGAAATCTTCATTAAAACCCCAATTATGAATTAATATTTTTCCAATCCCAGATTTTAGAAAAATTAAATACATGATTTTAATGTAAAATTATTTGTATCGTGCTCATAACAACTTAAAAACAACGTACATTGTGGCTGTGCAGTGTACACTGTACGGGGTTACCCCAAAAGGGTGACCTTTTTAAAGACCTAACACTTTTTAACCATCACTCTCCACAGATTAAAATTAAGTCTTCTGACAGAAATTAGTTTGCAAAGAATAGAACCATCATTAAGTTTCAGGAAACCGTAATCCCGAAAATATATTCAATAAACTCCGTACAGTAATCTCGGAAGCGTCTTCTTCTAAGGTTAACCCTGAGGTTATTGTGTACGGACAGTATTTACTATATACGTTACAAAGGTAAAATCAGATTGAATTTTAACTATTGCTGTGTACTAACTATTACCAAAGCATTTTTAAATATTTAGTACTGAGTTGTCTGTAAACCTTATATTTATATTGTGTCAGTGTATCACTACAGTACTTATCCTAGAGCAGTTGATCTAAGTTCTCTTACCTGAGTATCCATGCGGCAAGGGCCAGAATGAGCTCACCAAACACAAAAAAGAACTCGATTATAATTCCACAGAATACACGTTTATTTCTCCCAACCAACTCTATACCAAGAACGAAGGAGCATTGGAAAAGTCCAACCTTGAAAAAAAATTTTCAATAAGTTACTTACTTAAATTTCTTTCTTCAAAATATATCTATTGTCTGGTATTCTTTCAAATTTTGTTAGCGTAATTTCAAGTGACCCTTCATGCTAAGATAGCAATACCCGATTTATATTGTACTCTTAAAACCTTTATGATGATCTGATCAAAAATGTGGAAGATACCATCGTTTTCCTGACTCGAAAAGTATTAATTCTGATAATTTCTACATTAATATATTATAAAGTAGAAATGCGCAAGTCACTTTTACAGAGAAATCGCAAATGAAAATAAACAGAATTTAAAAAACAAAATAGGGATATCTAATTCATGCTTGATCGGACAAAGCATTCCAGAGAGCTTTGTAAATCGGGCATTGCTATCTTTGAAATAACGCTTACAGTCCCTTTCAGTTTCTACTACTGTACCTGTCCCATAGCTGTGAAGAACTGCAGTGTGGAGAAGGTGGTGAAGTCTGTGGAGAAGATGGAGAGGATCCCCCCCAGGGAACACTGCAGGATACACAACATAAACACATTCTTCCTAAACAGTGGGATTATATAGATCATAGAGTAGAGAGAACCACATAGGTAGAATATACAGCGTAAACTTGTGTTACGACTGTTGTAACTTGTAAACGTGAACTTCTTGCATCATATTAATTCAATTTGTAAAGTGTATACCTCTCAACGTGAAATATTCATATTTAAATAATATATTCTAGACGCAAATACAAGAATTACTTTTCTGGATTCAATCTTTCGTTGCAATCTTCTGGTAGGCAAATCTTTATATTTAATGGTCCATAGTTGGTCAATCTACCTGCCAAAGATGTCGCCAAGTTCACCGTACACTAGCGCGCCGACCAGAACACCACTGAAGAAAATGGAGTTGCTCAGAGGAGCCTGATAGAATATAAGATCTTATAAAAAATAGTCGAAACATATCTTTAAGTATTAAGTCAATTTTAGATCTTCTGATGTAACAAATGCGTTGATTTGGGATCCAAACCTTGTTCCCATAAAATTCCATTCATATTTTTTTTGGAAAAAACCCATTTTTTTTAATTTAAAGATAAAAAGTAAATTTCAAAAAATGGATTTCTTCCAAAATAAAATAAAGAAAATAAGTATTCAAACATGATTTGAAGTTTTATTGTATCGATATTAAGTTTCATGCAAGACATTCTTCAGGATACTGTATAATATATACATTAATTGAATTAGATTACTAAATGATCTTTCCTTCCATGATTGAGTACAGACAAGGTTAAAATCTGTGACAACAGTAGATTCCATTGTATCTTTACATACATTTCACAATTAAACTTATAAAATTATCAAATTTAAAAGTCGGAAATAAATAAAACATGCATTTTTGAAAAGTTTTAAATAATAATAAGTAATAACTAGATATACTATTTATATTTTGGTGCGCTGTGTCACACAGTTTTTGATCAGAACATTTTTCTTTATCACAATTAAACCTTTAAGAACAGTGAATGTTGTAGTATCCAGCTAATTTATCATCATACCACGATGATTAGACCTATAATGAAATTGAACTGTGTGTATAAACGATAAAGTGCAAAATTGAGATAAAAAAGTTATGATGTTAAAATTAATTTGACATTCAGCTGACTCATTCCTTCCCTATTGATAAATAATTCATAACCTTTTAGGCACAATTCTTCAACAGTTACATATTTCTTTTTACGTGGTTTAAAAAATTAATAAAAGTGGTTTTGTATTCCTTTAGCGTAAAGAAATCTGGAGCATGGTTGAGTGAGATTGGTGGAGAAGGATCCAGAACTACAACTTTTATTGGAGATTTCTGGAATCAAGGAAGTTTTGAAATTGGATAAAAAATAAAGGGTTAAATAAATAAAATTTAAATGGTTACAGAAAAAAATATTAAAAATAAGACTGAGACTTGGATGATTTTTAAAAAATTAATATTTTTGGATCTCTTACAACACAAAATGTTCAATTAGGATATCGAAAGTTAGAGAGACGTGGTCAATCTTTGAAGAAAGTATGGTGATAAATAATTAGGGTTCCTGATTCCTTGATACATATTGCATTCATCCCATCCGTCCTTAGTCTGGGGAAGCGTAAAGTTTGCGTAACCAAGTAGATTTGCGTCAGCGTAGTGAGGGATTACACCACTATCACAAACAGGAACCTTCAGAATAATAACAATAACAATAAAAATAACAATAACAATAACAATAACAATAACAACAACAATAACAATAACAATAACAATGACAATGACAATGACAATGACAATAACAATGACAATACCAAGGCGCACCTGACACCTATGAGGAGGAACAAGTTCATTAAAAACGCTTCCCATTGTGATAGCAGCTGTTAATGCAGCTGGAAGGCAGACTAGAAAGTAGATGGTTCGCTGATATCTAGAAAGTACAGAAATAATCTTTCATCCTTACTTTATTGATCTTCATTGAAAAAAAAATAATCTTAAAGATATTAACAATAACCAGTCAAGCTGGACAGTTGACACCCTGTACTTTACTATTACAAATCTTGTAGATTTTTCTGTGTGACACCAGGAAACAGTCATGTAAGGACACCCTGTAACCTTCCCTCAATGGGATACCATATATTAATTAGTCATAGTCATGAAGGACACCCTGCAACCCGCCTTCTTTGAGACACTCTACAGCAGTCAGTATTGTGGACACTCTGTAACCTGTGGGGCACCCTAGTCTGAACCTTTTCTTAAAATTGACACTCCCGACAGCTGTATCTTTTCTTTTAGGCATTCTAGAACCTCTCTGGAAGTGGACACCCTACCTGCCGAACTCCCCCAGCCTGTTCTCTAGAAGGAGATCCATGTCCAGGTTCTCCAGGGGGTGCTCCACATCCTCGAGAAGCCTCTGATCCTCATTCTCGAGCAGCCTCCGTCCCTCATTATCAGTCATTATAGATCTGCGATAAAAAACATTTTTACAGCAAACTCATTAGGCAGATATCAAAAAAACTAAATTATTAAAATTCAAACCCAAAATAAAAAAATGTCATTTAAGTTAATGATGAGTGATCAGGTTTCGATAAATAGACTTAGATTGACTAAATATTGTTAAGTTATCTTTTGGAGACTAAGACGTTGTTTTCAAGTGACCTCCATTTATAAAATTGCATGACCAATACACGGCGGTACCCTTTAAACCTTTCTCTGAACAAGGGTGAATGAGACATTATTATTTTTCTGTAGGTGAAAACTGATTATTTTCAAAAGCATGTTTTAGTAACAAATGACAATGTATTCCTCATCGTTTCTCAGATAGAGGTTTCAAGGGTAATATTGTGAATCGGACAAATTCGTCACTATATTTTAAAATCGAGGGTGGCTTAATTATGTCTTATCTTACACTCAACAATCCCCTTAAACAATAAATAAAGTATTAAATTTCGCAGATTTTACTAATTTTATCTTCATTTTTATTTAATTTTATTCTAAATTTCTCTGAAATATGACATTTTGACCGCCCACCAATTACTTGAAATATTTATTTTTCTATACTTTTATCAATTCCACCGTTACAACTTATATCCTGCAATTAAAAATCATATTTACAATACAACCAAAAATCACATTCACAATGACCTAAAATCTCTTGTATATAATTGTCACTAAAATTGAAATGACTCTTATGAAGATATAAAATCTAATCAACTCAATTACAAATTTATGATTTACGATAAAAAATCACGTGAATAAATTGAAACACATGTAACTGAAGATCGAACCTGACCTACGCATACATATAGTTGAATACAAAGTATTGGATTAGGAGAGAGAGAAGTTGCTATGAGGTCAATGTTCTTAGATAGAGTAATATCAATCACATGATGGGGGGGGGGGGAGAGAGAATCAATAAGGGTTAACTATTGGGGAGGGTAGATCTCAAGGGGCAGGAAATATGGGAAACACACACTCAAAGATAAGAGATGCTTCAAGGGGAAAAACTCGAGAGGGTAGTGGAGTTAATTTTTTTCTCAATCCATTAACATATTATTTTCTTTTCAAATGGTCTTGGTTTCAAAATTGTCTTGATGTCATCTTGTTTTGTTGTCATATTGTCTTGTTGTCATATTGTCTTGTTGTCCTGTTGTCTTATTGTCTTGTTGTCCTATTGTCTTGCTGTCCTGTTGTCTTGTTGTCCTATTGTCTTGTAGTCATAATGTCTTGTTCTCATATTGTCTTGTTGTTATATTGTCTTGTTGTCATATTGTCTTGTTGTCATATTGTCTTGTTGTCATATTGTCTTGTTGTCATATTGTCTTGTTGTCATCTTGTCTTGTTGTCACATTGGCTTGTTGTCATATTGTCTTGTTGTCATATTGTCTTGTTGTCATATTGTCTTGTTGTCATATTGTCTTGTTGTCATATTGGCTTCTTGTCATATTATATTGTTGTCAAAAGTTTAGCTGTCATATTGTCTAGTTTTTATATTTTCTAGTTTTCATCTTGTTTTGTTGTCATATTGTCTTGTTGTCATATTGTTTTGATGTCATCTTATCTTTTTTCATATTGTCATATTGTCATATTGTCATATTATTGTCATATTGTCATATTGTCATATTGTCATATTGTCATATTGTCTTATTGTCTTATTGACTTATTGCCATCTTGTCATCTTGTCATCTTGTCATCTTGTCACCTTGTTTTGTTGTCATACTGTTTTATTGTCATCTTATCTTGTTGTCATCTTGTCATCTTGTTTTGTTGTCATTTATTGTCTTGTTGCCAGATTATCTAGTTGTCATATTGTCTAGTTGTCATTGTGCCTTGTTGTCAATAATGTCTGTTTATCTTCTTTAAAAAAATTATTTTCTGGAAATTCTGTGCCATTTTTATTTTCTTTTAATTTTCTTTTTCATAATTGACATAAGGTTTTGTTCTAAGTTTTCGAATTCATCTTTTTTCATTGCTTTGTTGTATCAGTCCTGTATATACTATTTGCACAACATTCTATGTTTAAAATGTGGTTTTATAAATTAGGAATTAATGTATAGAAGTGTCATGATAATCAGGATTTAAAAATGTGGTTTTCCACAAATTGAAAAATAAAATCATTTTGATGATATACAAATTATAACCAGAAATTTGTAAAAACAAAGAGATTTCGGGTCTGTCAAATTATACGATTTTTAGGTTAAAACACTTTCTGGGCCAAGCGCTGTGACAAGGACAGGATAAAAGACCAAGTGTCGCGGCCAGGACAAGCTAGGGGGCCGGGCGCTGTGGCCACATGACCAATTATATCTATGTTACATATGATATGATGTACAAAATTGATAGGAAGGGGGGGGGAGGTCCAAAAATATTTCAATCGGAAATTACCGAGACTTCAGTGTGTACACAAGGGTCTAATTAGAGATTCAAAATGAGGAGAATGGATAGAGTTTGAACATTCTCCTATTGAATGCTTTTTCGACTTCCATATTTATGGGAAAAAATCGTTCCTTGGAAGAATCCCAAAAAATCCTCCGCACTAATGATTATGATTGATTGATTAACGTTTATTTCTATGAGCCATTAGGCGGGCTCCTTAAATGTACATTACATAATGTTAGAAAAATATATAAATACAATTATAACATATGTAATAAGTCAAATGGGTAAAAAATAATGATTATGACTAAGCTTCTAGAGTTTAGGAAGTTCAGCAACAGACAGAACGAACAATTTACAAAAACCAACAATAAATCTAAACAGCTGTTAAATATGTACGCAATGTACTCAACCAACTGTTCCGAAACGAAAACGACATTTAAACCCCTTATACTTTCCGATAAATAATCCTATTTTTATTTGCACTTTTAAACAAACCTGTTTAGGGAATAATCAATCAATTTTCCTTCAGTTTTCAGTCTTCTTCGGTCTTCTTGCTATCATATAGTTGCAATATTATTTGTCAAATGTCAATTAGTTTAAGTTGGTTTAGCTAGGTTAGAGGTAACCAAACTAGAAACAGGCTCTCTTTAAAAAGAAAGCCGCAAGGTGCAAATTTTACCGATTGATTAAACAAGTTACGACTTCGTGCACATTTCTAGGAACTTAATAATTTTTCTAGCCTAATACGCAGTTTGTTATAATTGTTTGATATTTAATCTATTGAGAAAGATATAATGGACGCTAGAGGGAAAACTGGAATGGTTCTTCTTTCAGGGAACTCCCATCCATCCCTCACACAGGTTTTTTTTTTATATAATGAGTTTAAGCTTTAATTGAACCAAAAAAGTAGTTAATCAGTATAACGGTTGTTATTCAGCGCGCTGGCCCAGAAAGTATCTTAACATAACCTAACCCTAAATAACAAAAAAATAAATAATAATAAATTTGCTGAAAAATAAATGGTCATAGAATACATATATAGATTAAGTCATCAAATATAATCAAGATTTAAATTTGGTTAAATTTTTTTTTCAGGATATTGCAAACCATCTGGGCATTCCTGTTGGATCCTGTGGGGTAACCCATAATTCAAATAGGTAATTTATATGAACTAAATCAGGAAGGTAAATAGAAAATGGGAGGGGGGGAGGGGAGGCACAACCCCCCACCTCTCAGTTACGACTCTAGCTACTAAATAATTCAAATTTTATACAAGTTTTTTCGTTCCCCAGAATAAATTCTAGCATAATTTTTTTTCTTCTGATAGCACAGGTTGAAATTATTATTGTCTAAAATATTTAGATGTAAATATATACTTTATTTTATTTTAGGGAGACTATTGTTGATATAAAAGAAAGTGTGCGTGGAAAAGATGTGTATATTCTACAGACTGCCGCCTGTAATGTCAACGATATTATTATGTAAGAGTTTTCAATATAGGACTGCATATACTGAAGAGTTTTTAATATAGGACTGTATACTGAAGAGTTTTCAATATAGGACTGTATACTGAAGAGTTTTCAATATAGGACTGTATACTGAAGAGTTTTCAATATAGGACTGTATACTGAAGAGTTTTCAATATAGGACTGTATACTGAAGAGTTTTCAATATAGGACTGTATACTGAAGAGTTTTCAATAT